CAGTAGTGGGAAGAGAATGGTTAAGAAAATTAGGAGTACGTTTGGAAATAAATAAAATAGAGATAGGGGAAAATGATATAACTGAAGAACAATACAAGAAAAATTTAGAAAAATTAATAGATCAATATAGAGAGATATTTTCAGAAGAAATTGGAGAAATAAGGAACTACACAGTGAAATTCAGCTTAAAAGAAAATGTTACACCAATTTTCATCAAGGCAAGACCAGTACCGTTTGCACTAAAAGAAAAAGTTGAAAACGAAATTGATCGATTAGAGAAGGCTGGGATATTAGAGAAAGTTACATATTCACAATGGGGAACGCCTGTAGTACCAGTCGTGAAGCAGAATGGCAGTGTACGGTTGTGTGCTGATTACAGAGCCACATTAAATAAAAATTTACTTGATGATAAGTACCCAATCCCAAGAGTGGAAGAAGTTTTCTCCAAACTAAGTGGTGGTAGATATTTCTGTACCTTGGATATAAATCAGGCATATTTACACATGAAAACTGACCCAGCCACAGCTGAAATGCAAGCCATCAGTACATGCAAAAGTACATTTAAAGTCAATAGACTAATGTTTGGTGTCAAAGTCGCTCCAAATCAATGGCAAAGATATATGGATCAGACCCTCCAGGGACTACCAGGTACAGCCTGTTTCTTCGATGATATAGCTATTCAAGGACAGACATACATAGAATTATTAAAAAGAATACAAACTATCTTTCAAAAGTTAAAAGAGTGTGGACTACATTTAAATAAAAATAAATGCCAATTCTTGAAGAAATCTATTACATACTTGGGACATAAAATAAATGAGAACGGCTTGCATCCTACTGAAGAAAAAGTAAATGATATTAAGAATAGTCCACGTCCCACTGATGTATCTACATTAAGAACATTTCTGGGAATGGTTAATTATTACCAACAATTCATTCCTAATCTAGCTTCAAAACTAAATCCTCTATATACACTTCTACAGAAAAATATAAAATTTATATGGTCAAAAGAATATGAAACTTCATTTCAAGAATTAAAGAAGGAAATATGTAGCGAAAAGGTACTTACACCCTTTCATACACACTTACCAATTACATTAGCTACTGATGCATCACCTGTTGGATTTGGTGCAGTGTTGTCACACATTATGCCAGATAATAAGGAGAGACCGATAGCATTTGCATCGAGATCACTTACCAGTGCAGAAAAAGGCTACAGCCAGCTGGATAAAGAGGCAGCAGCATTGATATGGGGTTTGAAAAAGTTCTTTCATTATTGCTATGGACGCAAGATTACATTAATAATTGACAATCAACCACTAGCAAGAATACTTTATCCGGAAAAGCCTATGCCTACAACTACCGCTGTAAGACTATTACACTATGCAAATTTTCTTGCTGGATTTGACTACAATATAAAAGTACGGAAGTCTACGGAACATGCAAATGCAGATTATTTCTCAAGGTTAGAACACCCTACAGTAAACTATAACCAACTAACAGATGATGATGTATTCTACTTGAATCAACTTACAGTACTACCAGTTACATTCCAGAAAATTAAAGAAGCTACAGCTAAAGATTTAGAATTACAGAAATTATATCAGGATATTCAATCAGGTACAAATTATACAAAAGGACTACATGAATTTTCTATACAAAGTAACTGCATTTTCTATGGAATAAGAATAGTCATTCCAAAACAATTACAACCTGCAATTCTACAAGAATTACATACAGCTCATACTGGTATTGTAAAAATGAAGGCACTAGCAAGAAGCTAAAGCTGTCTGGTGGAAAAATATAGATGCAGATATAGAAAGAATGGTAAATGAATGTAAACCATGTTGTTTATTACAGAAAAATCCTACAAAAATACCTATACACAGTTGGGAATACCCAAAAGAACCATGGAGTAGAATTCACATTGATTATGCAGGACCATTTTTTGATCAATATTTTCTGATTGTTGTGGATGCATACACCAAATGGCTAGAAGTAATACCTACTACATCCATAACAACTACAGCTACTATTAAAATATTAAAAAACTTATTTACTACATTTGGACTACCTATAACTATAGTATCAGATAATGGAAGACAGTTCCGTTCAGAAGAAATGATGACATTTCTGAAAGAAAATGGAATTCAGTCCAAGTTTACAGCACCGTTTCATCCATCTACAAATGGACAGGCTGAAAGATATGTACAAACTTTTAAAAATAAAATTAAAAGCATGATCCATGAGAAAGGCACATTAATGGAAAAGTTATCAAGATTTTTGATGATGTACAGAAAAACTCCTAATAATACTACAGGATTAAGTCCAGCGGAAATGATGTTTAAAAGGTTATATAGAACAAAAATAGACTTAGTAAAAAGAGATCTAACTACAGAAATGAATATGAAACAAAATACAGAAGGATTTAATAAAATATATAGAGAAGGAGACAGAGTGCAGATTAGATTCTATGACAGTAATAAATGGAAAATTGGGAAAGTAATACAAAAGAAAGGAAAACTACACTACAATGTGGAAGTGGATGGAAAAATACATACAAGGCATATAGATCAGATAAGAAGAACTATGTGTACTCAAGGAAATGATGTTACATACTTACCTTACTTACCTAAGTTGATAGCCACGCCAGCTGCGACATCTGTATCATCACCTGAAAAAGAAAGAAGATTGAATTATACACCTGATGGGAGAGAATACTTACCTGACTCACCTGTACTGGAAACTTCACCCTGCCATGAAACAGGAACGGAGAATAATAAGCCTGTTTCGAAAAGAAAATCTTTATTTGTTCCAGGTTCTATTACAGAGAATGTGACACAGCCACAGCTCGCACCAGTAGCTACGCCGGCATCTCCGAGTGGTGTCGAGCAACCAGTTGTGCTTCGCCGAAGTACGAGAATCAGAAAACCTACAAACAGATTGAACCTTTAAGTTACAACGTGGGGGAGTGTTACGTACGCTCGGAACGCACCTCAACACATAATGTCAAAATGTTCTGTCAGATTTGCGCTGTCTGCTATCGCTTGCTTTTACAAAATTAATACGTATAATAAATCTGTTGTTTATAATAATAGCATTTAAATACTACACCCAATATAGAAACCCACAAAACACAACAAATATTATGCAAGTTTTATACATATAAACCTTCCTCTTTAATCACTCTATCTATTAAAAAAACCGCTTCGAAATCCGTTGTGTACTTTTAAAGATTTAAGCTATACATAGGGACGGACAGACAGCGACAGCGACTTTGTTTTATACTATGTTGTGATGATAGGTGATAGGTAGAAAATATGATAGGTCGAAAAACGCCAACATAAAAAAAAATATTGAGTCTTCGTGACTCATCCAATCCGAGTGGTCCACATCAGTGCTGATTGTTCTTCATGTGATTCCTAACAGAAACCATCGTGATTAATTTATAGTGGATTAAAAACGATAGACTAATTAATCTGATGAACGAGGGAAAGAAAAAATTGTTAATAATGGGCAACGAGCAGTCCCACTGCTCGCAATATACTCTGCCAGTTTAACCCCCTCGCGGGTCCGTTGTAGGTACATGTTTTTTTTAAAGCCAAACAGACTAGTGATCCGCCCGCATTATGAGCTGACGGGAAATTAGTGAGTGATAGGTAAATGACCCATCGCGACGAATTCAACAAGTATTAACCACGATAGTTTCCAGAGGAACCGCGTAGAGGTCTACCTGATAGGGCATATCGTCACCTTTATTGTAAAGTTACGAAACTAAAAAAAATACATTTTGCAGGGGAACGTTTTGAAACATTAGAATGCAAACAACTTTTGATAGAAGACTACTGTAAAAGATCATGCTAACATTTTAGTTTTAAAATCCTGTTTTTTATTGAATGCGCTTAATTAGTTATTATTATATTACAAGTATCAGAAATAAATGCATATTCGTTATTTTGCACCTTCATACATGAGAGTTCCTAGGTGTTGAGTTATACAACAGCGAATCTACGAAAGTGGCAATTTCGTAAGTTGCCAAAGAAAATAATTTATTTTAATATCTGACAAACTAACGAAAGTGCCACTTTCGTAAATATACCAAGGTATAAATCATGTGTTTTGGAGAGAACTTCAGTTTAAATAACAACGTTATAGCAATCATTCATGTAAAATAACTAAATTAGGATTGAAAAATTGACAAAATAATTATTGAAATTTTCAAATTAAAGTGTTTATTATAGAAAATACTATAAAAATATGCTAAGTTTACTTTGGGTATATCACAAAAATATGGAGATTCGAGCTACTCGATTTCTTTAACCGTTAGAGATAGAAATTTTAAAATAAGCCACAATAACTAGTATGACGCAAAATGTAAATTTTTAAAGAAATCTCAAATTTAAAAAAATTGCGGATTCGTAAATTTGCCATAGAGGTGACGATATTATTAGCAACGGGTTTTTAAGCTGCACTGCACACAAAGATCTTATTTCTTCTTCTTCTTCTTTTCCTTAATGGCAATCGGTCGCTATTTTTACCACCATTTCTGCCAACGTCATGTATAAGAGGCTCGTACTGGAGATAGAAATTATAACTAAATCACTGATCTAACTTTGAACTTTTTGGTATAAAACTGAAAAAGACAACACAATATGAGTTAGTAATAAATATCAATACAAAAATCTTAAATATACGTTATTAATAGATATTATTTTTTACTTTTTTAGACAGTTGTCGTTTTGTTACTGTCACTGTCATAAAAGAGTTTGACATATAATACAGAGTACGTAAAATAATATTTAAAAGTCGACACCGCTCTTATACTAGCAATATTGGTAAATGCTTCTATGCAACCGCTTACAAATATCAACATAATAAAATAAATTAATTTTTATAGTCTTATGCAAGTGTTAACAATATACTTCTGTCTAAATTCAATTTATTGGTTGCATAGATTATATAGATACGTTATTTGTCGAAAATTATGTGTATGCTCTATACAAAATTACTCTGTGTTGTTTTCTAAAACAAAATTTCCACCCACCATTTCTAAACAACAAAGAAAACAAAACACTTATTAAATTGCCTAATTAAACATAATTACAATGGAAAAGGAACTGGACAAAGTCATAGAAGAGATAATGTTAACGCCAGACGTGAACGGCTGTCTAGTAGCTGACCACCAAGGATTATGTTTAGCCGCAAAAGGAACAGCGCACGTTGACTCCGCTGGAATCATAGTGGCCATATCAGAACAGGCGTGTAAAATACAGCCGAACCTTAAACCACCCACTGTGTGCCTGGAGACGGACAAAAAACAGTGCCTCATCCAACGACACGGTACAATTACTGGAGCGATCTTTAAACAAAAGGCTTAGTAGGTGAGTTTGTTTTGAACATTTTATATTTTACTTGTAAAGCGAATGCACAGGGAAGTTCTCTGTTGGAAGACAAAAATTAAATAAATATGATCGTTTAGCCTACATTGTCAATGCTATGATGCAATGTAATGCAATAGATAACCTCAAACTAAAATTCAAAATAAATATGCTTAAATCTAAATGGTCACGTACAATGCGGTTTCAAAGTAATTTTCTCTAGCGAACACTCAGGCTACTCAGGATGAGCTCCCTGCCGAGATTTTCCATAGATACTACAGTCTGAGGTTCTTCAAAAAAGGTATATTAAGGTTACTTCAGAGTCATCAATGTGTATGTGACATCCCTAGTGTTGTAGGCGTCCATAAGCTATAGTGACCGTTGGGCAGGAGCGTCATAGTACCAACTCTTTCCGTTAGACCGCATTCAAAGTCGGGTGGCTCGAATTATCGATAGTCAACGCCTTACTGTCCGACTTGACCCACTGAAACTGTGCAGGTATGTTGCATCTGTGTGCATCTTCTACCGAATTTATCATGGGGAGTGTTCTGAGGAATTGTTCGGATTGATACCTACTGCTGATTTTCACCACCGTGCAACCCGCCATAAACTAAAGTTTCATCCCAATCATCTGGACGAGTGGCGGTCTTCCACCGTGCGTTTTTCAAGGCACTTTCTTCCACGCACAACTATTCTTTGGAATCAACTTCCAGCAGCAGTATTTCCGAACCGATATGACAACATAACCTTCAAGAAAAGAGTATTCCTTTTTAAAAGGCCGGCAGCACAAAAAAGAAATGGGACTGTCAAACTCCATTGCTAACAATCCCTTTCCCACCCATAGATAACAGTTACCACTTTCTATCAGATCATTAGCTTATTTACCATTCTTTCTGCACAACCCTCTACCTGGATACACCTATTATTTTTGTAATTTAACTTATTTGTATTATTTTCAGATTTGATTTAATTATGTATCAAGACTGACATTAAAAAAAAAACAGAAGAATTATTGACCATTGAATCTACAATCACGATCACATGCTAGGAAAAGACACAGTTTAAGTTAAAAAGGAGTAAGCAGCATATTGGAGGCTTTGAATAACTTTGAAAAATTTTAATTGTAAGTGGCAATTACACCCATTGCCTGTTCCTTCGCTGTCCTTTATTTACACCTATTACATGTTGATTAATGGTGGAAAACATATAGTCGTAAATTTCTACTAATCTTCTGATATGAGTGTAAGAAACTACCATTGGCCTATTGAGTTATCTCTTATTTATTCCTCTAATAGCAAATAAATATATTATACTTTTTTTTTTATCAAAATAATGTTATCTTGTATGTGGTTTAGATTTGACATATTTAACCTATAAAAACATCCTTGTATTGTATTAAAAAATCTAGATTTATCCCTCACTTATTAAACTGTGCATAGATACCAAAACATATTATATAAATAAGTTAATTATATGTAAATAATTATATGAAAATTATTATAATTGTTCATTTTAAATCATCTTTTATTATTTCTGCTTAACCTTAAATTAGTGTACTCATAATTTTAAGGTCTGGTCACACTTGGGTGATCAAGTCTCGGCCCAATGTATTTGAATGTCTGTAAATAAAAATGAAGCTACAGGCACAATGATAGGAATAACTAGTGGTCTATCACGTTGGTAAATCCTGAATTAAAATAAGACAATCAGGAAGCATTTCTATCTAGAGATGTTGTGGATACATAGTAGGAAAGTTCTGTACCCTGTGCTACAGGTTAGTGGCGGATTTACCAACACGCTTAGTAGCAACAGCATACAATTTATTTTAGCTTATTTGTAGCCAAAAATTTTTATAATCAAATTTAATTGATTAAAAACTATAATTATATGATTGTTAGGATAATAGTGGTAGCAAAATTTAAATAGCATTTTTTTATGCTACTTAGAATGGCAAACAAGCAGATGGCCCACCTGATGGAAAGTGGTAACTGTCGCCTATAGACATTAGCAGCACCATGGACATAACAGAGTATACTGTTTCGTCTATAATAACCCCCATGCGTTGCCATTCTTGAGAACTCAAGTCTTATTCCTCTGTACCCTGTAAATTCACTGCCATATCCCTTCCTTCAAACCGAAACACAGCCATGCAAACACAACTGCTTCACGATAGAAACACGAATGGTACAGAGGTGCCCAAGCAAACAACTTTTGTACAGTCTCCCTCTGGTGATAAATGTGAAAATCCGACCCTTTAACAGGAACCTGTACATCGATAAATAAAACAAGTGGAGTCAATATACACACATTTATTACAGATATGCCATCCTAACAATAACGTTAACCCGACGGGAAACAACTGTCTGCTTACACTAAACAACTATAATGTATACATAATATATTATGCCTGACGTTTACGAACAATTCTAAGTTACCAGTGGCGGACTAAGCACATCAGGGACCCGGGCGGTGAAGCTGAATGAGGCCCCCAGTTTAGGAAATTGATGTAATTTTACAAGCTTTTATTCAGTTCACATTTGTATCTATAAGTCTTTATGATTATTTATTTAACCCTTCTTTGCATGTTTTTTTTTTTTTATTGGTGAACTAAATCAAGGCATATCACCAATTCATGTTCAAAATTAAAGGAAAAATGTAAACTTGACAGCTCTGTTTTTTTTTCTGCAATGGACATTAAAAAGGTATCCAGACACGATCAATTTAAAGTGAACTTGTTCTTTTATATAAGTTTTGTGCATTCAATGTTATGATGAAAATTTCCACCATTATGCAAAGAAGGGTTAAAATCTTGCAAATCACATTTAAATTAAACTTAAACAAACCTACATAAAACATAGGTATTTATGAGGAAAATCAGCCAAAACCAGGGTCCCAGCGCAGTTAGCCCGCCACTGTAAGTTACACTTTGGCTCAGTGTATTTTTCCTTATTTATGGCGATTCAACGATGACAATCGAGAAGAATATAGACATTGCATTGTAAACAGTATTTTTACACTGAAACCAATTTGTTGTTTACGATGCACTTTACTTCGCGAACAACACACAGGTTTCATATTCTTGGTGACAGTAAAAATCATACGTTCAACAGCTCTCCAATCCAATCAACCTAAAAGACTGACTCGTCAATAGGCTAAGACTAGCTCATCATGTTAATATAGTATAGCTTTGAATTATCGCTCGCTCGCTCAAAGAATTAAACATTCGATTCAAAGTTGTTTCTACACTGAACCAAAGTTAACATGTTCTAGTAACATAATTACCTAAATACTAGCAAATAAACATGTGTCATAATAATAATGGTAGACATAAATTATTTACAATTGAAAAATAAATCCTGACAATTTATAATAATAATCAAAAAAGAAAAGAAAAAAATCGACGGATGCAATAAATTAAAATTATTAGAAACTCGGTAAATATTATGACAGTGGAACGCGTGTTGCCAGCGCTTACATTAAATAGTATTTACTGCACGAGACCGTCTGTCAGCTGGCAACACTAATATCTTATTATGCATAAAAAAAAATCACAAATTATAATATTGGCTGTATGTGAGCAACATTAACCTAAAAATTTTACCTATAGACTAGTGCCTTAACCACAATAATACTCGTCGGCAGGCGTCAGAACAATCAGTTATATATTTTACAAAAATATTATGCCAGAATAACAATGGTGTTGAATTGTGTTCGGTAGTCACTATGGTTACAATCTAATACATCATAAACATATCCCATATATTTAACTTAGTGTGAGGCCCTATACTTGCACAGCATTTACACATTACACCTAGTGGAAATCTATGCAATTCCGTGTTTATGGTAAAACAATAAATTTGTATACCCTTGACATGATACTAATTCAGAGTATCTATTGTCCACTGCGGTATATATACCTCAATTTTTCTTGCCAAAAAAGAGCCCATCTCTTCATTCGTCAAACATTTTAAAATTATCGACGGGCGATGACGAGCCACGAAAAACAGGAATGGAGACCCTGAATTACCAATACAAAGTGCATGCCTACAAGATATTTCCTATAAACTAAAATTAACGCAACAAATTCGGAAACAAAGCGGTAGCTCAGTCGGTAAGGGCACTAAATTTGAAGTCACAGAACTACGGTTTCAAATCTGGCTTGCTTAATTTATCAACCACAAAAAAAAAAACATGATTTTGACATTTCAATTATTTTCAATAACAAACTGTAACTATTGCACATGTAAGGGATTGTTAGTAATGGAGACTAAAAATCCCATTGCTAGTAATATTACCTAACCAGGTCGACCTCCACGCGGTTCCCCCTGGAAACTGTCATGATTAATTCCTCATGATGAATTCATCATGATGGGCTAACTGGCCTGTTTTCATTCTCATCTATCACCCTTCACTGGTGCTCCGCCAGCGTACCCCGTTAGCGCAGGCGGGGTTACCATACCATTTTCATCCAACAAAAAAAAAATGTTTAAACTATAAATGCAATTTATCTAGTTACATTCAATAGATAGGTACAACGAACATTTACGTATCATGGTTTCACTTATATTGGATATGTGCATGACAAATCATGTACTAACAGCGACGCTTGTAAATTTAAATATACACTCAACACTAATATACAGCTGCACATATCGACTATAACGATTAATCACGTACCCTTTACTACAATTCATTGAAGGAATACTGTAAATTTTACTAGAAAAATGTATGGAAGCGAGTTGGACCATCAATTGGGTTTATTTCAAATGTTTTCCATAAGGTGTTTTATTTAGTAAACAATTTTTAGTATGTCTTTTTATAGAACTAAGTAATTTAAAAATAAAATATACAAGATATTTAGATAATAACATGCAATAATTTTTTTTTATACAACTTAGAATGGCAAACAAGCTGACGGCCCACCTGATGGAAAGTGGTAACCGTCGCCTATAGACATGAGCAGTACCATGCACATAACAGAGTATACTGTTTCGCCCATGATATCCCCCATGCGTTGCCATTCCTGAGGACTCAGGTGTTATTCCTCTGTACCCAGTAAATTCACGCCATATCCCACCATTCAAACCGAAACACAGCCATGCAAACACAACTGCTTCACGGTTGAAACACGAATGGCACAGAGGTACCCAAGCAATCGACTTTTGTACAAAGTCTCCCTCTGGTCACACACACATGAAATGAATTCAAGAACCTTTTTAATTTAGCTGCTTGTTTTACGCACTGTTATATCGATTAAAGTTAAAAAGACATATTAAAAATATTTTCTAATCATGTAAAATACAAAAATCAAGATAATTCATGTATATTTTGTATATCAATGGTAGAGACTTTGTATATCACGCGGTCATTGTTAGTTATTTTAGCCAAGTCTTATTGTGAAGAAAATAGATTTAGGAATACCTTCCCTTAATAATATTAATAAGTTGATATTAAATGAAAAATACGTTTGCAACTATTAAATCAGAGTGCCTATTGTATGTAAATTAAAAAAAACCCTCCCAGTAAGATGGTTTAGACCTGTCATCGTGATGTTTATATCGAATTTATATAACTAAGTTTCCGAAACCATCCGCTAGAGGCGCAACAAGTTATAGAATTTGTACAGTTCACACTTGGCATTCTGAGGATTATGTACCGCGTTATTGCATCTAAATACGGAGACAGTAAAATATTATTCGTAAATTATTAAACATAATAAATACTTGGGAGTTGGAAAAATCCTTTTTAGCTGCATTTTATTTGATATAGGCAATGGGCACATTATAATTTACTGTAGCACAGCCCTATAAAATAGGAGAACAAAATGTAAGAAATTTTATGAAACCTTCAAATGTATATTACAATAATAATCTAAATAAGTAATAAAGGAAATGGTCTACAATCATTATAAATGTAACGAACGCGACTGAACAGTCACTCAAGATGTTGGAGCAATATGAATCTTATTACAATTGAGAAAAGACTAAATCACATATTCAATATCTACTTAATTTTGAAATATGAACAAAACGCGTATAAGTTTAAAGAAAAATGAGACCAAACTCTCAGTACATTTTGGAATGTATACATACATTTATATATATATATACGACTAAATAATTTCATATAAACCAAGCGTATTCTGCCACTGTTTTAGTATTAATAAATTAATCAGTTAATTAAATAAGTAAAAATAATTTCAGTTACATTTTACAATCGGTGTTAACGCAGTCGGTCAACGCCTGGCTGCGGTTTGAACCTCTAAGTTGGCGAAATACACATTCGGTTCCTTTAAAAGATTGTCGCTCTCTTCAATAGACACATACTGTCTTGACTTGATTTGACACCAGAGGGCGACACTTTCACACGTGTAGCCTACTGCTACACGTGTGAAATACATAGTTCATTAGACTATAAAACATACTGTAAAATAGAGGCGAGACATATGCATCAGAACTGTCAAAAACAACAGGTTTCAAAAAATACCAATTCAACACTTGTCCGTTGAAACCGTAATACCTGTTAGAAAGAGATAGCAACTATCCCCTGCCTGTTGTGTTAAACGGAACATGCTCTTCTAGTATCTAGCATATAGAGTTAACTTATGTTAGAAAGGGATAGATAGCAGCTACTCACTGCGCTAAACAGTATGTTGAAACGGTGTTGCAATATAACATTACGTTATAACGGAATAGACTGTTATTTTGCAAAAGCCGTTATTTCAGAGCAGATTGTTATTTTCGAACATGTTCCTTATCTAAGCTCTTTCAGACCACCTCTACTGTAGAAGCAAACTTCACAGTTGTCATTCCAATTTCGTTTGCATACAACACATTGAAAATATGTTTCATTTCATTCTAATATCAATATATTTCACTATCTAATTTACACACGGTATATACGCACCACAAAAACAAATGCATTTACTTAATGTTCATATTATAGGCGCATAATTTTTACAAAAATCAAAATTGATAGACATGTTTGTGTCGACTCGATTCATACAATCAAATTTATTCGATAGCATAAGTAACAATTGGCCTAAATAATATAAACAATATATGAGACCAACATATTTAGCGTATATGAATTTATAGTTCTGTTATTATGCAAAGTTTTATCATTACTAGTTCAGTAGTCTACGCGTCCGTTCATTAATAAAAGAACATATAGATTTACATTAACTAAAATAATATCACTAATCCTATTTTATTAAAATAATCAATGATTAATGACGAAATTGATATAAAAATATTAAAACGATATGATACTCTTAGAAAGCGATTCTTTAACTTTATAATGTGCACGATAATTTTATTAAAAAAAAAAAAAAAAGTAATAAGCAGTCCGTTCTTAAATATACTCGAAACGCAATCATACTCAACTTATAAAAAAACTAACAACAGCCATTGCAATTAGAAACTTAGTAAAATATAGTTTATTAATATGTATATAATATTATGCGTGTAAAATTAATGTGTTCTTAATTATTTCGGATCGCGAACGCGTCCTATTTGACATTACGAGTAATTATGTCAGATTTCCCGCCAAATTTTATAATTTAGGTACACTTTTTTTCTTTTAATATCTACAATTAAAATAAATAATTGTACATCGCACAAACCCTTTCGAAAGTACTTTAGTGTACAAAGTTGTTTTTTTTTCTAATATATATATTTTATTGAATGTTGCCAGAGTAAATTATAAATTTATGTATAGCTTAATTTAGGGTTGAAAATTGACATGCAAAGTACACAATGATATCACAGTGTAAGGAGTTAGAGTTCTTTAGACTGTGATAATATATTTAAACCCATATCTGTGGTATGAACTAGAGTTTGACAGTAGTTTTTTTTATTATAACAATAAACAAATGCTTCAACTTCGCTTACTAACAGGAAAAATATGTTAAAATAAAATTATTATGTATTAATTATTATGCCACCTCAGAGGAATAAAAAAAAATTAAAAATTTATATAACTTGGTATCAATTGAATTGTAAACTAGGACCCAAAATATACCTGTTTATTGCATGTTCTCAGTCCATATTGTATATCTGATAATTTATTATAAAAAAAAATATAATCACTCTGCACTCGACTGTCGTACATGTAATCAAATTTCGTCTGTATAGTCATCAGCTTACAGAACACAATCATCTAGCAAACTTTAAGCCTCTGTTATGATATTATTATAAGATATGGTAACATGTATAATTTTACTATTAGCAACATGTCTACGCTATAAACACAACATTTTACTACATTGACTATCTTATGATTTTTTTCTTTTATATATAAATATAACATAGTATAACCCAATTATTATTATCTATTTGTGAAACTAAACTGTATAATTTGGCAATACTATTTCTACATATTGGAGGACATTAGTTCACGCGACGCTGGCAACACGTCACCTAAACTACAAGGAATGTTTGGAAATGTTCGCATTGAAAGAAAAAAAAAAAAACGGTCATCAAAGACATACATACATACATACATTTTCATGTGTCCAAAATGTGCATTTACATACATACAATATCAGCTCTCCAAAATACCAGATGAAAATATACAAACCACCAGAAATATTTATATAAACAATAGTCATAATTCCATGGACAGAGTAAAATCGAGATGGGACTAACAATAACGTCTGAGCGTTCATGAAATCTTTCATACAAATCTGGTACAATTAAACACTAATTTCGTTGTAAATAAAATAATGTACCCTGGAAATATTTTATCAATACGTTATTTAATAGGTTTGGAAGAGACTTCAATTGGTTTGGTCCAATTTACCTGTTCATTTTTGTAAATCAATAATGATTAATTCCACAATAAAAATATATAAATTGTATCTTAAAACTAAATCTTACTAATGTAAAATTATTATGCATTTAAATAATAACCTGTATACATATTATGAGGATTCCACACACACCTGCAACATTCACCGGTCAAACTCAACTTTTACAAATGTCTCCGAAGACATTTTACAATAAAACTATGAAATGCCAAAAATAGACACAGTGATCTGAATATTTTTACAATTATATAAAAACCATTAACCTTGTCTGAGATTGACAATTTTTTTTTTTTATACAACTTAGAATGGCAAACTAAATTATGCTTTATTTCATTATTGAACTATAGTTTAAAAATGTTAATTAAAAAGTTGCCAGGATAAAAACATATTATTTATATATCATAATTTTAGTAATTTATATAATTAATTTCATTAAAATGATCAATAATCAAGAATATTTATCAAATTGGATTATTAATGTATAATAATTCGGTTTGCCCCATAGTTGTTAGTTATTACAGTAATTAGGGGGTATAGCGACGCTCACCACAATGGCAGGTCGACCTCTGATTTTACAGTAAGGGGATTAGTTGTGAGCGTATTTTCAGGAATTTTGTAACTTTTTTTTTTATTTGCTGATTACATATCTGGTACTAGGAGAGCATAACGATTGAAGAGACTCACGGCGCGAGCAGTTGCAGCGACGGTCAGTGTTCGACACAGGCGCCGGTGAGTAAAGTTGACTACACATGAACAATCTGGTACCAGGAGAGCATAACAATTGAAGAGACTCACGGCGGCGGCGGCGGCGACGGCGGTCAGTGCGGGAGCGGCGCGCCGGTGAAGCTGACCGGCTGCTCGTTGGTGACGAGCGTGGCGCGCGGCGCCGTCGTCGGCTGACCCAGCCCCGCCTCCAGGTTCGCCGCCGACGTCCTCATGTCCTCTATTGATGCTCTGTTCACACATAACATTCGATCAATACACGAACAAACCACGATAAAAAATTTTATGCAAATTATAACATCAATCCTGATGGAAAACTGCAACCATCGTCTAAAGACATGACCACACCATGGGCATTTATAAACTTTCATTTTCACAAGTTAAGTAATACTCTGTTCCTATAGCTTAAAGTGCTGCCACAATTAAGATGCATCTAACGACATCCCATTTCGATAGGTACAGCTTTCTTAGCAGTTGGTAAATATTAGGTTTTAGCAGTAAAAAAAAACTATTTTGTTACTAACAAATCATGTACTACATTTAAAACATCTTGATACTATAGAGAGATTTTCATTAAACATACCAAAAAACTATAAAGATTAAACCAGCCTTAAAAAATAGACTGCAATCAATTCCTTTGTTTGGTTTAGGCAACATATTGTTCCATCGTGTAAAATTTATACTATAAATGATTACTTTTATTGCTGGCATTCATAGACTATAAATATTGTATCACAGTTGCAGTAAAAAAAATTTATACTTTGGTCCTTCGAACCGGATTAACACACGATTCATGCAACAGCAAGTAGCTAATAAACAAAGTGCATTACTATAATCGTTGCTTGATACCTAAACTACAGTTAGCTATAACAAACCATAACATAACTATTTACTAGAATAATGTCAGAACAAAAATAACAGGCTTTCTTCAATGTTACATGGAAGCAACTCAATAGCATAATTAAAACAATATTTCTATAAATAAAAACAAGACAATTCGACAAGCGTTTTGAGAAATTATATCACAGTTCTTCGAGCTATATACGTAAACGGTAAATGCGTAACCACCATAGACAAGGTGTATAGACTTACATTCTTATTCATAAAAATTCAAACCTCTTAGAAACCAATCTTAACCATCAGAATGTTCTGTTACTTTCATTCAATCTAGTAAATTAGCACAAAAAAAAATAACATCTCAGTAGCTAAAATAAGTTTTAGAAGTTTAACGTTTTTACGAATAAGAAGGATTAGTCTGTAGGGTGCGCACGATCCGAGCAGCGTGCTGCTATGTGAACGAAACCGCGGTATAGTACGCGAGGCATGCGAGCGAGCCAAGTGCCTGCCTTAGTTGGGGCGCCACACGTCGGGGTCCTCCATGAGGGTGACGTTGTGGTCCTGGGACGCGAGCGGAGCACCAGGCGGCGTGGCGCCGCCGGCCGCCATCGCGGCCATGTCGTCGCGCGAGCCCCTGCGCCCACGCACGTTACACACAAACCCACCACGCACACACACGCACACACACGCACACACCGCCACGCCAATACAGTTAATACAGGTAGTATTATGAAACTCCCACATGTTATATCACATTAGTTAGGTAGCGTTTACTTCTGTTTTCGTTATAAAATGTATTATCCATATTTCATCATGTAAGTTAAGACAGCTTACTAGTACTGACGTAGCTTGATTCCTAATGCATAGATGTAGAATCACATACTATTTATTTATTTATTACTTTAATACACGTTTATGAAGATAGTGTAAAATGCTTTCTGTTTTCTGAATTAATACTATCATCATTATCATTGTCAGCCTTTAACTGTCCACTACTAAACATACATGCCAATAGTTGTCATGCTTGACAGGTGAATTGACAACCGCAGTTAGGCTTTAGAGATATTTTAAGAGGGACGCTGCTGCCCATCCCTCGCTCTCCCTTAGTTGCCTCTTACGACACTCATGGGAAAGGAAGGGGGTGGCCTATTCTATGCCGGGACCACATGGCGAAATTAATATTATAATGCAATTCATTTGGTAGATTGTAAAAGCTGCCAATAGAATGAATGTAAATCGCTTCCGGACCCTAACTGTGGTGGCTGTTTTTGCATAACTAACCATAATTAGTTTTATTGCCAGAATAACAAATTTTATAACGAAAACATCTAGAATCAATAACATCTAGATAGCGTCTCTAGAAATGCTTCGACAAAACAGACATTCAAAATGGCGCACTTATAAAATTTTATTAATCTTGTAATTGGTGAATTTTATACAAATTATCATTTTATTTACATTAAATATATAAATAAATATTATACTTTTCGACTTTCATACATTCTGACAAGAGATTGAACATCCAAAATTAAAAAAAAAAACAATACATCAGCCAGCAGTGAGCTGACCAGTTTTGGGACGCTATGGCACTCAACGCTACATCTAGATGCGTATGATCTGTATTTATTATTCACTCTAAGAACATAGGCGTATGCACCCACACACACAAACACCCGTTAATAGAACACAACAATACATTGTTATTAAACCTTCAACCCGTTAATGACTTATTTAAATTAGACATAAAATTAACGCATCAGTGTACATGAACTTAGGGTTTCTTTTTGAATGGCTCCAATTAATTACAATAGATATATAACATCTAAAAATTCGTTTACAGTTATGGAATGTTTATACAGGTTGTAACATAAATCAGGAATGGCAACGCATGGGGGGTAAATAGATAATCACTTTATTTGAGCCATTTATGACATACGTAAATTAACAAATGAGTCCATACAATCAAATTAACACTTTTTTTAAACATAAAAGATAAAATACGAAAATATGTTTTGGCCATGTGTGTCGCAGTGACCCAAATAGGATACAGCTCAGTGATAGTATTGCATTTTTTTTATACCACTGAGGTGGCAAACAAGCATACGGCCCACCTGATGGTAAGTGGTTGCCGTAGCTTATGAACACCTGCAATACCAGAAGTATTACGCGTGCGTTGCCGACCGTTGAAGAAACCTCTATACCCCCCTTTTGATATAACCCCATGCTGTAGTCTCTTGAGAAAAACCTCGGCAGGGAGCTCATTCCACAACCTGAGTGTTCGTGGGAGGAAACATCTTTGAAACCGCGCAGTACACGACCATTGAGGCTTGCATAAAAGCAAAGCACTGATTTTCAGCTGCAGCCTGAAGTAAGGCTACACGGACGCGTGCAACGAACCTAAGCAATCTCTTCCAGACGATTAATTAATTATTAAAAAAAATAATTATTTTATAAATACTAACAATAAAGCAACGCTTCAAATTACATTCTTTTTTTGGTTACAACCTGTATAAATTGACTGATTAATTCTAGAATGTTCCAAAATTTATATCAACATCTAAACACGATCCATTTTACAGAATACCCCAAGTGTAAAACAAAGTTACTTCTGTTGCCAACTCTACAGAGTTCAGATTGGCGTGTACTCACTTTTTGCCCAGAGCCATCATGCCGTATATGATGCCCGTGGCGAAGATCGAACCGCTGCCGAGGAATGTGCTCACACTGAAGAAGCAGAGGAAGAACGGGGGCAGGGACAACCTGGAATCATATAAACACAATAATGTATATTTTATATTTATTCGTTTATATATGTAATTTTAGTATGTATATATATATCAATAATTACTAGTACCACATTCGAGTATTCAGACACTTCCCTATGGTTGACTGGGAGAGAACGCTTTTAGCATTAAGTTCGCCATGTACACATATATGTACTAATAAATAAATAAATAATGTATGGAAGCTACATATACCAGGCTAAAATAGATAATAATTAAAGAAAAACTACAATTCAGAATAATTTAGATTGTTTCCCAAAATGGCAACCTCATAAAAATAATAATATTATTATAATAATATACTCTGTTATTTTTTTTTTACTGCTCATTAAAAAACGGTATTTCCATCAAATAAACACTAAACTTTTTTTTCTAAATTGCATAAAAACCTTAAATTATTTGTAAAACAAAAATTTTACATAAAATACGAAAAAACTATTTTTCAGAATGTGTGTCAGATTGACCCAAATAGGCAAGCAGCTCAGTATAAATAATAATATTATTATAATAATAGGTACTTGTTTTTTTTTAATTATTCATTAAAAAAATATTTCTCAAATAAACAATTCTAAGTAATTATTTTGTTAGTTGCTAAAAGTTTTTTTAAATAATAAATGTAGTAATAATTTGATACTTAATTTATTTTACAAATGCCTTTCAAATTTTTAAGCGTGTAATCCCCTTACAGAATGAAATTCGCTTCTTTTTCTTAGCCGGGACATACATCTAATATATATCGTATATATATATATAAAAAAAATCGGATTTTTTATATTACTAGCAGAGTTCGAAAAAATTCGATTTTTATAAAAACAGGTTTTTTCTAACTATGCTAATAAACGATACGTTTTACGCTTTTAGAGCACAATTAGGATAGGTATATAAAAATGTATCGGTTGAGTCACCACAGGCAAGAGCAATGTGAACGACTACATAATCATATACCTACATTAACAACTTTATTAGTTTACATACCAATTAATGACTAGTTACAGACGCCGATTAAAATGTCAGACTAAAAAAAGATACAATGATAATTATGTTGATGCTTGTATGTTGTCGTTTATAGAATGGAGATGCAAATAAAACGCAATGTTATGTTTTAAATATAATTTAAGACTATTGTAGCAAAACCAGTTATTTTAATTTAAAAACTAAACTACTATATGGAATTCGAATTAAAATGTCTACGTAACCAAATTGTAAGTGTATCTTTTCAGATAAAAAAAAATATTTTCAAATCGGTTTACAACATAGTTATTAGGTAACAGATAATATATGTATGTATGTATATATATATATATATATATATATATATATATATATATATATATATATATATATATATATTGTACAAGAACAAATATGAACTAACTTAATTAGCCACTCACTGACTACTACGACACAGGCCTGCGAGCCTAGTGTAGTAATCACTGTATTGTATAACCGATTTTTTGCTACAATAAAGTTATTATATTATTATATATATATATATATATATATATATATATATATATATATATATATATATATATATTGATTGATTGATTTTACTATATGTATTGATTGATTAGTTTAGATAAACACTCACCCAATATACAAGGCGGCCTTATTCCAGTAAGGCCTCGACTCTATATTGTCGGAGAGCGTCTGCACGTAGTCTATAAAGAAGCAGCAGCACGGCGCCTCCGCAACGATCACCACGAAGCCGGCGAGCATCTGCCAGATGCCAGCGATCAGGCACTTCACGTCCAGCAAGATGATGCCCGCCACGTTCAGCAGCCCCAGGATTATGGCAACTGGAATGGGACACGTGCGTTAAACTAATCTTTTTTTTTTTATACAACTTAGAATGGCAAACAAGCTGACGGCTCACCTGATGGAAAGTGGTAACCGTCGCATATAGACATGAGTAGTACCATGGACATAACAGACTATACTGTTTCGCCCATGATACCCCCTATGCGTTGCCATTCTTGAGGACTCAGGTGTTATTCCTCTGTACCCAGTAAATTCACGCCATATCCCACCCTTCAAACTGAAACACAGCCATGCAAACACAACTGCTTCACGGTTGAAACACGAATGGGACAGAGGTACCCAAGCAATCGACTTTTGTACAAAGTCTCCCTCTAATCTAAATCCAAAGCAGGAAATAGAATAGAATAGAAAACATTTATTGCCAGTAAACACACAATCACAATATAAAATATAAAAAACACATATACAAAAACCAAAATTGCCTAGTATGGCAAAAGGAACCGGCTCAGCTGATGCTGTGAGTGTCCCAGCGCAATGTGAACGTCTGTAAAATGTTCGCTTTCAGCCAGTCCCACTCCTAACAAAATACAACCAAAATACACTGCATTTACACCACTGTAAATACAAAGTGCTAAGAAGTTATCTTTGCGAAGTCTGAACCGATTTTGATTATACTTTTTGTACTTAAATTATAATAATAATAAACTCTTTATTGCGCACAGTAGAGATGTATACAAGGAGTATTTATACAGAATGTGCATATACAAAAGGCGGCCTTATCGCTAAAAGCAATCTCTTACAGACAACCTGGATTATCTAAGGAATACCGGCGTATAGTTGGGTTACAGGAATTTCAGCTATTCCTTCATATGTCCATCAGACATTCATTCAGCAATAACAACTTCTAATCCTGTATTCGTTATAATCCAAAAATAAGAGGGGAAAGGGATTGTTAGCAATGAAGTTTGACAGCCTCATTGCTAGCAATATGCCCTATTAGGTCGACCTCCACGTGGTTCCCCCTGGAAACCATCGTGAACAATTCTTGTTGAATTCGTCACGATGGGCTAACTGACCTACTTCATCCTCACCTATCATCCTTCACTAGTGCCCCGCCGGTGTATACCGATAGCGCGGGTGGGGTTACCATTCCAACTTAAGTTGAAACACTTAACCGACAGCTGGATACGACGGGATTTGAAACGGCATCTCCCAGCTATACCGCCCAAACAGATTTCTAACTAAATCCGTTCTAGACTACTAGCTTTTACCCGTAACTTCGTCCGCGTGTCCGGGATAAAAATTAGCCTATATACTCTTCCATCCAATATAGTAAATATTGTTAACGTCAGACGGGTCGTATGCTTGTTTGCCATTATAATAGTATAAAAAAATATACCCTGTCAGGTCGACCTCCTCGAGGTTTCCCTTGGAAACCATCACGTTCAATTCCAAATGAATTCATCACGATAGACTAACTAACCCGCCTTTTCATTCTCACCTATCATCCCTCACTGGTGCTCCGCCAGCGTATCTCGTTAGCGCAGGCGGGGCTACCATCCCATTATCATCCATAAAAAAAACCATTGAGGCTAGGAGGGAAAAGAATTGTTAGTAATGGAGACTGAGAATCCCATTGCTAGCAATATACCCAACCAGGTGGACCTCCCCGCGGTTCCCCCTGGAAACTATCATGGTTAATTCCTGATGAATTCATCATGATGGGTTAACTGGCCTGTTTTCATTCTCATGTATCACCCTTCACTGGTGCTCCGCCAGCGTATACCATTAGCGCAGGCGGGGTCACCATACCATTTTCACCCATAAAAAAAAAAACATTCAGGCTATGCGTAGATAGATCAATCATTCGCAATTCAGGACAAATCATCCTACATGTAAATATATATTATTTAGCTAATTATTAATAAAATAAATTGTTAACACCATCAAACTCTCTACAATATTTCAATCGATGTATGCCAATATGGAAAAACATAAAATATGCTACTGACTCCAATAATTTGACTTCGGTCGAGATCTATTTTTAATTTAGAGTGGGCGTCAAATTGTCTCACAATTGCGAGGGTCCGTGGAGTGGTCAACAGAGTCGGATCCGTTGCATCGTTTGTTGCTATAATTGGCTCGAGTAAGTAACACGTATTGTTTTAAATGATAAGCGAATAAGCCGACTGATCTGTCTCAAAACGTGTGAACAAGAGCGTTAAGGGCTATAAGATCACTTGTATGTACTACAGATATGGCGTAAATTTACTGGGTACAGAGGAATAACACCTGAGTCCTCAGTAATGGCAACACATGGGGGTAACACGGGCGAAACGGTATACTCTGTTATGTCCATGGTACTGCTCATGCCTATAGGCGACGGTTACCACTTTCCATCAGGTGGGCCGTCAGCTTGTTTGCCATTCTAAGTTGTATAAAAAAAAAACTTGTATGTTAGAATTTTTTTTGTCATTGTTTTATTAATGTCAATTTTGCTAATGTGAAATTGATGTTTTTTTTTTATACCATTAAGGTGGTAAACAAGCATACTGCCCACATGATTAAGCGGTTACCGTAGCCTATGAAAGCCTGCAATACCAGTGGTATTACGCGCAAAATATTTAATTATCCTGGTCAATTAATAACAATATGTACATATAATGAAGTAAAAAATCGACAACGGGAATGAAGTCGAGTGTAAATACTAATATATATGTACAATTGTATAACATATCGTCATAATCGTAGAATACTGACGGATCTATATATGTAATATTCGTCAGATCCGTCAGTATTCTACGACTATGACGATATGTACAATTAGTTAAAGACTGACAGATGAGTTATTTACATTAATTAGACGAGAGCACGCTTCACAACAAAAGTATTTACTAGTAGAGGACATATGTATAGAGCAGTAGTTCCCAAACTTATTTTGTCTACTGCCCACTTTGAGAATAAATTATTTTTTAGCGCCCTCATTTTGTCACCTACTTAAAAACCACTATTACTTCAAGATCAACATATCACCCCCCAAGCCTCTACACAATGCCCCCATTTTTTTACTGGGTCTCTTACCGCCCCGCTTTAAGCCTGCAGCGCCCACAAGGGGGCGTTATCGTCCACAAGGGGGCGTTATCGCCCATTTTGGGAAAGGCTGGTATACAGAATATGTATGAAATGAATATTTTAACTACCAATTTTCAGTTCTGTATGCCCAAATCATTACATATAAATCTATAGATTTTTTTAATAGATGATAATCGAAGGGTAGCCCCGTCGGCGCTAACGGTATACGCTGGCGGGGCACCAGTGAGAGATGATAGATGTGAATGAAAAGGCAGGTCAAGGTTAGCCCATCGTGATGAATACATCACGAATTCGGCATTATAGTTTCCAGGTGAAGGTCGACTTGATAGGGCCTATTGTTAGCAATAGGACTAGTAGTACGAAATAATAACAATCCCTTCCCCCCCAAATATAGACATTAGTATCAATCTCTTTTCTAATTTTTAAACTATTGGTTCACACACACAGTGATGTTAGATAAAAATTATCTAATCAATATAAATAAGGAAATATTAAATAGCGTATAATGAATAATTATAACAAATATTATTTTTAGAAAGAGTTCCCGAATCCTCATTTACTTTCGTGCACACATTTCATCACCATCATCATCATATCAGCCTTCAACTGTTCACTGTTGAACATAAGCCTCCCCTAGCATAGGACGGTTATGCCAGCAGTTGCCACGCTTGGCAGGCGGATTGACAACCGTAGTTAGACATTGGAGATATTTTAAGAAGGACGCACACACACATATATCGTCATAGTCGTAGAATACTGACGGATCTATATACGTAGTATTTGTCAGATCCGTCAGTATTCTACGACTATGACGATATGTTTGGAAATTGAAGCTAGTTTAGTGACGGACTATAAGGAGGCGGTAAGGGCGGTCCACCCAGGGGCTCTGGTCTTAGGGAATCTCTAAATGCCTCCATTTTCCTCGTCCATATTCACATTCTATGTTTTTTATTTAAATCTAATTAAAATTTCATTTTTGTTCACACTGAAATCGACCCAGAAAATGGAGCTCAACATTTCGTTCGTCATTAATCCTACCATAATAGTGAAAAGGAACGATATATTAACATTTCTAATATTTTTTGACCGGTATGTTTCATCTAATTTTAGCATCAAATAAGTATTTCGTTCGACCCTGAAGTTTCTTTAATATGTTTTTTTTTTAATAAAAAAAAAATACTTGTTTAAAAGCATTTTTGAACAGTCATGTTTTTACGATTCCTATTACTATTTTATTATATGAATAAAGATCGTTGCTTGAACATTTAATTAAACATTTAAGATTTAAATAAATTATCTATGAATACTATTTACATTTTAGCTCACATTAATTTACACAAATAATTAATGTGTCATACTATCAAGATAATATTTACAAAGTAAACATGTTAACAAAAAGATACTGCATTAAAATCAACTGACAGTAATGTTTTCTTAATTGTTTTAATCTTGTCATACATAACAGATACCATCCGTGTGTTGGAATTGGGCACTAAACATAAAAAAAATGTTTACTGTCCCGCACTGGTTAATAATAATGTGCCGTATAATCACACCAATCGTTTGCCCCTCAATCTACGTTTGCCCTTCAGGCTACATTTGCCCTTTATGCTACGTTTGCCCTTCAGGCTACATTTGCCCTTCATGCTACGTTTTCACCTCAAGCTACGTTTGTTTCTCAAGCTACGTTTGCCGCTCATGGTACATTTGTCCCTCAAGCCACGTTTGTCACTCAAGCTATATTTGTTTCTCAGGCTACGTCTGCACCTCAGGCTACATTTGTTCCTAAGATTACGTTTATTCCTTAAGCTACGTTTGCCCTCTCTGGCTACCTTTGCCCCTCAAGCCACGTTCGTTCCTCAAATTAAGTTTGCCTCTCAAACTAGAATGTCCAGGCTACGAACACACACATAACACCAGACCCGAGTCAAATCAAAAAAAGTTCGTTTGCGAGATCGTCCCGTCTGGAAATCGAATCCGAGACCTCATTTACGCAAAGCGACATATCCCACCACTACGCCATTGAGGTCGTGAACGAATGTGAACACTGGGAAGAAACATCAACAGACTAAACTAATGTATCGATAGATAAGTTTTCACTACCACATGCATGAGATAGAACGAGACAGCAGTGTCTGACATCTTAATATTTCTCACATATATGCTAACCTAATCAGAAGAAATACGTCAATCGCTCATAATATGTTCTACCACCTCGTTAACTACTAGTATGAAGACGCGACTAAACGCGCGTCTAATAGATATTCCTTCAAAACAGTAGTTCTTAACCTTTTTGGCTGGCGACCCAATGTATTTTTTTATGCAACTTAAAATGGCAAACAAGCTGACGGCCCACCTGACAGAAAGTGGTAACTGTCGCCTATAGACATGAGCAGTACCATCGACATAACAGAGTATACTGTTTCGCCCATGATACCACCCATGCGTTGCCATTCCTGAAGACTCAGGTGTTATTCCTTTGTACCCTGTAAATTCACTATAAATCGTCTAGTGCAGCAGTGGACTAACGGGGGAGAGGAAGGAGCAGGTTATCCCAAGTCTTTGATCCTGGGGAGGCCTCCAAACGTTTCCATTTTTTCTTTCCCTATCCGTATTCTATGTATGTTTATTTAAGTCTAATTCAAATGTAACTTGCAAGATTTTAAATAAATAATCATAAATACTTATAGATACAAATGTGAACTGAATAAAAGCTTGTAACTTTACATCAATTTCGTAAACCGAGGGCCTAATTCGGTTTTGCCACATCGGGCCTTTGACCGGCTTAGTCCGCCACTGTTCTAGCGATAATAAAATAATACGATTAATTAAAAGCCTATGGTTTACTGAAATTAATATCATTATAAAACAAAATCATTGTTTTTTTTTTTTGTAAAAAAAATGTGAAATCAAATTTCACAATTACTTATAATGTTATTTAGAGAATTGCTGCGGCCCATCACAATACCGCCTGCGACCCGAATTAGGGTCGCGACCTGCGGTTAAGACACGCTGCTTTAGAACATTCGTTTGGAAGAGACACACTTTAAGACAACATTGACTGCTTTGGACATATTTTCACAACTGTACACATATGCTACTGTTTATTTATATTGATCTCTCTACCCTTAAGAGATATGATTGATTGTTTACAATTTTTTTTATTAAATCTAGTGTATGTAACAACAAAAATGATCCAATGTCTTTGGCATATCCTGAACAATTATGTGACAATTTGGAATGCACTGCTATATCTAGAAGTGTCTGTTGAGGAACTGGTGAGAAAGAGTGCTTTAGACTATGGTACATATATTCTATGCCAATTTAAAAATAACTTTATAAGAATACTTTATCTGTGAAAACATAACAAAGACTTCCTCATTAATATTAGTAAATGTTATATAAATACTAATAAACACATGTAATACTTAGAACTGCAAACACACACTTGACACATGATGGCTTGGGTATTAACAATGTTTATCAACTGATTAAAATTGTACTTATAAATTTATGGTGTCAGACATTAATTTTGTGACTGTTTCCCCTTGTATCACTTACAGAGTTACCATTATCACACAATTTTGCAAGAATTTCAAAATTCTCCTACTTAGTAGCCAATTCCATATAAAAGAATTCTTATACAGGGGGGAAAAGGATTGTTAGCAATGGAGTTTGACAGTCCCATTGCTAGCAATATACCTTATTAGATCAAACTCCACGTGGTTCCCCCTAGAAACCATTGTGAACAATTCTTGTTGAATTCGTCACAATGGGCTAACTGACCTACTTCATCCTCACCTATCATTCTTCACTGGTGCCTCGCCAGTGTATACTGGTAGCGCAGGTGGGGTTACCATTCCATTATCACCCATTTTTAAAAAAAAAACTTATACAAAATATCATGTATTTCAACTATTCTGAATGAACTATGTGTTCATGAATTATTTAAGCAGTGAATTAATTCATTTATAAAAAGATATAAAGGCTTATAACATCCTAAAATCAAATGATGGTTTGTAATGAAAAAATTAACATCTATTATCAGAAACAAACATTATGTGTTAGAGCACCTGCAACAGTACATTCCGTAGAATAAGTTGTCACTCCAAATAGTACATCATCCTACACTACTGTCATTCTAATTATGAAAATATTCATTAAAAATTAAAAGCAATCTCATGTATATTTTATATTATATAAATTTTCTTTCAAGTATCAAGTCTTATACTATAATATGAGGAAAGAAAGCAAAACCAGCATTAAAAAAATGTTATGACTATGAATAATTAATATATTGTGATATATAATACATTATATTAATTAATAACAACACAAAATAAAAAATGCAGACAAGAATAAACAAAATGAGTTTCATTTTTTTTTAAATCTAAATAACCACTTCATTACAAAAACTTACAATGGTGACAGATATTTAATTTTATTATAAGAATTTATAATGTAACCATTGCATTACTGTAAATGAAGGCTTTTTATTTATTTTTTATCAAATTTTTGTTGAGGCTTTAGTACACCGGAGTGACTATGCCAGCCTCATAGGGATTGTCAGAAAGTCAGTCTGTCAGTCCGTCAGGTTCCACCTGTATCACCTTTAAGGTTATTTAGGAATCAACTCTCTTCATTTTACTTACTAATATTAAAAAAAATTATAAGGCCAATTTAAGAAATAAACTTTTCTAAATTGCTACAGATCTGGATGTTCTAGGTTTTTTTATGGGTGATAATGGAATAGTAAACCTGCCTGTGCTATCTGTATACACTGGTAGAACACCAGTGATGGATGATAGGTGTAAATGAAAAGGCAGGTCATTTAGCTTATTGTGATGAATTCAATGATAAATTAATCATGATGATTTCCAGAGGGAACAATGTAGAGATGGGGGCATCATGGGCGAAACAGTATACTCTGTTATGTCCATGGTACTGCTCATGTCTATAGGCGTATACGGGTACTACTTTCAATCAGGTGGACCGTCAGCTTGTTTGTCATTCTAAGTTGAATAAAAAAAAATAGATATGTACCCAGACTTTACACAAGATCAATATAAATTATTATTAGTTTTAGAATAAAACAATTAATAAAACAAACTATTCTATAGACAAAGACATACCTAGATTAGAAGTAATTATAATAGACATTTTTGTCCCTATACTCATACCATTCCTACACAGATCTTGTATTTTACAAACAATAGTGTTATATAATTTAGATAAGTTTTTATTTTATCGGCCCATAATAATAATTACCCGCTAATTAATACTATTGTATATTCATTGAAATCACTTTTAAAGCATTACTGCTTAATGAATACCTATTAATTAGACATTCACCTTTTAGACAAAATTAGAGATATAAAATACCAGCTCATTTGTTTACAATAGTCATTTGTTACCTATAACGATGCTATTTCAAATATAAGTATTTTCAAATTGAAGATGTGTAAATTATGGCATCAATCTCAGCTGTTGACTCGTCATTCAAAGTCGGGACCAGTTAACATATGGCAAACATACATTATTTATTTCTTTATCATTATATAAAATTGTTATTTAAAGTTAATTAAAGATAGTGAAAAAACATACTGAAACTGCCAACTGTGCCCAGGGCTCGACCGCCGTAGCGCATCCACCAGGGAACGTCATCTTTCTGGACATTGTTGTCTCCCGGTCGGGATAGAAGCATAGAAATCTTGTTTGTTAAAGACTGAAAAAATATTGTACATTATAGTATTCTTATAAGAAAAGTTTTTTGGGCGGATTTAAAAATAATTTATAAATAATCTTTACCATTTTCGAAAAATCAATTCACTTCTTTTGTCAGCTGTCAAGTCAACCAATAACTGGTTTGTTTTCATTATCAAAATTATTACCACGAGCACAGTGAATAAAAACCACAGACCGCCTAAACAGAGTTAAAAGTACTGCACAAAAGTAATTTAAATATTATTTTATTTATAAAAATTTAAACTACAAATTTTAGGTTTCAATACAAGAATTTGATTATTTAGAGTGGAAATTAATTTAATTAATCCATATTTATTTTAAAGTATCAGGTTTATTATTATACATTTTGAGGTTGTACATTGAAAACATACTTTTAATAACACGTTTTGTTATTGTTAACGCCATACATTTTAATGTGTAAAAGTTTTGATATAAAGACCATTATTTTGTTTACAAAATTATTTATGTCATAATTATTAAAAGAAACATAAAATATCTTATTGTCAATCAAAAAAGTAGTTATTAATTAATTAATAACTTATCATAAGCGAAAAAAATTAGGTCATCTAAAAAAAAGTTGACAGGAACAAAACGCAGTCTTCATGTCTGTTCGTCGGCTTCAGCAGTTTGCATTTTTTCATTTAGATTTGTGAAAGTTATTAGTCCTATTTAAAATTGACTTTCTTTTTAAAATTCATGAGGCAATTAAAAGAATAAGAAAGTGATATAATTTATGACAATGCTTCCGAAGCTGTCGGATACAACTCAAACTATGTAAGTGCATGATCACAAGTTCGGTTTTCTTTCGCTGTTAAAACATGTTTTGAGATTATTTGCAGTAGTTAGTTTATTTAGAAATGTGATATATCGACATATATTCTTATTATCATAATTAGGATATCTACCTTCTTATCCAACAAAATTATAACCTATAGCGTTAATTTTTTTAAATGTTAACTTCGGCCATAAAATGCCTTTCTACTCGTTTAAATATTCTATGGAGGTCATGATATTGTATCTACATTCTTTTCATATTATGCTTCTTCATTATGTATTGTATATCTGATACTCTACCTCAAATTCCTTTTACTCTTCATCCTAAAACTTTATCTAGCTCTCTTCTCCAAGATAGGCGTATATTTTTTACATTTTTTAAATTATACAAATACCTGATATAGTTAAAAAAATTATAATCGTATACAATTACACAGTTTAATTTATATTAGGGCAAATACATTCTAATAATGAAAAAATGCTAAACTCTGTAATCATAAATTTTAATTGATTAATTGATAATTAATAAATAATATTTTAATATCCTAAATGAAAAATAAGATTAGAAGAAAACACTAAAGAATAGAACCATCTATATGCTTTATTATTTTTTTGTATCATTTTTTATACATATAATAAAATTTATATAAATAATCATTTAGTTAGTATGCTGTATGTCCCTTATAATGGTTGTACACTATATATAAATAGATAGTAATCTTAATATTAAATGGTATCAATGCAACAATATCTGGGAGATCAAATAAAGATAAAATTAAAATAAAAAAATCTTCATCCAACATTGAATGGGCCACCCCTACCTTTTCCATGGATATTATAAGAGGTGAATAAGAGAACTTAATGAATAAGAGATAGGCAATGGCATCCTTCTTAAAACATCACCAAAGCCTAACTGTGGTTGCCAACTCATCAGCCAACCGTGACAACTATTGGCAAAACCACCCTTATGGGATATGCCTATGTTTAGTAGTGGACAGTTAGTAGTAAAAACTGATATAATAATAATTATACAAATAAAAACAAAGATAATTGCAATGAGTGACTAAATATATGTAAATAGTATAAAATTAAGTCACTGTTCACATTATTTCTCCACTTTTTAGTTAAAAACCTAAATTATTTTCTTTGAAATCTTTGGTTCCCTCTGGAAACCATCGTGAACAATTCTTGTTGAATTTGTCATTATGGGCTAACTGACCTGCTTCATCCTCACCTATCATCCTTCACTGGTGCCCCACCGTTGTATACCGATAGTGCGGGTGGGGTTACCATTCCATTATCACCCATTAAAAACAGGGCACGTTATTAACAATCATAATTATCATTCTTGTCCCCTTCAAATCACTTATTTTTACCTGTAACTTTTTCTGCAAGACCAGGATGTGATGTCTCCATCCCATATGTACATATTGAATTGCATATTCACCAAGAGGTAAACAAAACACCATAGTCCTTAGGAAAGGCAATGCATGAATGGTATCATGGACAAGACAATATACTCTGTTATGCCATGTTTGCCATTCTAAGTTGTTTAAAAAAAAAAAAACAAGTTTACATTCACATTTATAATATTGGTAAAGTTGTTTAATGTTCTTTTTTTATTATAATTTCTCAACAGATCATTCTCAGAGGGTGATGGTGTGTGCAGTGCTGAAGTGTATGCCACTGATGTGGTGATCACAACTAACGCTGGCAGCCACAATCATGGCAGCTCCAAGGTCAAATTGCGCAACCTGGTTGACTATAACTGGGAACCAAAATTCTACCATGGCCAACTGTTGGCCATTCACATCAGTGGAAAATATATGGCATATTCCATTAAAGGTATGTAAAATATTTTATTTTGGATTAGTTGACTTGGGTTAAGGCCACCCCAATGAGTTGACAATCCAAAACTGACCAGTTTGGTGCATAAACATAAGGAAAATACCCAAATCAATGTTTTTTTTTTAATGGATGATAATGGAATGGTAACCCCACCTGCGTTATTGGCTATATACACCGGTGGGGCACCAGTGAAGGATGATAGGTGAGGATGATGTAGGTCAGTTAGCCCATTGTGACGAATTCAACAAGAATTGTTAACAATGGTTTCTAGGGGGAACCATGCGGAGGTCGACCTAATAGGGCATATTGCTAGCAATGGGGCTGTGAAACTCCATTACTAACAATCCCTTTCCCCCCCCCCCAAATAAATGATTACATACAAACATAGATACCATAGTGAGACTTGTTTGCTTGGGCACCTCTGTCCCATTCATCTTTCAACTGACTTATATTTTGGTTTAAAGGATGGGATATGACAGTGAATTTACAGGATACACAGGCATAACACCTTAGTCCTCAAGAATGACATTGCATGGGGGGGGGGGGGTATCATGCATTGCCATTCAAAACGGTATACTCTATTATGTCCATGGTACTGTTCATGTCTATAGGCGACTGTTACCACTTTCCATCAGGTGGACCGTCAGCTTGTTTGCCATTCTAATTTGTATAAAAAGAAAACTTGTTTTATTAAAAAAATTGTGCTTTGATCTAAACATTGATTTTATTACATTTACAGCGATAAATCCCGTGAACCCTAGCTCCTGGAGCGGCATGGTGCGCGTGGTGTACAACCCGGAGCCGGGCACGGAGCGCCGCGCTCTTATCAAGGGCATGAAGGGAGTGGTAAGTTATATAATAATCACATAATTTTTGACGTGACTGCAAACGAAATGAGCAGTTTGTTGTTCAGATACCATTTCTGGGACTAATCAAACAAATTGACCAATATCAGTGTCTGTAAAGTAAAACACTGCAGTGGAAGCGTTTTGTAAGGAAAAAATTCTGTCAGTCGGCAAACATTGTCTAACACCTCCACCTGGGGGCAAGGGATTGTTAGTAATGGAGACTGAGAATCCCATTGCTAGCAATATACCCAACCAGGTCGACCTCCTCGCGGTCCCCCCTGGAAACTATCATGGTTAATTCCTGGTGAATTCACTATGATGGGCTAATTGGCCTGTTTTTATTCTCATCTATCATCCTTCACTGGTGCTCCGCCAGCGTATCCCGTTAGCGCAGGCGGGGTTACCATACCATTTTCACCCAGCAAAAAAAAACACCTCCACCTCCTGTACATGGTATTTTACTCTATAAACCTTTTTTGTAAATGTGACGATGTTTGCTGAGTAACCCATTATTTTTTTTATCCTAATAAAAATAATGAAGCCAACAGATGGCATCCCCAACGCCATCTATCGGGTACTTTGTTGTAATATCGGTAACATTTGTTATAATTATTAATTTTAAACTTTCGCATTGTTAACACATGTTTTAAATACACTATCATAATTTAATGCGATGAAAAATTGCAGGTAAATAGTATTTACATACCTGCTTCTTTATTGCCGACGTTTCAACGTGGATTGCACCACGTCGTAGACACGACAGGACTATATCGTCTTGTAATTTTTCATGGCGTTAAGTCCCGACAGTGTATTTAAAAAGAACGTTTGCCACGTCATTTCAAAGTTTGTCGTGCGTGGCCCGACGTAAAATAGGCCGCCCCTTTCTTTCCCGTGGGTGTCATAAGAGGCGACTAAGGGATGGCTAGGAATGGGCAACAGTGTCTCTCTTATAACATCTCTAAAAGCCTAAATGCGGTTGTCAACCCGCCTGCCAAGCGTGAATGAATGAATGAATGGTTTATTTTCTCTTCACAAAAGGTAGTATAAAGTGACAACTTGAAGTACAATTTGATATTAAGACCAATTTTGTGAGAGACTGGTGCTTGCGGTAGGTTTAGAAGAACCTGTGTTACAAGTCACCAGTGCCCCATCTCCATGGACTACACAAATACAAGGCAACCAATTAGTGTTATAATACACAAGCGTGACATCTACTGGCAATTCTCACTTATGGGAAAGGCTTATGTCCATCAGTGGACAGTTAACGGTTGAAATAATTTGTCACGTCAGCTAATTGCAAATGTATAAACATGTATATTTTGATTGAAATCCCAGCCAATGAAAAATATAAATATTATTTCAGGTGCAAGATCTGGCATTTGCTCACATTCAGAGCCAAGTGGTGCTTGCGTGCATTGACGAACAGGGCAACTTCTATGTCCACGAGATTGAAGCTAACGACACTGCAATAAGGTACATAGATTAATAAAATAAATAAATAAAAATAAAAATAGCCTTTATTCCTGAATTACAGATTCTTTTTTTAAATTGTAAATATGTATAAATAATTAATGTTGACATCAGCAACATCTTATTTTTCAGGTTGTTCTAGAACATAGGCCTCCTCCATATTTCTCCATTGGTAACGATTCCTTGCAGCATGTCTCCAGCCTTTGGGCAAATCATCCTCCCATCTTATTGGCCTACCTCGGTTTCTTTTTCCATCACGCGGATACCACTCAATTAAATCTTGGTACATAGATTACTGTCTAATATATTTTGTTCTATTAATGGTGTCTCTTATCTTTATACTTAAAAATTTTGTGTTCATTTAACAATAATTGATTAAAATTAATAAACGCCGAACGGTTAACATTAGGCTCCGAGTAGCGATCTATTAATTCACCTGAAGACGCTTCGTTTAGAGTGGGAACATTTGTTGCAATACATGTGTAGACTGAATGACGGTCGGAGATTGACAACTAATATGGACGGTTGAAGAATTTCTAATAATGATTATAGTAGTTGGTTGTTAAATGTTGGTAGTCCCATGCATACTAGTGGTAGCAGAATTAAACAAAATAATTATAATTAAATCACTAATTCAGACTTCCGCAAAATAACACTTAATTCAGTAAATTATTCATTTTTACAGTCATCGAACAAACATACATATTAAAACCTGGCTATTTTGTTATAACAAAGAAAAAGGTGTAAATGAATATATACGCAACAAAATATGTTTAATTTTATAAATCTAGGCAAATTGAGTACGTACCCATACCCCCCCCCCCCACCCCTCTCTCTCCTTTCCTGTAAGTGTTATAAGAAGTAACTAAAAGAAATTAATGTTCCAGAGATGGACAGTAGCATCCCTCTTAAAACATCACCAAAACTTAACTAGTTGCCAACCCGTCTGCCAAGCGTGGCAACTACTGGCAAAATTCTCCTTATAAGGAAGGCCTATGTTCAATAGTAGACAGATAACGGCTATATGGTGATGATAGTTCAAGTTATATATAATGGTTTTTACACCAAAACATGATCCTGTTATGACGGCGCGGCAGGTGCACGCTGGTGGCGGAGATCCGCGAGGACACGGGCGTGGGCGGCGGGGCGCAGCGCGTGGTGTGGTGCCCCTACATCCCCGACGACGACGACGACGCGCCCGACGACGACGTCGCGCGCCTGCTGCTCACCACGCACCACAACATCGGTACCCCTTTCTACCCTATTTGCCGGGGGGGAAAGGGATTGTTAGTATTGGAGACTGAGAATCCTATTGCTAGCAATATACCCAACCAGGTCGACCTCCTCGCGGTTCCCCCTGGAAACTATCATGGTTAATTCCTGATGAATTCATCATGACGGGCTAACTGGCCCGTTTTCATTCTCATCTATCACCCTTCACTGGTGCTCCGCCAGCGTATCCCATTAGCGCAGGCGGGGTTACCATACCATTTTCACCCATCAAAAACCCTATTTGCCGATGCTGACAATTTCAAATTAGTGGCGAATTCCCCGGGCCTGTTTTTTGTCATAAAAAGCGGCATCGAGAATTGTCCCAGGGGTACCTCAGTAAAAGGTTCTAACATAGGTACCCTTGTTTTTTTTTTTTTGTTCTTAAAAAGCGTCATCAAAAACCTTTCCGAGTGTGCTTGGTACACTAAAGTGCGTCTAGGTTTCACCATATGTGGTCAATTAATAGCAATCAAAAATTTTGCAATACGAAAGTAGGATTAATCCGGCTCGAAGGACTTAATCTATCGATGGTTTAATATGTATTGGAACTGATAGAATGTTATGTGATCCTGGCATAGAATCGGCCACCTATTCCTTTCCCGTGAGTGTCGTAAAAAGCGACTAAGAGACAGCGGAGGATGGGCAGCAATATCCCTCTTAAAACATCTCTAAAGCCTAACTGCGGTTGCCAAGCATAACAACTACTGGCAAAACTCTCTCAGAAAGAGGTTTATGTTCAGCAGTGGACAGTTAAAAGTTGATATAATAATGATTATCTATATAAATGGACTGCAGCACGCATGTGGAACATGCGAGTGATAGCGTCGCAAGTGGCGGCGACGGAGTGCGTGGGGTCAGCGCGCGAGCTGGCGGGCGGCGGCGGCAGCAGCGGAAGCGGCGGCGGCGGCGGCGTGCTGACGGCCGCGGACCACGGGGCTGCCATCGTGGACGCGGCCTTCTCGCCAGACGGCACCGCCCTCGCCACCGCTTCCACTGACGGATACGTCATGTTCTTCCAGGTATAACCCTTTGTCTTTTGTTTATACAACTTAGAATGGCAAACAAGCTGACGGCCCACCTGATGGAAAGCGGTAACCGTCGCCTATAGACATGAGCGAACATAACAGAATATACTGTTTCGCCCATGATACCCTCCATGCGTTGCCATTCCTGAGGACTCGGGTGTTATTTCTCTGTACTCTGCAAATTCCTCTAGTAAAATGTTTTGTCCATATCTACCTTGTAACTTGGAAGGAAGAGACTGTACTCTTCCAAGTTGACCTCCACAAACGCCCTCCTGAAATTTTATGGGTAATTCATTTGGATTTCACTATGACCAACCTGTCTTCACCATTGTCAATTCATCCTTCACTGATACCCTACCATTATATGCTATTTATTTTTTTGGGATATTAATTGGAATGGAAAACCTACACTCACCGTTAGTATATGCTAGTGTGGCATCAGTGAGATATGATAATTAAGGACGAAAACAGATCACTTGGCCTTCTGGTGCTAAATTTGACAAGAATTAACCATGACTATTTCCAAGGGTGAATATGTAAAGGTCGACCCGATAAACTATATTACTTGCTATCTCTTCTTTCCCCAATTATATGCCAATAACATAGACAGGCACATCATTCCATTATTATCCATTTAAAAAACATTGTAACTTCACATTATTAACAATATGTATTTTATTATTATATTAATTAAATCAATGTCCATGTATTTCACTGCTTCATCGCTGGGATTCTGGATGATTTTGAAAGGGAACACAGGATCCCCAGCACAACGTCGCGGCGAGGAATACCGTAGTGGTTTCAGCCGGTAGGAGTCCGGCAGTACCCATACGTGGATGTATAGGTCTGCATGAAGCATTTGCCCACGTTAAAAAGAAATTATTCCACTGTATGATGTGAAAGGATCTCATTCAGTTTATCATGATATGAATTTGTGTAAAATATTCTGTTTGTGATGTCCATGCAGGTGTACATGCACAACGAGAGTAGTCCACGGTGCCTGCACAAATGGCAGCCACATGGAGGCAAGCCGCTCAGCTGCCTCTTTTTCCTCGACAACCACAAGAACTACAATGCCGAGTGAGTACCTCCTCTCCCCAAAATTATATACTTTTAATTTTTTTTTATGCAACTTAGAATGGTTAACAAGCTGACAGCACACCTAATGGATAGTGGTAACCGTCGCTTATAGACATGAACAGTGCCATGGACATAACAGAGTATACTGTTTTACTCTTAATACCTCCCATATGTTGCCATTCCTGAAGACTCAGGTGTTATTCCTCATTGATATGGCAGTGAATTTACAGGGTACACCCTATAAATTCACTGCCATATCCCACCCTTCAAACTGAAACACAGCGATGCAAACAACTGTTTCACGGTAGAAAAATGAATGGAACAGAGGTGTCCTAGCAAATGACTTTTGTACAAAGTCTCCCTCTGGTGGTAATATAAAAAATAGTAACACAGGTTGACCAAAACAAAAACAGCTGCTTCAGATAAATGGTCTGAATAAGATGGCAGGTTTTTTCTTAATGTTTGTTACCTCATAACTCCCTCAGTTTAAAACCGATTTGGATTTTTTTTTTATCTGAAAGGATGTACTTATAAATTGTTCAATAGAATTTTTATGAAAATCAGTTTACTATTGTAGTTTAATTTTTGGACCAAAGTAACCTGTTTTTGTTACAATTAGAGCCCGTTTTTTTTTGTTTTTAAGGTACACAATCTTTCTATTATTGTGTTAAATGTAAAGTAGTGGGTTCTGATATGTTATGCGCGACAAAATTTGGACATGTCGAGTGTTGGACATGTCAGCTCTGGTAATGGTAACAATCCACAAATGCCTTTGACTACCCCTTTATTAATTATAGTCATGTGTATATTTCATTTTGAAAACTTTAACTGAAATTACAGTGTCCAATTCTGGAAGTTTGCCGTAACTGGTGCAGAGAATAACTCCACAATAAAGATCTGGTCGTGCAAGTCCTGGAACTGCCTGCAGACCATCTCCTTCACACCGAGTTTGGGACCAGAGCAGCCCGTGCTGGGACTGAAGGCTATGCTGGACACCAGCGCCAGCTACCTGGTGCTGTCTGACTTCGAGACGAGGAGTCTTTATGTGTTGAACATGGCATGGGATGTGGATGATACCACTGCGTACTGTAAAAGCATATCGGAGTTCCTTCTCCCATACCCTGTTCTCAGTTTTTGTATAGCTGATGCTGGTAAGTTAATGAGCTTATCTTTTTTTTTATATAATACTAACAAAACACCGCGGCTTCACCTATATAAATCAGTATATAAAGTAAGTTATATGCTAAACTAGGATATGACCTTGACTCTTGTACCTTATTTCATCTAAATCCATTTAGTAGTTTTTGCATGAAAGAATTGCTTATTTCATTTTCATTTATTTTATTTCATGGCAATACAATAATTATTAATGTCATTTATAAATTAATATTATATCATTGGGAAAGTTGGATAAATTAATCTATACTTATAATAAATCTGTAGAGAGGTCAATTCTGTACATGAAATATATTTCCAAAATAACTATCAGGCGATGATTAGTGATCGATACTGATGCCAAATATGCAATCAGTAAAATTTCTGTCTGTCTGTCTGTATATTTGTTATAGAAACAAAAACTACTCGACGGATTTTAACGAAACTCGGTACAGTTATTCTTCATACTCCTGAGCAGGTTATAGTATACTTTTCATCATGCTACGATCAATAGGAGCAGAGCAGTGAAGGGAAATGTTGGGAAAACGGGAGAACTTACTCCATTTTTAAGCTTCCGTAGCGTGTGCAGCCTTAATGGCCACTTTTTAAAATGTAAAAATGTCCACCCGTGCGAAGCCGGGGCGGGCTGCTAGTTACTTAATAAGCATTAAGATTTATAGGTCAATTTTTAATAATGTAAAAAGATTAATAATGAATGATGATAATTAGATTATACCAGAGGGAGACTTTGTACAAAAAGTCGATTGCCTGGGTACCTCTGTCCCATTCGTATTTCAACCGTGAAGCAGCTGTGTTTGCATGGCTGTGTTTCGATTTGAAGGGTGGAATATAGCGTGAATTTACAGGGCACAAAGGAATAACACCTGAGTCCTCAGAAATGGCAACCCATGGGGGGTATCATGGGCGAAACAGTATACTCTGTTATGTCGACGGTACTGCTCATGTCTATAGGCGATGGTTACCACTTTCCATCGTTGCATAAAAACAAATGAAATATATATATTTTTTTATTGTTGTGATACAGAAGAGGAGCAAGTGAAATGCGAGTCAAGCTGCGACGACCCGTTCCACAGGAACGGTTCTGCCGGGGACCCTCGCGACTCACCCGACGAGTTTGATGTAAATCGCGATGTAAGGATTTTTTTATACCACGGAAGTTGTTAACAAGCATAAAGTCTGTCCGATGTTAAACTGTAGCCTATGGATGCCTGCAACACTAGGGGTGTCGCGCGCGTTGCCAACCCTGAAGAAGTTATAGTCCTGTTTTCTCTAGAGAAAGTGGATTGTTAGTATTGCTCTAACAGCCCCATTGCTACCAATATACTCTATTAGGTCAACCTACACGCGGTTTCCCCTGGAAACCACAGTAGTTTTTTTCACCTATCATCTCTCACAGGCGGGGCACCAGTGAAAGATGATAGGTGAGGATAAAGCAGGTCAGTTAGCCCATCGTGACGAATCCAACAAGAATTATTCACGATGGTTTCCAGGAGTACCACGTGGAGGTCGACCTAATAGGGTATATTGCTAGCAATGAAGCTATCAAACTCCAATGCTAACAATCCCTTTTCCCCAACCATAGTGTTTTTTTTTTGGTGGATGAAAATGGAATGGTAACCCCGCCTGCACTAACGGGATACGCTGGCGGAGCACCAGTGAAGGGTGATCGATGAGAATGAAAACAGGCCAGTTAGCCCATCACGATGAATTCATCAGGAATTAACCATGATAGTTTCCAGGGAGAACCGCGAGGAGATCGACCTGGTTGGGTATATTGCTAGCAATGGGATTTTTAGTCTCCATTATTAACAATCTCTTAATAAGAAATCATTTTAGCGGTTAGGTGGTGCAGTAGTCTCGTGCGTGCCGGCAAGATGGCTTGGCTCCAAAACACGAATAGTACATTACTGCAGCGGCCAGCAACTGAGGCATTGATGGACGAACGTACAAATGTGGGCCGAGGTGTAGCCGAAGCACACACATGTCAGTCCATCAATGCCTAGTTGTGGCCAAGGCTTGTATAGTACTTTTTTCAAACAATGCGCAGAAATCAAAAACACAATTTTACTTTTTAAATTCAATGACGAATATAACGAACAATAATAATTTTTCATGCGCCATAATGTTCCCTTGTTTTTTTTTTTTTTTCATTAAACAGCTTTCTATTTGCAAGCCAGTTCGAAATTTAAATAAAACCTTGTATTAGTTACCTCCTTGGTAGCCATGTTTCGAAGTAAAAGGTCATTCCATTTTTAAATTACAGGACAGATATGAGTTTACATAGTAATTTATCTAGTCGCAAAACACGACACATATGGATTTTCATACAACTTTTGCCAGCCGTTGCCCGCATGTATCTTGGCCAGTACGGCAATTCTGATTTATCTCGAAGAAGATTGTTAAAATAATGCTCACAATTTCCAAGCATATTTGAGAAAAATATATTTAATCTGAAAGAAAAAAAATCTTGGGTCTGAAAAGGTTATAAACATAAAAGACTCGACTGTTGTTGGTGGTGCGTGTAACATGTGGAGCGATGTTTGGTCAGCAGTCGGGGTCGGCGTGCGGCGCGGGCGCGGCGTGCGGCGGCGGGCGGCGCGCGCGGCTGCGGCTGCTCATCGTGCAGCCGCGCGGCCTGCAGGAGGGCGACCTGGCGTACGAGCCGCCGCCGCCGCCGCCGCCGCCGCTGCTAGCCACAGGTAACTGCACCATCTCGCCATATCACACATGTTTGACAAAAAATTATATGAGGGGGGGTAATATTATTTACAAGTTTCATCCGTCTGTCTGTATGTTTGTTCCGGTATCTGTCAAAAACTGCACTGAATTGTTATACGATTTTCACAGTAGTGATCGCAGGAGGTCTAACTTAAAAAGTGGTGTATGTTTTATCTTAATACGCCATCTAGAATTAGTATATTTCATTGATTTTTCTATTTCTAAAATCCACACGTGCAAAGTAGCGGGCAAAATGCAAATTTTTCAAAAGATCAAAATGGTTTAGTATCAGTAAATGATGCAATGTGAGCATTAAGTCAGGTCAGGTTGGTCCATCGTGCCGGATTTGCTAGGGATAGTTAGTAATGAGGAGTTTAATCCCCATTGCTATCAATATACCCTATCAGGTCGAACTCCACGCGGTTCCCCTTGGAAACTATCGTAACTAATTTATCGTTGAATTCGTCACAATGGGCTATCTGACCTGCCTTTTCATCCTCACCAATCACCGCTCACTGGTACCCCGCTAGTATATACCGATAGCGCAGGCGGGGTAACCATGCCATTATCACGCATAAAAAAAAATAACACCCCCCACCCCTCACTAGATGGAATGACGGTGGAGTGCAGGTGACTCAGGACCATTCCTTATGGCAGTTTATGGGGGAGTCCTAAACTCAGCAGTGGAAAGACAATGACTGATGTGATGTTAATGATTTTGAATGCACAGGTCTATCCGACCTGACGCTGGAGGATACGGCTCCTCCGGACACCGCGCCGACCACCATTCCGTCCAGTATCCTGCAGCAGCAGAGTCAGCAGCTTAAGAACTTGCTCATGAGATCACAGGTAAGGACTAGGGGCTTGTTTTTTGTAATGAGTGATAGCAGTTGTGTTTGCATGGCTGTGTTTCGGTTTGAAGGGTGGGATATGGCGTGAATTTACTGGGTACACAGGAATAACACCTGAGTCCTCAGGAATGGCAACGCATTGGGGGTATCATGGGCGAAACAGTATACTCTGTTATGTCCATGGTACTGCTCATGTCTATAGGCGATGGTTACCACTTTCCATCAGGTGGGCCGTCAGCTTGTTTGCCATTTTAAGTTGTATAAAAAAAAAAATAACAGAATAGTAATTCCGCCTGTGTTTTATCCTAGCGGGACAGCAGTAGGAGATGATAGGTGTAGAACAAGAACAAGCCAGTTAGCCCATCGTGACGAATTTATTTACATTTAGTCACAGTGGTTTCTAGATAGTACCGTGTATAGGTCGATCTGATATGGTGTGTTTTTTTTATGATAATGCAATGGTAATCCCGCTTACGCTAACGGTATACGCTGACGGGGCACCTCTATATATATATATATATATATATATATATATATATATATATATATATATAAAATCGTTTATGTATGTTACATTGTTTTAGACACAGCCGGGCAGTCTCATTAGTCAGCGTCCAGAGTCTCCCACCGCCCCTACACAGCTGAATCTCATGACGCCGGACGCTTTCAGGTTAGTTTATAGATAGCATAAATCCTTGTCATATATTTTTCTAGTGTCGTTGAAGTTGGTTAAAAAGGCTTCAAAAATAAGGAGGTTCTCAGTTCAGTAAAAAGAAATATTTTTTACTTCATTACTCGCATCAGTTATAAGGTAGACTTCTGCAAGATAACACCCATTTCAGTAAAACAAATTACGTTATTTTAAAACGACTGCAGCCGCAAATTGACGTATTACTATATTATATATATATTTTTTTTTTTAATTTTAATAATACAGCACTATCATAGCTACTTGTACAACAATTAGTCCATTACCTTAAGGTTGTCTTGAAAAGATTATATATATATATATATATATATATATATATATATATATAATTATATATTGTGTTTGTATAATATATATATATATATATATATATATATATATATATATATATATATATATATATATATATATATATTTTTTTTTATTTATTTTATATGTTCCCGCACCAGTTCGCCGGGTAAACGCGAGGAGGACGACCCGCCGCTGTCCGCCACGCCCGACGTCGGTGGCAAGTCGCGCTCGTCTCTCGGAGGTACTGTCTTTTAAATTATTAATTAGTAGCTGTAATACCAAATTTGATTTAACCCTTCTTTGCATGATTTTTTTTTTTATTGGTGAAATAAATCAAGGTGATATAATTCATGTTTAAAATTAAAGGAAAAATGGTTAAAAAAATAAATTTGACAGCTATGTATTTTTTTTTCTGCATTGCACATTAAAAAGGTATCTAGACACGATCAACTTAAGTGAACTTGTTTTTTCAAATAATTTTTGGGCATTCAATGTTATGATGGAAATTTCCACCGTTATGCAAAGAAGAGTTAAATCCGTTCATTAACTATTACGTCAAACATCCATCTATCCATCCATTTCTCATCCATCGCATTTATTATTATACATATTTGTTCACTTATCGACATAAAAAGTCACCTATATCCTTAACAAATAATAACTGGCTCTTGTTGCCAGGATTTAATCATTCGAAAGCCCTGATTAAAGCCCTCCCTCACCAGAGGGAGACTTAGAATGGCGAACAAGCTGATACCCCACCTGAATAGAAAGTGGTAACCGTCGCCTATAGACATGAGCAGTACCATGGACATAACAGAGTGTACTGTTCCACCCATGATACCCCCCATGCGTCGCCATTCCTGAGGACTCAGGTGTTATTCCTCTGTACCCTGTAAATTCACGCCATATCCCACCCTTCAAACCGAAACAGCCATGCAAACACAACTGCTTCACGTTTGAAATATGAATGGAACAGAGGTACCCAAGCAATCGACTTTTGTACAGTCTCCCTCTGGTGAAAAGGTTCGCGTAAGTCGAGGTATTCCTGTATTATTCATTTGTTATTATTCAAATAGAATACTAGTCAGTTTGGTCATTTGGAGAGAATGGATGCAAGAAGAATTACGAGAATTATTAAGAAGAAGAATTATTAAGAGATTTCTCGAGGAACAATGAACGGGGATGTCGGTAGGGACCGCCCTAGACTAGACTAGTATGTCGACCAAATAGGCGACGTGCTGAAGAAGGGCCAAATTAAAGTACCCGTAACCGGCGAGCGTGTATGAAAAGATTGATGAATGTGGAAGAAGCGAAAGAGGTTTGTTTGAATCGAAGCATTTGGCGTTCCATTGTTTCTGCCTACCCTAATGGGAGACAGGCGTGACAGATATGTATGTATGTATATAATACTAGTCAGTGTGTTTACAAGAAATGTAAAGAAAAAATGTAAATACAAAGAAATCAGAAGGTGTATTCAGTAATTTTTAGTTTCATTTAATAAGCCACCAAAACACTTCAACATTATTTTAGTGGACTTTATTCTTCTAAATTAAATAAATAATAAAAGAAAAAAATCTTGATGTATTATATTGTATGGGATGTGTCAGCAGGCGTGTGTAGTGAGCCAGCAGTGAGCAACGCGAGCTTGCTGGTGGGGACGGTGGTGCCCGCGGCGGGCGCGGTGGCGGCGCCGGCGGCGGCGGCGGCGGCGGCGGGCGGCGCGGCGGCCACCGACAAGCCCGCGTCCGGGGGCTCCAGCCCCAGCCGCGAGGTGCAGCAGATCATGGAGCACAACGACCACTACTACAAGGATATCGTACGTCACCTGCACTGTTTATTCTTACAACATTATCTTACATCTTAATGTCATTCTTAACATTTCTTCAACGTTAATTTGTAAATTTTTATTTCTTTTTTTTTATGCAATTTAGACAACTCAGGTTGTCTGTAAAAGATTGCTTTTAGCGATAAGGCCGCCTTTTGTATATGTACATTATGTATATATATATATATATAGTTTAAAATTCTCGAGTCGCGGTGTTTGTTACCAAACTCTTCCGAAACGGCTATACATTTGGTGGGCTTTCAGTTTGTTTGCTATTTTAAATTGCATAAAAAAGAAAAAAAATTCGAAATCGGTTTGCAACTGACGAAACTATGAGGTAATATAAAAAATACGATTGAATTTAGAATCTACTTCTTGAAATTGATTGAAATATAACGGGCTGTGTCTGTGTGGAGGAGGGGGAGGAGTCGAGCCAGTCGCCGGCGGCGGAGGAGGCGGAGGAGGCGGAGGAGGCAGACGAGCCGGGGGAGGCGGCCGGCGCGGCACCCGCACCTGCAGCCGTGCCCGCACACACACCCTCGGCGCTCACGCATACTAGTAATTACATTTTTTTTTTATTAAAAATCAAGGCTTGTTTAATCTATACTTATAATATATGTATATATATAAAAAGGTAAAATTGTGTTTCGTGTGATGTTCTGAGTGATCTGAGTTCTCGGGTACTACCTAAGAACAAGGAATTACATAGAAGGAATGATAAAATAAAAACTTCACAGCAGGAGGCTAGTTATACGTTATATAAAAAATGTTATCGAGAGGTATGTGTATTTTTTATATAAACACGTGTAAATTATTGTACGCAGACAGCGACACGTCGTGGCCGCAGATCTCGCTGGCGCAGATCACGGAGGCGAACCAGAGGAAGGCGTCGAGCGAGAAGTCGAGCAACCAGTCGCTCAACAACTCGCTCGGGCCCGCCGCCGCGCCCTCGCCCGCCGACCGCGCCCGCCTCGACCGCCTCGAGCGGCTCGACCGGCTCGACCGGCTCGACCGGCTCGACCGGCTCGAGCAGATCGAGCACAAGATCGACAAGCTCACCGGTAACCATATTCACTTTACAACACACTTAAAAAAAAAAGGTGGTTTTCAGTTGGTTTTATTGCTTTTTCTTCTGCAAGAATATCCTTACAAATGGCTCCTATAGGAGTTAAAATTAGTTCAATAGTTCTTAAATCAAAGTTAGTGAGTAATACCATAAATTGGACTCTATATTCCGCGCTTAGTCTCTCATTTGGGCCATTGTGCCTATGAAAGTTTTGCCATAATTAAAGTCGGTTTTTTTTTATTATTAATAAATATATTAATTGAAGTCTTTTGTTGTATGATTTTGTAAGAGACGGGATTTTTTTGATTGGGTTACACCGGGTGTGGTAATGAGTAGGTGTGATGTGGTGTCATGTATCCGCTTCCACCGCAGAGCTGGTGGCATCGCAGTCCCGGGAGGTACGTGCACTGCGGAGCGCCGCCGGCAGCCCGCGCGCCATGCTGGACGCCGCGCTGCACGAGCACGCGCAGCGCACCGCCGCCGCCGTGCACGCCGCGCTCGCCGACGGGTCAGTAGCACGCCGCCACGCACAGCCATACAGCCATACAGCCATACAGCCATACAGCAGGGGCCGGCAGCCCGCGCGCCATGCTGGACGCCGCGCTGCACGAGCACGCGCAGCGCACCGCCGCCGCCGTGCACGCCGCGCTCGCCGACGGGTCAGTAGCACGCCGCCACGCACAGCCATACAGCCATACAGCCATACAGCCATACAGCAGGGGCCGGCAGCCCGCGCGCCATGCTGGACGCCGCGCTGCACGAGCACGCGCAGCGCACCGCCGCCGCCGTGCACGCCGCGCTCGCCGACGGGTCAGTAGCACGCCGCCACGCACAGCCATACAGCCATACAGCCATACAGCCATACAGCAGGGGCCGGCAGCCCGCGCGCCATGCTGGACGCCGCGCTGCACGAGCACGCGCAGCGCACCGCCGCCGCCGTGCACGCCGCGCTCGCCGACGGGTCAGTAGCACGCCGCCACGCACAGCCATACAGCCATACAGCCATACAGCCATACAGCCATACAGCAGGGGCCGGCAGCCCGCGCGCCATGCTGGACGCCGCGCTGCACGAGCACGCGCAGCGCACCGCCGCCGCCGTGCACGCTAGGGCTACAGTATAATAATTTTATTTTATTATTCAGATTTTTGTAGACATAATATAATGAAATATATATACGTATATGGGTATAGTATTGTAGGGTACTGTACCAAAAAATTGTATGGTTTACATATCATCATAGTCATATTACCCGTTAACTGTCCCGTGCTGAACGTAGGTCTTTCAAACGTCACAAAAGTTTAGTTGCGTTCGCCAATTGGTGTGTGAAGCGTGGCAGTTGTTGTGGTACGGTCAGCAGTGTACATGGAGCCGTGTGTGGGCAGGTGGGAGCGCATCGCGCGTGCAGGCGAGGCGGCGGGCGGGCGCGCGGCGGCGGCGGCGGGCGCGGGCGCGGCGCGCGCGCTCGAGCCGCTGGCCGCCGCGCTGCAGCACGAGCTGGCCGCCAAGCTGGCCGCCACCGACCGCCTGCTGCGCGACAACATCGACAAGCTCGCCACCAGCAAGGTACGTCCTCGCGCCCACCGCGCACCACCGCGCCCCACCGCCCCCGACCGCACTCGACCGCTCCCGACTACTCCCGACCGCACTCGACCGCTCCCGACCGCACTCGACCGCTCCCGACACTCCCGACCGCACTCTACCCCACCCGACTGTGCCCGACCGCACTCGACCGCTCCCGACTACTCCCGACCGCACTCGACCGCTCCCGACTACTCCCGACCGCACTCGACCGCTCCCGACTACTCCCGACCGCACTCGACCGCTCCCGACTACTCCCGACCGCACTCTACCCCACCCGACTGTGCCCGACCGCACTCGACCGCTCCCGACTACTCCCGACCGCACTCGACCGCTCCCGACTACTCCCGACCGCACTCGACCGCTCCCGACTACTCCCGACCGCACTCGACCGCTCCCGACTACTCCCGACCGCACTCGACCGCTCCCGACTACTCCCGACCGCACTCGACCGCTCCCGACTACTCCCGACCGCACTCGACCGCTCCCGACTACTCCCGACCGCACTCGACCGCTCCCGACTACTCCCGACCGCACTCGACCGCTCCCGACTACTCCCGACCGCACTCGACCGCTCCCGACTACTCCCGACCGCACTCGACCGCTCCCGACTACTCCCGACCGCACTCGACCGCTCCCGACTACTCCCGACCGCACTCGACCGCTCCCGACTACTCCCGACCGCACTCGACCGCTCCCGACTGTGCCCGACCGCACTCGACCGCTCCCGACTACTCCCGACCGCACTCGACCGCTCCCGACTACTCCCGACCGCACTCGACCGCTCCCGACTACTCCCGACCGCACTCGACCGCTCCCGACTACTCCCGACCGCACTCGACCGCTCCCGACTACTCCCGACCGCGCTCTACCCCACCCGACTGTGCCCGACCGCTCCTAACCACACCCGACAGCACCCGATTGCGCTCGATCATAACCTGACTCTAACCAACCTCATCTGACCGCACCCGACCGCGCTGGATCGCATCCGACCCTAACCGACCGATTAGGAGGGAAAGGATTGTCAATAATGCAGACTACCAGTTCTATTGCTAGCAATATACTCTATCAAGTCGATCTCCACGTGGCCCCGCCTGGAAACCATCACGCTGAATTCCAAATGTATTTGTCACGATGGGCTAACTGACCTGCCTTTTCATTCTCACCTTTCATTTTTCAGTATTGCCTTGCCAGCCTATACACAGCGTATACTCAAATAAATGCATCGCAGAGAGCCAGTGAATGCAGGTAGTTTAAAATTGTTTCTTATGGCGGTCTATGGGGGAAATCTATGGCCAACAGTGCACGAATAATGGTTAAAATGATGATAATGAGTAAATGAGATGATTTTCTATACCATACCTATTTAATAAACACAATCGGCAATATTTAAAATTGTATTCCATCGATTATTTGATTGTATGTCCGCAGACTGTCATGGACCGGCTGAGCACAGCAGTGGCGACGTCACTAGCGGACATGGTTCGCGAGTCGTTCCGCACCGCTCTCTTCGACAGCGTCGTACCCGTCATGGAGAAGGCGCACGCGCAGATCTTCCGCCAGATCAACCAGGCCTTCCAGAACGGCACCAAAGAGTGTAAGCTCTTCATGTATCCACTGATATTGTTATACTGCTTCTTAGGCAGGCTTGGAGCTGGATTTATCCCCATTTTTAAGGATTTCTTACCTCCAAAGGAGAAAATGGAACCCTTATAGGATCAATTCGTTGCCCGTACCTCTGTCTGTCAAAACCCTTTTTTGTAGAAACGCGTGATGGTATCGAGTTGAAATTAATGTCATATACTCAGGTCTGCAATTTTTTAAGACAGTAAAAAAATTAAGCTTTTTAATTGTCGCAATCAAAAGATACGGCCGTTTATTATATCGCATTTATATCGCATATTTGGACATTCGCAAAGGGAATCAAAGCCTATAGGGTACTTCTCGTTGACCTAGAATCATGAAATTTGGCAAGAAACAATGTCATGTAGCATGAGTAAAGGTAAAAATTAAAAACTGTAAATTTGTAGTTTTTTCACATAACAAAATTTTACTTGATGATTTTGTACGGTGCCCTCGTTGTGTGAGCCCAATTTGAACTTGACCGCCTTTTTTTTTGTAATTGTAAACTTGTTACCGTGTAGTCGCAGCGAACACTGAGGCGGCAGCGCGTGCAGCCGCGGAGCGCGGCGGCGCTGCAGCGACAGCGTCGCTGCGCGCGGCGCTGGAGCGGCACGCCAGCGCGCTGGCGGCTGCGTCCGCGCAGCCTCCCATGCAGCAGCTGACCGCCGCGCTGCAGGAAACCGCGCACAGGTACGCACCGCCGCGGCCGCGGGCATCACCTCGGTCCAATACGGCTTTAGGTGCATTTGTTACACAGCTGAAGCGAATTTAACTGTAATGTTTAGCTTATAGAAGGATCATAATGAGCCGACAATGCATTTTTATTGCTGCAAATATTTTTTGTGATTTATATAAGCCCTGTATACGTCAGTAAAAATTCATGCATTGAAACGTTCGTGTAACCATTTGTCGTCTGATTATGTCGTGACGTCGAGTTGCCACTAAACCTATATCAAAGAAAATACCTGTATAATACTTGTTTAAGTGTTATGTACTAATTTTTATATATCGCAAAACAAGGGCACAACTGTACTTCGCGGTTTTACAGGACAGCCATGTAAAGTTTTTTTTTTTTTTTTTTACATTATATGTCGTGTTGTCGCCATATTCATCCAAAATGACAAAAACACTAATGCTGTTCGACTCTTTGTTTGACTAGAAAAAGGAATGTTTTTATAGTTCTTTTACATATTTAACTCATTTTGCGATTTCTAGTATGCTGTGCCCTTGTCTTACCAAAGGTGCGATATGTTGTGCTGTGATACACGTTTAATAATATACATTTTCTCAAACATGCTTGGAAATTTTTGCACGTTCGTCCATGAATGCCTCAGTTGCTGGTCGCTGCAGTAATGTACTATTTTTGTTGTGCATATTTAACAAGATGTGTGTCTGTTTACGTGTGATGCGGCGGCAGCGTGCTGGAGAAGGAGCTGTCGTGGTGGCGAGAACAGGCGCGCGGCGTGGCGCTGCACATGTCCCGCGCGCACACGCCCGCCGCGCCGCCCACGCCCTCTGCCGCCGCCGCCTCCGCCGCCGACAGGCAGGTCAGCGCACACGCACGCACGCACACGCATGCACACGCACGCACGCACACGCACGCACACCACATCTCTGACGCTGATACGCAGATAGTCACCCCCCACACTCACAAATATTACACCTCCAACAACGTGTTAATATCTACATACTCACGAACGCATACGTACTTAACACCTCTATAACCGATAAACAGTTTAAGTCAGTGTTTCCCAATCATTTTTATGTCATGCCCCACTTGAACATATCTAAAATTTTTATGCCCCCATACATATTTTTTCCCGACAAAGTTTACTTGACTACTCTAATCGCCCAATTGATATATTGGTAACGTCAAACGAAATTTTACCTAACAAATATTTTTTTTTACAAAATTTTTAATTTTTGTTACTTTTGGCACCGATATCTACTCGTAGCATTGCATTTAAGTGGTCCGGAGCAAGAGGATTAAAATCGCTTCGACTCCATTTTTTAATTGCCCCCTTAACTATCAAATTGCTCCCTTTTGGGGCGTGGGCCCCGCGTTTTAAAACACCGGTTTAGGCACTCCATACACATATACATCACATACATTATGCATTTCACCCCCACCACTCACATGCAGATACATTATACCACCGCAGGCAAGTCAGTTACCATGCACATATCCGAACACATAACATCAACAATACCACCGACAAGCAAATCCTGTACATACACGCTTTGCTAACTCTTCCTAAAATTGTTCAAAAATTAATATAGGTCACAAGCATAATAATATTATTAACTCGTGAAGGCCATTGTATCCACAACTTCTCATAGGCCACGGTTACTTCTTCCATCAACAGCACTGCCAATTGTCAGCTTTTGTCATTTTATTAATAAAAAACAATAATTACGTATTGATACATAGTTTTCTTCCAGAAACCATATCGTAATATAACGAGATTGTGTTCAAGAATCAATTCCTTTTCTCGTACAAGTACAATCATTTCCTTTTTGTTATATGAAGTAGTTGGTATAGTTTGAAGTAGTTGGTATTTTATCTGTTTATTTCCACATTAAATATGTTTGTAATATTATTATCGAAAATCATGTGACAATCAAATCAATTTATGTATCAATTTATAATATTAATTCCAGATGATTTTGGTCCTTCGATCCGGATCATTGATTAAATAATTCAATCGTTCCGAAGATTGTTTATTCCTCCTTCAGAGCGGCTAGACCTAACCATGATTTTCCGTTTTGTATATGCTTCGTGGCCATTGTACCGTATGTGTATGTGTGCTGTGTACAGATGCAAGTGGCGCAGATCCAGTCGCTGATGAGCGGCGGCGACGCGAACGGCGCGTTCCAGCTGGCGCTGTCGGCGTCGGACCTGACGCTGGTGGTGGCGGCGTGCCGCGCCGCCGACCCGGCCGCCGTGTTCGCGCCGCCGTGCCGCCTGCGCCAGCACGTGCTGCTGTCGCTCGTGCAGCAGCTGGCCGCCGACATGACGCGCGACACGCACCTCAAGCACAGGTACACCACCCACTTGTAATAACAAATATACCATGAGTACAGAGGGGAAAGCGAACAATGGAGTTTGACAGCCCCATTGCTAGTAATATTAGGTCGCATACGTCGTTCCACGTGGTTCCCCCTAAAAACCATTGTGAACAATTCTAGTTGAATTAGTCACGATGGGCTAACTGACCTGCTTCATCCTCACCTATCATCCTTCACTGGTGTCCCGCTGGTGTATTCGGTGCGAGTGCGGTTACTATTCCATTATTACCCATTAAAAAATATTAAAATAAAGCATGTGAAAAATCAGCGCTGCAGCGTACGTAGTCACGTTGCGGTGTAAAGCTAAGCGGGCGCCATTTTCACCGCCATGGCCACTGCGGCGTACATTAAATACTCCCTATTTATCTACTTACATTTAATAATATCGTGTACATATGTCGTACTCTCGATAAATGTCATTCAATATATAATACAATTTCTATTTCATAATGTTCAAACAGTTACTGTTTCTCAGTTGTTTTAGTAATCATAAATAAAATAATTTGAAACTCTTTTTTTTTTTTGTATACAACTTAGAATGGCAAACAAGCTGATGGAAAGTGGTAATCGTCGCCTATAAACATGACATGGGCATAACAGAGTATACTGTTTCGCCCATGATACGCCCCCATGCGTTGCTATTCCTAAGGATTCAGGTGTTATTCGTCTGTACTCTGTAAATTCACGCCATATCCCACCCTTCAAACCGAAACACAGTCATGCAAACACAACCGCTTCACGGTTGAAACACGAATGGGACAGAGGTACCCAAGAAAACGACTTTTGTACAAAATCTCCCTCTGGTCATAAATATTTGTTATTTGTATTTACTCAAAATTTTAAATGTTCCTGTCGAATCCAATTTGTAAGTCAGTCTTTTCAGCTATAACCATTTTTCAAACTAAGTGGTAAAACACAATTTATATTGTTAAAGACTCTGGATAAGTACATTATTTTTTTTTTTTTTTGCAAAATAATCAAACTTTTCAACCAATAAATATAATATGATCTGATAAAATTGACGTCTGATTAGTCTGAAAAGTTCCTTACAAATAAAATATTTACTCCCACAGGTACCTAGAAGAAGCGGTGATGAACCTCGACACGAACAACCCAGTGACCCGTGAGCACCTGCCCGCGGTAATACGCGAGCTGCAGAAGCAAATAATGGCATTCCTGAACGCAAACCCAGGGCACGCGCTCACGCGGCAGTTCAAAATGCTGCTGATGGCCACCGAGTCGCTGGTGAAGAGCGCGGTCTGACCGCGGTCGTGCTGCCACTGCGCCTGCGACCTATACAGGACCATGCACCGGCTGCACTGACCGCCCGCTCGCCGACGCAGCGGTGTCGTTGTGCTTGTGAATGCAAGTTGATACTCAGATATGTTTAAAGTGCCACGGAATGTGTTTAACAGTCGATTCTGAAAGCTTTGAGCTTTGTGACGGGAAAAGTAAAGGTAATATTTTATTATAGAGAGACTTATACAGTGAACGACAGATATCCTGAACTAAACTGTAGATAATGAAACCCTTATTTTTTAACCTAAACTTTGACTGTACAAGTCACGGGGTATTAAAAAGTTCTTGATACTTTATTCCCCTATCAATACCCCCCATACATGAAACGTCACTACTCAATAATCAATGACTTATTTGTCATTTAAAGTCAATATCCTATAAAAATATTATTATACATAATAATGTATCATTGAATAAATTTATTTAGTGTTAATAAGTGCGAGGTAAAGTGAGTTCAAATGTACAATTTACATAATTGTATATGTAACGAATTATACAAATTGAAACCGTCATAGGGACGATCAATCTGTCTGTTTTTTTTTTTCTAATTATGTATTTTATACTGCATATCCTATGATCAACAAAGCTTGTCAAATATATTGTAACATCACATCACATCACATTTTATTTTATAATATCACACAAGGTGTTACAAGAAGTGCTATTCATGAGGTAACAGAAACTGATTGTACTCTGTACCTGACCTTAGGGAGATATTTATGCTTTATTCTAGAAGAGGAGATTGTTTAATGCAGCAAACGACTTGGTGTAAATTTTGTTAGTAATATTGCATCAAAATATATATGTATATATGTTTTGTTTTGCAATATCACCCGCGTACATTACGTAAGAATTTATAAAAGTCAGTAGTTATAGTTTAAATTTCTTTGTTTATGATAATTTCCGTTTTACACTGACAACAATATTATGGTTAACTTATTCTCTGACATTTATAAAATAGTCGTAGAAACGTTTTTTATCTCCTTTTCTGTGTTCTATAGAGAAATAACTGTGACATCACATTGAGAATTGACATTAAACCAACCAATTTTTGGTTTAATTGTATTTTGTAATAATTTCAGAAACAATTTTTTCTGTCTCTTGCAAAACTTAAGCAGAAAACAGAATACATTATTTGATATTGTTAGGAGATATTCGCGGTTGACTGTCGAATGAGTGTTTTGTAATTTATCGTATCACGGTATGATATCGTATGATTTTATCGTCACGATATAATTGTGGAATCAAAATGCATGCTCACGTAGTCACTAATTTCCGCGCACTGTATCGTCGAGGAGAATTAATTAAAAACGAGTCTCAATACAATTGTACACTTTTTATGTTTTCTGTTTAGTGTTAATTTACACCATCATTTAGGTAACGCATGATAATTTACCCGGGTTATCTGGACATTACGATCAGGATACACATTGCTGTGGTCACGAGACTGATGTTACGTAAATGATCGTGTCAATTCTCGTGTTTTATAAACCATAAACTATGCAACGCGAAGGTAAAAGTCTATGCTCGTTTTGCTCTTCTATTATATCGTGACGATAAAATCGTACGATATCATACCGTCCCACGATAGACTACAAAAGCGCCCAATCAACCTTATGATTAACATGTAATGTGATATAATTGTATTAAAATGACATTATTAATAATATGTGTGACTCGGAAGTGATTACTGATTAGTGCTATGGTTTTTAAAAGACCACATTTTTATAGTCGTCTCTTTCGTGAGTAAGCGCTAGATACTCTATCTCGCTCTAAGTTAAGAATCTACAAGATTTCGCCAAGCATGTATATTTTATTGATAAGCTTACTGTTGCGGTATCAGACTGTTTAAAGTTTTTTGAAATGTATAAAGTTTCTAACTTTATGAATACATTACCTTATGCTTTAAAGTTTTCGTGAATTGCTTTAAACTTTTTTTGATTTCATAAATACGTATAAAGTTTATGATAATGATTATAAAAATCTTTTTTTTTTTAATATAATATACAAAAACAAACGAGTCTCATAAATGATTTAAAAAAAAAGTCGATTGCTACATAAATATAGTATGTTTTGTAAATTATTAATGTTAAATATAAGATTAAGAAGTTGCAAAGCAGTTATTTAACCGCGCCCGTCGCCATTGCGAGCTTGCATCGCAGAATAAAGACTGTAGGAAAATTTGACGGTGCTACTTTCGGCGCACAAGACACGATGTTTGGCAATAAATCGAGGCGAGCGGTTTGACTTGCTAATTGGCGATTGTGCATCGCCAATTTAAAAGTTGCCGCAACCTCGGCAGTTTAGTAGCCGAACAAAACTGTAGTTCGATGAGTTTTGAATTAAACTAAATTTCTGAACATAGGTCGGAATGCTTAAAAATTGCACCCTGTGAAATCTTGGTTCGATGAGGTAAATAAATAAACAATTAGTCAATTTTAACACGTTGACTGCCATGGCAATTTTAAAAAATCTGGCCTAACAAAATGACAATTCGATTTAATCACATTCAATCGACTCACTGAAACTGCGCATGTATGTTGCATCTCTGTGCATCTTCTACCGAATTTATCACCTGATTTTCACCACCGTACAACCCGCCACAAACTAAAATTTCATCCCAACCATCTGGACGAGCGGCGGTCCTCCACCGTGCGTTTTTCAAGGCACTTTCTCCCACGCACAACCATTCTTTGGAATCAACTTCCAGCAGCAGTATTTCCGAATCGATACGACATCATAACCTTTAAGAAGGGAGCATATTTCTTTTTAAAAGGCCGGCAGCACACCTGCAATGCCGTTGGTGTTGCGGATGACCATGGGCGGCTGTAGTCACTTACCATCAGGTGAGCCGCATGCTAGTTTGCCTCTGTGTTGTAAAAAAAATATCATTAAGAACTATAATTCTATTTATTTATTTAATACTTTATTGTACACACTAATTATACATAAAAATTATGACAGAGGTAAATCAAATGTACAAAGGCGAGCTTAACTCTAAAAGAGTTCTGTTCCAGCAAACACAAAGTGGAAAGGAGCATCAATGTCAACGGGTAGAGCGGTTTACAGTATTGTGAAAATTTTCAAACAAAAGATTAGAATTCTAATGCATAATTATCATCAAGAAGCATAAAAATACAACCAAACCCTAAAATATTTTTTAATTTCAATTAATTTTATATTTATATTTTTGGTTCGTTTTTTAATACATTTTCTTTTAATGCAAGCCAGTGTCAATTTTTTGTTCTTTCCCCAGAAGCCATCTATCGATATAAGCACTGATATCGTCATAGTCGTAGAATACTGACAGATCTATATATGTAATATTCGTCAGATCCGTCAGTATTCTACGACTATGACGATGTATTCCCAATTTAATCGTAGCTGCACAAACATGGCAAGTAAACATAGGACGAGATAACTCGTAGCTGGCGCTCTAGAAAAGAACCTACCTACACCTACTCGCAACCTACGAGTTATTTCTTAGTTGGCAGTCAACGTGTTATCGTAGTTGGCAGTCAACGTGTTATCTCGTAGTTGGCAGTCAACGTGTTATCTCGTAGTTGGCAGTCAACGTGTTATCTCGTAGTTGGCAATCAACGTGTTATCTCGTAGTTGGCAGTCAACGTGTTATCTCGTAGTTGGCAGTCAACATGTTATCTCGTAGTTGGCAATCAACATGTTATCTCGTAGTTGGCAGTCAACGCGTTAATTGTACCAAACGATGGCCGAAGCCGTACTACAGAATACACTGTAAGACTCTCTGTACAATGTTAAATCTTAGATAATTAGCAAATTGAGACTGCTACACTAATTGATATTATTTTCGCTTTTCTATGTGATTTTCGATGATTAACAAAATAATTATACGAACATATGATGCGTAGTTTTATCCGCTTTGTTTATATAACAAGTTAGATTGTTCTCTCAATGAGGAAACACCTACACGTATATAATTGAAGCGTTTTATATGTGTGTGTGTGTACAGTCGGCATCAGTTAAATATGAACGTGCAAGTTCTCGAACAATTTACATCGAGTTCAAGAAAGATGTTACTTAACTCTTAAGTTCTTGATATTTAAACAAGAAATTGGAAATAATATTAAATTCTCTCTGTAGTGTTGACTATTTCGTGTTATAATTAAGATTCCTGTATCCAAGCATGTTTTCATTAAAAAAAAAATATTTATTTTTGATGTTTAGTTAAATATGGCTCTTGAAATATATATTTGTATATTTATTTTTGCATATCCTTTATTATTCACGTCCACCATGGATGTCTATTGTCAGTATGTGCGTGTAATATGTACTCAAATTTATGAAATTTCTTCAATGTTAGGATTGTTTCTGATATTAATATACCATAAGCATTTCCAATGTATAAGTTAATACTAATACAACTTAAATAGTGTTACAATACAAATTCCTATAATAATAAATCCTTTCTTTCAATCAATAATGACTAAAAATGAATGGAGATATCGGTAGAGGTCGCCCTAGACGCACGTATGTCGACCAAATAGGCGACGTGCTGAAGAAGAGCCAAATTAAAAGTGCCCGTAACCGGCGAGTGTGTATGAAAAGATTGATGAATGTGGAGGAAGCGAAAGAGGTTTGTTTGAATCGAAGCATTTGGCGTTCTATTGTTTCTGCCTACCCTAATAGGAGACAGGCGTGACAGGCCTTCCTTTCACTTCGTTGTATTGACGTGTGATTAGAATCGACTTTTGCTTGTTTTTTTTTTTTTCTTTAAAAATACATATAGTGTTTTTTTTTTAAAAATACATAACTTACCCTGTTTATCCGATTATAGGACTTATTAAAACATTGATTCGTTTTGATTATTTATTATTTAATATTGAGGATTTTCTCAGAGATTTACAGCATTTGCTATTCTGATGGTGACTGTACAAGACGAGATATTTTATTTCTGCTAAAGTGAAATGTTGTGTTTATTTTGTAACGTATTTTCTAAACTTCAAATTAATGTAAGAAATGTATAAATAAAAACATTCATTTGTATTGCCTATTTATTTTATTTCTTGTAATTTATACTCAGTCTAGTGATTAATAATTGACAGCTAATATGACTGTCATCATCTTTTTTTTTTATACAACTTAGAATGGCAAACAAGCTGACGGCCCACCTGATGGAAAGTGGTAACCGTCGCCTATAGACATGAGCAGTACCATGGATATAACAGAGTACACTATTTCTCCCCTGATAGTTCAGTAAAACGTTAAAATTCTTATTTAGTGAACACCAAATTAAACGTAATTTATCTCAAATTCAAATTGATTTTGAATGGCTGGTGGTATCCATTAACTAAATCTTAGAGAGTTATCGAACTAAAGTAACATATAGTTGTGCAGATTTTCTTACTGGTGAAGTTAAAAACGCGGTAACAATTTTAACTGTGAAATGACTATCCAATTGTTACGTTTGATATTGCGGTCTTGGGGACATTTTATCTTTCAATCCTATAAGAAATACACTAGTGGAAAAAATTAAGGGAACAAAAGAATCAAAATTTTACGCGATTTTTCAAATGGCTGTATTTTTGACAAAAATGGCCATACTGGAGTAAAAAAAAAGCAATTTGAAGCTTGAAGACTAAAATTTTGGAACTTGTATTATTATTTATATTAGTCGTGCCACTCATGAATACAAAAAAAAAATTGTATGGATTCAGTAATACAAACATACCTACATTCGAAATATTAAAAAGTAAATATATGCATAACGCCAATTAATGACTAGGAAGTCCAGAAAAAGAAGTAACGTCTTTTGAAACTACAGAGAAAAAAAAATAACAATTTCAGTGCAAGCGAAATAACAAAAAATGTCTTCTAGTTGCGACATTCCTTTATTATAAGAACATGTTTTTAACCGACTTCAAAAAATGATGACACTTAATTCGGTGCTATTGTTTTTTTATATTTGTAACCTCATAACATCATCAGTTAAAAACCTATTTAAAAACTTCTTTTTTTATCTCTCAGAAAGTTATTTCAGTGTTTTAGTTTTTAAATCAATTGATTGTTTAAATCAATATAATCGATTATACCATGTTTGAAGTCAACTTTTTGTAGTACACAATCTTAAATAATTATTTTTGGGGGAAGGGGATTGTTAGTTGTGGGTTCTAATTGACCCATTGCTTGCAATACATCCTATCAGGTCGACCTCCACGCGGTTCCCCCTGGAAACCATCGTGGTTAATTCTAGTGTAATTTGTCACAATGGGCTAACTGACCTACCTTTTCATCCTCACTTATCATCCCTTACTGGTGCCCCGCCAGCGTATCCCGATAGCGCAGGGAGGGTAACCATTCCATCATCAACCATAAAAAAAAAAATTTTAGACATCCACCCTACATATCATTTGTGTTGAATAAAAATGTTAATACTAAATAAATGTGGGTAGATTAAAAATAACTTTCATTATTAACTCACTTGCCGCGGTGTTTCGCCAGTTACTTTAATCACAACCCAAAAGAATGGACAACAGATCGGTACAGAATGACGAACATTTTCTAGAAAGATCTAAATCGTTGAGTTCCTTGGACGAGACGAAGGAGAACACTTCTCCGAGCTGTAAAAATTATGGACGCCGAATAAGTGATTCTTCCGTGGAGATATATATCATAAATGACTACGAGTCGGATAGCTCATTGGGAGATCGGTGTAAACATATGCAGGACAGCGGTATCGGGGAGAAATTGGCGTTCCACAATGACAGGTATACAATTCTGGAGAAGAAACTTGAGCGCTTGAATGGTAAGCATAATATTTACTAGTTACTTTATGTACTTTGCTCGAAGTTTTTTTACGTAATAGAATCTGAAATGAGGATATCCGCAAAAGAACAAAAGTGACCGACATAGCCCGACGAATAAGCGAGCTGACGTGACAATGGACTTTTTTTAATGGGTGATAATGGTATGGTAACCCCATCTGCGCTATCGGTATACGCTGGCGGGGCACCAGTGATAGATGACTAATAAGGATGAAAGCAACTGACGAATTCAACTAGAATTAGCCACGATGGTTTCCAGGGGGAATCCCGTGTAGGTCGACCTGATAGGGTATATTGCTAGAAATTGGGGTTATTTAACCCCATTATTAACAATCCCTTTCCCCCCCCCCCCCCCGTGGCAATGGACTGGTTACATATTATAGCTCAAAGAACCGACAGCCGATGGAGAAGAAAGGTTCTTGAGTGGCGACACCGTACAGGCGAACCCAGTATAGGATATACACCTAATAGTGACAGGGAGTGAATGAAGGTGGCTTGGAGCCGTTCCTCATGGCAGTCTATGGGGAGGCCTATGTTCAATAGTGGACAGTTAAAGGCTGATTTAATGATACTCTACAGTTCCGTATTCCTACGATTTAGAATACGATGCGTCACAGCTCCTATTTATCTTTAAGACATCGTAAAGATTTTGTTTGGTGGATGAAAAAGGAATAATGTGTCACAGGCTCATGGGCTGCGGTGGCTGCTTACCATCAGCCTTATGCTTACCATATGCTTGATTATCATGCTCGTTGCATACATATATACTATTTTATTTATATATTGTCTTATGTTTTTGCTTCCTCAGATTTGTTTCAGAAACAATGCAGCTTACTGAACGCTATACAGGAGGGCATTCGGGACTTGATGTCCGCTATTGAAAAGTCTGGACAATTGAACAACCAGTTTGCAATAGATATAACAAATAAATTTTTTAATCAAAGGTATTTTAAGGAAATATCAATGTTTCAATTGTTTATAATTACTCCTCTCCATCCAAAGGTTGCCTGGAAGAGATCGCTCTTAGCGATAAGGTCGCCCATTGTTTTCTCATTGTGATTATTTCTTGTTAATTACAAGAAATAATCACAGCTTAGTGTACAGCTTAGTATACAGAATATATTAAGATCTTATTATGCAAGGGCATGGCAATATAGATTCAAGACCTGGCCACATGATTTAAAATATTTTAATTAATTATTATACTATAATTATATTTTAATTTATATAATAAGAGTAGTCGAGAAATGTATAGTATTTTCAACCAACTTCAAAAATAAGAAGATTCTTATTTCGGTTGTAATTTTTTTTTTTTCATATATTTGTTACCTATTAACTTTGTCAATTGTAAAACGATTTGGAAAAATTGTTTTTATCTGAAATATTATACTTACAGATTGGTTCCAAAAGATATTTAATGAATGAATGAATGAATGAATGAATGAGTATACTTTATTTGCATTATACAATATAGGAAATAAGCAAGGCAATTTACAAACATAACGGTACAATTGTATAAGTACAGTGAGGCGGTCTTATTGCTGAGAGCAATCTTTATCAAAATTGGTTCAGTAATTGAAGTCGATTTTTTTTAGAATACAATATTATTTTAATGTCTTCTACATGTCATGTTGTTTTTGATATTTTTTTTTTTATTCTTTAAAGAAATATAATTTCTATGTAAGCTTTTTATATTTTTGTTCTTATCAACAATTTACTTTCTAGCAAGCTAATAGAACAAGCAAATATCCAGAGATCGGACGGCATTGAAGAGAACACAAATATTCGGGCAAAGAGTCTCCTCGACGCTATAGAGTTCAAGCAAGGGCATTCCCTGGACCGCGAGATAAGGGACGCCATGACCCGATTCCTTCAGAGTGATGTGAGTTGCATTTGATGATATTTTATCGGCCATGTCCGGACAGACCAGAGGAAGACTTTGTACAAAAGTCGACTGCTTGGGTACCTCTGTCCCATTCGTGTTTCAACCGTGAAGCAGCTGTGTTTGCATGGCTTTGTTTCGGTTTGAAAGGTGGGATATGGCGTGAATTTACTGGGTACAGAGGAATAACATCCGAGTCCTCAGGAATGGCAACGCATGGGGGGTATCATGGACGAAACAGTATACTCTGTTATATTCACAGTACTGCTCATGTCTATAGGCGACGGTTACTACTTTCCATCAGGTGAGCCGTCAGCTTGTTTGCCATTCTAAGTTGTATAAAAAAAAAACATACTTGATTAGCCTTTACGACACAACTGCTTCACGGTTGAAACACAAATGGGACAGCGGTACCCATGCAATCGACTTTTGTACAAAGTCTCCCTCTGGTAAAGTGTCTAATAGCGAATACCGGTCGCTCTGCCATTAACGCAATCCACTATTTTAGTATTGTAGTTATCTGTGCTAAAACTAAGATTCTATTTATTTCACTAAGGATTTAAAGGAGAGGATATTGGCGGCGACTGCAAACTCCGTAAAAGCGGTCATAGAGAGTTGCATCACGAACGACATGTCGACACTGTACCTGCCGGTGCTGGAGAGGTCGCATCGGCGGCTCGTCGCGCACGTCACCAATCTTGTTGAGGGGGCCTTCGCTGAGAGTGAGTACACGATGAATTTAGCGGCGTAGGTGTGAGCTAGATGGAGACCTACCATAAAAATGTTAATAGCGCTACAACACTACTGGGGATCCAGAAACACCCAGAGGGAGACTTTTTACAAAAGTCGATTGCTTGAGTACCTCTGTCTCATTTGTGTTTCAACCGTGAAGCAGTTGTGTTTGCATGGTGGGCTTCGGTTTGAAGGGCGGGACATGGCGTGAATTTACTGGGTACAGAGGAATAACATCCGAGTCCTCAGGAATGGCAACGCATGGGGGTATCATGGGCGAAACAGTATACTCTGTTATGTCTATGATACTACTCATGTGTATAGGCGACGGTTACCACTTTCTATCAGGTGGGCCGTCAGCTTGTTTGCCATTGTTAGTTGTATAAAAAAAAAAACTATTAATCAACCAATCCGTGTCCACTTCTAGTGATGTCCCATATACTCTAGTGATGGATCTTACAACATTAACTTAACAGATATAATATGGGTTTATAGAACATGGGTGAAAAAAACATAAACCACTAGGCAACCACTCTCATATTGAATAATTGAGTATGTATTATGTTACAGTAGAAGAAAATACGGGCTCGTTGACGAAACACGCGCATAAGACATGGCGGGCGCTGCGCCGCGCACTTGATCAGCACCAACATCTGCTGAGGCATCATACGAACCGAGAAAACCTTCTTGACACTCTACAGCACACTGTCGAAGAGTATGAAATTTTTATATTCGTAGAAGGGGTAGGAACTTTTAATTCGTAAGGTGGTTAAGTCGGGGTCATTAACATACAACTTATTTTTGTAACACACGCTCTAAGTATAAGGCTTTTGCCTTGTCGTACCCTGAACTGTTTTTTTTTATACGACTTAGAATGGCAAATAAGCTGACGGCCCACCTGATGGAAAGTGGTAACCGTCGCCTATAGACATGAGCAGTACCATGGACATAACAGTACACACACATACTGATTCGCCCATGATACCCTCCATGCGTTGCCATTCCTGAGGACTCAGGTGTTATTCCTCTATACCCTGTAAATTTACGCCATATCCCACCCTTCAAACCGAAACACAGCCATGCAAACAAAACTACTTTTCGGTAGAAACACGAATGGGACAGAGGTAAACAAGCAATCGACTTTTGTACAAAGTCTCCCTCAGATTTCTCACATCATCTGCCTACTTATAGAAATAGAGATGTTATGTTCAAATATTTTTGATTTGGGTTCATCCATTCAGTCGTGTACAGAATTCGCTATCTATCCAGTGGGAACATGAAACTACTTTCAGATATTGATAATATTTTCACAGATTATTCAAAAACGAATTAAAGGAATGGCGCCAAAAAGTTCTGGATGTAATATCGACAAATGCATCTGATTGCGTCTTGAACGAAGAGAAGCCGCCCACCCCGCCCCTGGAGTGTGCACTCACAAGCCTGCCGCAGCCAGCTGACCCTGAGCTGTCTATTATTGACCAACTGGTAATTTTTTTTGTTTTTTTTAATGGGTGATAATGGAATGGTAACCCCACCCGCGCTATCGGAATACACCGGCGGGGTACCAGTGAAGGATGATAGATGAGGATGAAGCAGGTCAGTTAGCCCATCGTGACGAATTCAACAAGAATTGTTCACGATGGTTTCCAGGGGAGGTCGACCTATTAGGGCATATTGCTGGCAATGGGGCTGTCAAACTCCATTGACAACAATCCCTTTCCCCCCCTACCAACTGGTAATTGTAAACATTTTTGCCATTTAATGCAAAAACTCTGTAAACCGAAGGACTTTATAGTGTAGTCAAGTTTATAGTGTAATCTTGCTTCAGCGCTTATCAACCAGCACTATTACATGTTATAATGAGATTTTTTATGCAACTTAGAATGGCAAACAAATTGGAAACCCACCTGATCGAAAGTGGTAACCGTCGCCTATAGACATGAGCAGTGCCATGGATATAACAGAGTATACTGTTTCGCCCATGATACCCCCCATGCGTTGCTTTTCCTGAGGACTCAGGTGTTATTCCTCTGTACTCTGTAAATTTATTGCTATATCCCATCCTTTAAACCGAAACATAGACATAAGGCTAAAGATAGACATAAGATAAAGATAGAGATAAGACCTTAAAGCCACTTTTTCATTTCTATTTTTAACTATATTCTTTTATACTTACTTCCATCTTTAACCGACTTCGAAAAGAAGGAGATATTTTATTCGGGTGTATTTTTTATGTTTATTACGTCATAACTCTATCGATCGTAAACCGATTTGGAAAATACTTTTTTTATCTGAAAGAGTATACTTACAGATTGGGTCCATAGAAATTTTATTAAAATCGGTCCAGTAGTTTAGTTTTTAAATCAAATAAACTGGTTTTATTACAAATGAAGTCGACTTTTTTTGTGGAACACAAACTTAATTTTTATTTGTATCCTAAAATAGCTTGTATTTATTTATAACTAAATTGAATGACTTTCTCCAAACGCCTAAACCATTACTTATACCTTAACAATTTTTTTTATTTTTTATGATACTTAGAATAGCAAACAAATTAACGACCTGATAGAAAATGATCATAAATGCATAGTCTACTATAAATACTTTTTCTTTTTTTTTCCTCCTTCTTTGGCTTCGGCTTAAGTATTTAAAGTTCACAAAAATTATGTAAATTATGCCTTTTACATTTTTTTGTACGTTCATGTATAGATGCAGTCAGCAGAAATTACAAAACTAATAGAAGATGGAGACGTCAACGGCTCATTTGAGAAGGCGCTGTCTGCGTCGGACTTGTCGTTAGTGATGGTCGCGTGCCGCGCAGCTGACCCGGTGAAAGTGTTCGCAACACCCTGCAAACTCAAACAGTCGGTGCTGCTGTCGTTGATGCAGCAGCTAGCTACCGACATGGTACACGATACACAGTTGAAGTGCAGGTATCTGTCGTGAATTGTGATTAATTTTAAAAATGATCATGTACGAACGTTCACAAGCTTCGTAAACGATCTCGACTTTTGACATTTTTGACGCCTTTGTTTGTGACAGCTCTTGTTTTTACTTATAATATGCATCGGGGACCAAACAACTATCAGTATGGATACTGTTGCATAGTTGCAGGATTTCAAATCCTGTTAATATCATTCACTGTTAAGAAATACTTTAATCTCCAGCTCTCTCTATAACCGACTTAAAAAAAAGAAGTTAATAATTCGGTTATATTTCTTTTATGTTTATTATCTCATAAGTCCGTCAATTATAAACTGATTTGGAAAATTATTTATTTACCTAAAAAAATATACTTACATATTGAGCCCATAAAAAAATTAACAAAATTGATAAAGACTTTTTAAAAAAACTTATCAAAGTTGATGAAGAGTTTTTAATTGAAAATTACTGGTTTTGCTACTTTTAAAATCGACTTTTTTTTAGAACTCAATTTAAAATTATTGAATGTCGTTTAGTTTCTTTTTTTTTTTTTTTTTTAACGGAAGAAAATGGAATAAGAACGCAGTTACGAACGAAAAATATTAATTTTACGCGACCATGATGTAAGTGAAGGATGTATAATAAAAGTTAAGAGAAGATAGGTGACGAAGATCAAATGTCCTATCGTGATGATTTTTAGCGGGGTGCATTTATAGGTTTTTTTTTTTTACTATTTTGAATTGTGTCGCGATTGATTTCCATCTCACCTGATGGAAAGCGATGATGTGGTCTAAGATGGGGCTCGCAGGTCCACAAATAGACTATTTACATTTGCCTTAACTTGGTGAATATCATATTTGCATATAAAAACATAAGCAGGGAAAGAGTTCCACTCCTTAGTCGTACGCATAATAAAGGAAAACGCTAAGCGTCTCGTACATATAAATGATATGTCTACGACGTAAGAGTGGAAGCTCTTTCCCTATCTGGTCGTTCCGATGTCGAAAGTGTGAAGGACGAATTAGGTCATGCAATTCTTGAGCACACTTGAGTATATGTTTGGTATTTGATCTACCTATTTTTATTGTCTACAGATATCTGGAAGACGCAATTATTCATTTGAATACTGCAGACCCAGCTACCAGAGCTTATTTGCCGCTAGTCGTGGGTGAAGTGCGCAGGCATCTTAAGAAGTTCCTTAAATCCTATCCGAGTCATCTAGCTAGCCGAAGAGTAACATTAATTATAATGGCTTCAGACAATTTATTGCAATGATTTAAAAAAAAAAACTTGTTTGGTGGTGTTGATTTTTTAAATAAAACAGATATATTCATAGGTCTTTTATTTTTGCTTTGCACCTAATAAATATAAATATGTAAATTTATAATAAAAAATAATATCTTCTCTGTAAGTGCGGGTAATTCCGAGAAAAAAAAAACTAAATGTTATAGCGATCATTGATTTAAATTAAATTTTAAATCGCTTAGCCAAAAAACCCGAAATCAAGTTGGCAACATTACACTTAGCTGTCATTTGACATTTCATTCATCGCTATTGATGTCATTCTTTTAAATTTATTCTTATGATCCTATTTTTGAATAAAAACTATTTATAAAGGAATTAGCATAACAAAACTACGATCGTAGAATATTTTGAACTACCACAGCGGAGGAAGTGGCTTAAAATGTCTTTGCAATACTTATTATCCTTTATTCTTTTGTTGACACACAACATGGTATTGCATTGTGCATCAGCTGCAGTTCACAGCCACAGTGTTGATAATCTAGAGCGCGAATCTGATGGCAGCTTCCGTGCTAGGGACTTCGATCACTACAGCGACTCTGGACACAACTCGGAGTTCGACCACGAAGCCATATTAGGTGTTGTTTTGTTAGCAACCTTTTTGCTTTTATGACGTCGCGCGGCGCCGGTAGTTCTAGTTTCCCAAGCGTTAGTCGTTGATAAGAAATACAGCAGGTACGGCGCGCGATGTCAATAAAACACGCTTTAGTATTTCTAGTGCCGATCATGTTGTTTGTAACGTACTATTTTACAATAGGCAGTGTCAAAGAAGCTGAGGAGTTTGATAAACTAAAGCCCGAGGAGTCGAGGCGCCGGCTGGGCCTGCTGCTGACCAAGATGGACCTCAACGGGGACCAGTATATTGATAGGAAGGAACTTAAAAGTTGGATATTAAAGTCCTTTATGTGAGTATTTACAAAAATTTATACTGATTACTTTTGAAATGTTCTTATCACCAGCAGATTACTGATAACAGTATTGGTTTATTTGATTTTATGTATTTTCATATAAATGTGGGTGCATTAAATTAAATACTACTTGTGCAGTAGAAGAAAATAATAAGCTAACTTTGTGGATATTTAATTATTTATCAATTGATATATATAATAAGCTATATATATATATATATATATATATATATATATATATATATATATATATATATATATATATATATATATATATATATATATATATATATATATATATATATATATATATATATATATATATATACATACATATATTTGTATTTTAAAATGTATGAATATAAGGGGAAGGGAATATAAAAAAAATTAACTGTAAAAAAATATGGATGTCTATGATATGACAAGTGAGATGACAGATACCAACCTTAATAGAGACTAAACATAAAATATAAATAAACATTTATATTTCAAGGAGTGTGTCCATAAACAATAATACATAGTAACAACCTCTTAAGTAGTATTATATTTTGACGCAGTATTCCAACACATTGCAATCTGTGGAGATTACAACATTATTTAGGAATAATTTATTACATCACTAATAAAAATAATAAATACAGTAAATTTTAATGAGAAGTGATACAAAAGGTGGCCTTATTGTTAAGTAGTCTCTTCTAGACAACCTTTGAGTAGAGGACATTGTGAAAAAAGACAAAGGGTAGGTAGTACACTATTATATAATATAATGTATAGACATTGACTATACATATGTGTATATATAAATAAATATATACACACATATTTAATAGCACATATACAACAGGAGAGAATAAAGGGAAAGAACATTCTTAATATGCTGTATGTATGTATTATATGTATTATACTTTTAATTCTTCTATAAAGTAACTGGTGTGAATATATAAATAGACCAATATAAGTATATAATATGTAGTCTCTTCATTAATACTGGTTTATCTTGAGTAATAAGCAAGACAGTAATAAACTGTAAAAGTTTGTTAACAAATTATCTGCCTTATCTTTCCGTTATCATAATTTATGTAAACCAGTCCCTTTGTTCATGGTGACTGCTACTATGAAAATGCATTATGTCAACAATATGTAATATTTATTTTTTTTTATTAGAATTTAAATGGTAAATTATTAACAGTTTAATTATATTTAATTTTTTTAATAACAGTATTTATATTAATTTTTTAATTACAAAAATACTCAGTTATTTTTTAATTAAAAAGTCAATTTCATGGTCACTACTTACTAATTTTGTTAAAATTTTTGGTGTTTTTTTATATTAGTTTTTTTTATTATTATATACCTATTAGTTTTTATTAGTTAATTGCAATATTATAGTTAGTTGCAGTTTATAAGCAAAATATTTCAAATATATATATATATATATATATATATATACTATGAAACACTTGTATACAATTTAATTGTGGTATGCACATTATAAATGTGTACTTAAAGTCTTTATATATTTTTTTTTTTATTCTATTATTACCATTATCAAGTAAACAATATTGATTACTTACAGAAAGAATCTGTACTGGTAATAAAACATCACTTTGTTTCTTGATATAAAAAATTTCTGATCATTATTCAACATCGCACAATTGTATATCTTTTACTGACATTTTAATACATTACATATGTATATAAAAATAACTAAAAACACCCATATCACCTGACATGTGGGTCAACGACAGCTATTTCACGGTGATAAAATTTATTGACACTGCAGATAATACTATGCCCTCTCTCAAGCTATAAACTTTCGATAATATTGATAAGTATTTATGTTTGTTGGAAATATATTTGAGAATGGTGAATAAAATTATAAATGATAAAAACAAAAAAAAATGTATTTATTGGAACCATAAAAAATTACAAAAGTAGGGTAGTATATGATAACAGCCACAAGATTGAATTGTTCATTTGTGGCGTCTGTAAATTAATATTGTAAATATTCATCTCATAGCCATTTGTCAACATCATTACTTTCTTCTCCATCAAGTAGGTTAATTTAATTGTTCTTTTCTTTTTTTACATAGATGTTTCGACCTCTTTCTATCTTTCGCACTGGACATACAGACATGACAGGACATAACATTCATTTCTGCTGTCATTCTCTCATTATATGAAAATCAATAATATAATCAAGTTGGTTGTTACTTATTTCGTCCAAACAACTACACATTCAAAAATTCAAAATCATGAGCTTAAAATAGGCGAGAGAAGTGGAACAAAATGTAAATATATCTATAGATAGGTGGGGGAGAATTGTTTTCTTTTTGTATACTGTAATTTATTATTTCTTCTTCCATTTGCTCGTAAATTGATTTAATATAAAAAAAACTAAATTCTCAACAAAAAGTTGTGTGTATCAGCTATTATTTTGTATATGATTTTTTTTTATGCAACTTAGAAAAACAAGCTGACGGCCCACCTGATGGAAAGTGGTAACCGTCGCCTATAGATTCTATTCAGTACCATGGACATAACAGAGTATACTGTTTCGTCCATGATACCCCCATGTGTTGCCATACCTGAGGACTCGGGTGTTATTCCTCTGTACCCTGTAAATTCACGCCATATCCCACCTTTCAAACCGAAACACAGCAATGCAAACACAACGCCATATTCCACCTTTCAAACCAAAACACAGCAATGCAAGCACGGTTGAAACACGAATGGGACAGAGGTACCCATGCAGTCGATTTATTATAGATTCGATATATTATATTATATCACTTAAGTGATAAGGTGATAATTTAATTGTTACAGAAACTTGTCTAAAGAAGAAGCTGAGGAGCGCATGTCCGAGGTGGACAACAACCGTGACGGGCTGGTGACGTGGCCCGAGTACCTGCAGGACGCGTTCGGAGTGGACGCCGAGGAAGAGATCAGCCCCGAAGACACCGGGGACACTGGCATGGTAGGGGTGCGGCGGTCGTGATTTTTATTACTTTTTATGCAAATTAGAATGCCAAATAAAAACACTATATGTAATAATGTAATATATATACATGAGAAATATGTTTATAATACATAAACACTATAATATATATATATAAATTCCTCCGTACCCAGTTTCCTCCGGAATGGCAACGCATGGGGGGTATCATAGGCGAAACAGTACAGTCTGTTATGTCCACGGTACTGCTCATGTCTATAGGCGACGGTTACCACTTTCCATCAGGTGCGCCGTCAGCTTGTTTGCCATTCTAAGTTGTATAAAAAAAAAATATTTGCAGTTGCTGCGTGAGGAGAAGGCCATGTGGTCAGTGGCGGATGGCAATGGCGATGGCGCTTTGGAGTTTAACGAATTCAAAGTAAGTACGTAATAATGGATTGAGGTAATTAACATTTATTCTCACTGCCTGTACATACTCTTGAGACTGTGGTGTTTCTACAAAGAAAATTATCTTATGTTGGACGAGGTTGGTGGTGACATATATTTCCAGTGATTTGTGACTGACTCTCAAATGAGATATAACTGACAATATTAACAAGTAAAAATGATCCTTTAAGATAAATCTTATTTAAATATAGGGAATTGTGATAAAATGGTGGGCCGACCCATCAACCTAGTATGTACAGTGCTAAATTAACAATTATTAAACTTCTTAAACAATTTCTTTACCAATTCTGTAACTGTCATAAGAGGCAACTAAGAGAGGGCGAGGGATGAGCAGCTGTATCCCTCTTGAAACATCTTTAAAGTCTGACTGCGGTTGCCAATCATACCAACGCTTATATTTAGCAATGGACAGTTAAAGCCTGATATGACTGCATACGTGTGTGATGTGTGAGAAAGACTCTGCTTTCCGCGCTTAGCCTCTCATTTGGGCCGTTGTGCGTATGAGTCGTGGCTAGTACAGCCAACCTAGCTCCGCCCAGAAGCGCAGAAGCTTCCTGGGTTCTTCACAGGCCTCACGGAGCGACCTCACCATTTCGAGGATTTCTAAACGTTGATGGGCCACAGCCTCACATTCCAGGATTACGTGAGCAGCCGTTTCTTCGGCGTCGAAACAGCCTCGACATAGAAGGCTGTCTGTGGCTCCTATTGTGTATAAATGTTTGTTTAATGGACAATGGCCCGTTATTGTCCCTATCATTATTTTGAGGTTTTTTCTATCTAGATGTAATAAACGTTTTGATAGTCGTTGATTCAACATAGGTACGGCCAATTTTGATTGTCTGCAATCAGTAGACTGTATCCATCTTTGGTTTTGTATGTCAGCGGATCTTTGACGAATCCATATTCGAAATTGCGAGAACGGAAGAGGAAGAAGAGGATAGGGGCCTTCCACCCTCGTTCTTGAGCCTCTTCTAGCTAGTTCGTCTGCGGCATCGTTACCATAAGATCCACTGTGCCCTCTTATCCATTAGAGGATAACTCGGACTGCATACATAAACATAGATCTGACTCCATATCTTACATTACTGAATGCAGGTGTTCACCAACCCCGAGGAGCACGAAGTGATGTTCCCGTTCCTGGTGAACCAGACGCTCCGTGAGAAGGACACCAACAAGGATGGACGCATCGACTTCAACGAGTACATCGGTGAAAGGGGTGAGTGGATGTGTGAAAAAGAGGGCAGAAACTAATAACAAATACAATAGTATTTAGTAGTTTCTGTCCTATATTTCGTTCTTATTATATTATTGAAAAAGTATCCTATATTTCTACATTAATACTGTATGTAAGTATATAAATATTTATAAGGATTTGTTAAGGTATTAAAGCACTAAGGATCATAAAATAAACAAATTCACTTTTACATTTCTGATACTAAGATGATACTCAATAATTTATGAATTAGCCCCCTGTCAAGGTTTTTCCAAGAAACTACAGTATGGAGTTCTTCAAAAAAGGGGTCAAAAAGTATCTTCAGGCGTTCATTGCCTAGAGTAAGTGCTTACCATCAGATGGGTCGTATTGTTTGCCACTTCAGTGGTATAAAAAAAAACCTAAAATAGGCGAGCGGAATGATTTAACTACCTTTACTTTGCTCTCATCGACAGGGTCCAACGAAGACAAGGCGTGGATTATATCAGAGAAGGACAAGTTCGAACACGACCTGGACGTGAACGGCGACGGCGTGCTAGACCTCACCGAGATACGGCAGTGGGTCGTGCCCGACAACGAGTTAGTATTCATTGCTGTTAATACTAGTGCGAGAGTGGCGCCCTCTGCTGACAAGTCTCTAGGCCACTTTCATTATACACGAAGACCTCTGACAGCGTACTGGACAACTTTCGCTTGGTCTACACATATTTAAATACACGATCATGTGATAATATCGCATTCCTGTCCTGATCGTACATTTAAATAAGTGACGAACATTTTTGAGTGATTCAAATTTACGAATTCAGAGGTTTACACTGGAATTCCCTAGTATGTATGCAGTTGTTAGTTGAGGAAGGTGCAATCACACGTTCCCCCTTAGAATTTTAATATCTTCATCTCTAAAACTGTGTGTGTCCCGGCATAGAATAGGCCAGCCCTTCGTTTCGTCCTGGGTTAACAGTCGAGGGATAGGCAGCAGCGTTCCTTTTAAAACACTTTCTGAATAACCTCGAAATTACGTATTTAGGGACCTTTGTGAGCAGGCTCGTCAATATTACCATCCTAACTACAATTAACGGGGGGAAAGGGATTGTTAGTAATGGAGGCTGAGAATCCCATTGTTAGCAATATATTCAACCAGGCCGACCTCCTCGCGTTTCCCCCTGGAAACTGTCATGGTTAATTCCTGATGAATTCACCATGATGGGCTAACTGGCCTATTTTCATCCTCATCTATCACCCTGCACTGGTGCTCCGCCTGTGTATCCCGTTAGCGCAGACGGGGATACCATACCATTTTCACCCACCAAAAAAAAAAAACTACAATTCACGTCCGATACCGGCCTCAGGGCAGCGCTCGAGGACGCAGAGGACCAAAAGGGTCAAATTCAACTTTGGACTAAACAGCGCTGGTTTCTGATGACCTTATTTTTGTTTTTTCTCATCATCGAGAACATTTTACTCAGGGATACCTCGATATTTTGCATTTTGTTTCATTTCTTTTATGTATTTACTGTGTCTGACTTGCGCCATCTACCTTTCTCTTTGTACTTATCCATTCTTTATGCCTGGTTGTCTGTAAGAGATTGCTTTTAGCGGTAAGGCCGCCTTTTGTATATGCACATTCTGTATAAATACTCCTTGTATACATCTCTACTCTACTCTCATTTCTTCTTGGAGAGAAGAACTTGCACAAGGACTCGGGTAGGTTAAACTCATCCTTGTTAACGTCCCAAATATTGTTCTTACAGCGAGATAGCTGAAGAGGAGGTGGACCACCTGTTCGCGACCGCGGACGACGACCACGACGACCTGTTGTCCTTCGACGAGGTCCTCCGCCACCACGACGTGTTCGTAGGCAGCGAGGCGACCGACTACGGCGGCGACCTCTACGGGGAACATTTTGGCGACGAGCTGTGAACGTCGCTCACCTCACCAGGTTTTACTAGTGCTGAGGCATCAATCCTGTTGGCACAACTTATTTTATATGGCAAGTTTACATTAAGTTAGTTGTGGACTTCAAACTTGAAACAAATCAGTGCTTACCCAATGCTGTCTAACTCACAAATTTTAATAATATGATTGGCACATACATAAAAACACAATGACAACATACTGTCTTTCTGGCCATGTATGTGTCGGCTTGTCCTTGCAGAATGGGTAATTCCAAGTTTAATGAATACTTTTTTATACAACAATGGCAAACAAGCTGATGATCCATCTGATGGAAAGTGGTAACCGTCGCCTATAGACATGAACAGTACCGTGGACATAACAGAGTATACTGTTTCGCCCATGATACCCCCCATGCGTTGCCATTCCTGAGGAAACTGGATACGGAGGAATTTATATATATATATATATATATATATATATATATATATTTAATTTTTCAAATCTTACATTACATGTTGCTTACTTAAATATTAAAATATAGGTAGACAAGGACCTTGATTATTATTATTAACTTAGTCATTCGGCAGGTTCCTTTTCTTGACATTTTTTTGTATTCTATAAAGAGTAAATTATGTATGCACAATATTCATAATTTGTTCTTTTTTTTTTATTTGATGCACAAATTGTGTTATAAAATGCATACAAACAATATACCATACGTATTTAGAAATGCAGCTAACATATCTATTTAATATTTTATTACCTAAAAAATAAAAGCCACTCGAATATTAGGTGCTCATATTTTTTATATATTTATTTTAGTAATCTTTACTAAAATAAATATAATAAACACTGTGAACTAATTTAACTACAAGTATTGTTTTTTTTAAATACACAATCGGGATTTAAAGCAATGAAAAAGTAAGAAAGAAATGGCAATAAAGAAGCAGGTATGTAAATGGAGACATATTGCGAGGACCTCAATCGCGAAGGAGAGCCTCACCGACGATCCACCGTCATTGTGAAATCATGATGAATTCTCAGGAATTAACCATGATAGTTTCAGGAACCGCGAGGAGTCAACCTGGTTGGGTATATTGATAGCAATGGGATTCTGAAAAATACCACGACCACTCTGCCAAGAGTGTACGACTGAAGAGAGAGATGTAAATACTATTTACCTGTAAAAGCTTTTACATCGCGTTAAGTCCTGATTGTGTATTTAAAAAATATGTGTAAACAATGCGAAAGTTTAAAATTAATTGTTGTATTGTTAAAAAGAAACTTTACTAGTACTCTAATTACATAGTGCTTCTTAGCTCTCGAAAAAAAATAATTAGTGTCAGAACACTTCTCTATGGTTGACTGGGAGAGAATGCTTTTAGCATTAAGTTTGCCTTGTACACATATCGTCACAGTCGTAGAATACTGACGGATCTGACAAATATTACATATATAGATCCGTCAGTATTCTACGACTATGACGATATATGTACTGATGAATAAATAATTAAATAAATAATTCAAAGAACCGCTTTTCCAACAGACTTCAAAAAGAAAAAAGTTCTGAATTCGAATGTACTTTGTTTTGTTTTTTTTTTCTGACAGTTTGAGGTTTTATTTTATGACAGTTGAAGTTTTTTTTTTTTTTTAGAATTAAATAAATATATTTTGTGGCGAGTCACAAGTCAAACTGTTGATAATTTTTTTTTTTTTTATATTAAACAATGTAGTATATAATTTGTCATGCGAATTCAGAAATAATTAGTAATAATATAAATGATTATTAGAAAATATAAAATTATATTTGATTTAAAATGTGCATTGTATTAAATTGTATTTATATATATATATATTATTATAGTATTAAATTATTAATTAATACATAAATTTGATTAGCATGTGGCCTATTTTGATTGTAACAGTAATTTAATATTAAAACTACTAATTTTTGTACTTAGATATCATAGAATGTACTTAGATATATTACTATATTGTATGTTATCTAGCATATCTTTAGTTTTATTACTGCAAATAGTATATTTAAATAAGGCTATATACCTAAGAATTCGTCGCCCAGTTAAGGTTTTACCAGCCATCTATAAGCAATAACTAATTACCAACCAAACGATGTCTATATACATATATAACGGAAAATTAATGAATTTGCTGTGTTTTGCTGTTTCCAACAATTGTTTCAACTTTATCCTAGTCTTCAGAGGGTGTATGGCGCTTTGGATCACAGCGTCTTGTTACTCTGTCTCGTTATTTACGTATATAGTGTAAAAATGAACATGTTTTACAAATAACTTTGCTATTTTATTGTTCATAAATGTATTAGTATTCAAACACATACATAGATAGCGATTTGAGACGTGATCCCATAAGTGATACAGTACTTCGTGTTATCCACGTTTTTAGGCGGCGTTACATTTTTCTATTTTTTTTTTATATATAGGAGGGTCGATTCTGAGACGCCATTTCTCTCAACCTTCGACTAAAATTAAAATTTCAATTTGATATCACTGTAAAATTTATGTTTATTTATTTAACTTTATTAGGGAAATACATAAATAATAAATACAGCAATTATATATATATATATATATAATTAATTAAATTTATATATATAATGTAATATTTTGACTTTAATCCATTACAAATTTAAATTTCTCCTTACAATAAACTCTGCTCTCGTTCTCTATATATATATATATATATATGAAGTTTCCATAATAAACTTACACATTCAACGAACGAGAGCAGAGTTTATTGTAACGAGAAATGTGAATTAAATTTGTAATAAAGTCAATTTTATTATAAATGTAGTTTATAATAGCTCGTAAAACAGTAATTTTGCAAAATTATCAAATTGAAATTAAATTTACAGAAAGTTTAGAGAAATAGCTCCTCAGAATCGACCCCAATCTCTCTAACTACTAGGTTGGTTATTTACTTACTTTACTACTTTGACATCCACACCTCGTATTGTTAAAATCTTCCTGTATATATGCATATACTTGTTAAGTGCCATACCTATTATATATATTTAAATATATTGTATATGTCGCAGTCAAATCTTACAGATCGAAAGTACTCTTGACTGAAAAAACAGGTGTTTTTTGTCAGTAAAAAAAAAACTAGTCGCGAGATTTGACTGTGGAATAAATACAGTGACCAATATGTGAATTTGTCAATGTGTGTTGTTCGTAACTAATGAAATAAACTATTTATTGTAATATCTATGTTTATTTTTTAACATAAACTGCTCTTGTTCAATTATTTCGTCCCTTGTGTTCCGATTCTATAAAGGTTTTTTTTGATGGGTGAAAAGTGGTATGGTAACCCCGCCTGCGCTAACGGGATACGCTGGCGGGGCACCAGTGAAGGGTGATAGATGAGAATGAAAACAGGCCAGTTAGCCATCATGATGAATTCATCAGGAATTAACTATGATATTTTCCAGGAAAAAACCGCGAGGAGGTCGACCTGGTTGGATATATTGCTAGCAATGGGATTGTCTCCATTACTAACAATCCCTTTCCCCCTCTATAAAGGTATTTGCATGTTTAAGCTCACTAATTTACTGAACCGATTCTGAAAGTTTCTTTACTAATTGAAAGCATTATCCTCAAGTTACATTGAGCCAAGTTTTCCATGAGAACAGTAAATACCTATTGCATTCTCGCGGTCAGTCTCATTTCATTATTTCCTATACAGATATCAGAAGTACAAAAATAAAATGGTCAGAATTTGTTTTTCTAGATTTTTTTATTGAAATATTGCACAAAATAAATTTCCAAGTTGAAGACATTTTTTTTATTCATAAAGGTGCCGAACAAGTATGCAGTTCGTCTGATGGTAAACGGTTACTGTAGCCTATGGACGCGTGCAACACTAGGGCTGTCACGTGCGCGTTGCCAACCTTAAAGAATCTTAATATATCCTTTTTAAAAAACTCTAGGGAAAACCTCCGTAGAGAGATCATTTAGCTGGGGAGATGTTTTGTTTTAGATGAATTATGTATTATTTTCGTCTTAGTTGCCTTAAATACACATAAGGTGCTATGAATAATTTATTTTTTCCTCTTTATAAATATGCACAGAGCGTGATTTTTCCTAAGAATAAAACTAGAGACGGCTCTAAAATTGTCACAAGTAGGTACTAAGAAAACAACCGTGTTGGAGAGTTAACATTGTATAATTTTTTTTCTGCAGATTTTTTTTATAACAGGCAGCAAACGAGCATGCGGCTCACCTGATGGTAAGTGACTACCGCCGTCCATGATCACCCAAAACACCAGCGGCATTGCATACATATATCTGATACTTTCTCTATAATGTACTTTGAGAAGGCAAGCAAGAATTTCAAACAAATCAAAAAAATATTTCCTAGTTACCTTACTATAATCATGCGTACATCGAGTAGAAGGGTGTTAGGGTAAGGGAAATAAAAAAAAAACTAAACATCCATTTACAATATTTTTTTATTCAATATAATAATCTTAATAAATCCAAAATATTTACACAATACAAAAACATACAATGTTACCTTCACAGCGTCCCTTCGCTTGTCTGCTGTTGTGTTTGTATTTTTAAATAATAAACTGATTTAGTTCAAAAAAATCCCCGCTTCAGCGGCGCTGACTGCGACGCAACGCCACGGAAATATTCTAAGCATTACTGAAGCTGACATTATACATACCAACCACCTAGTCCATTTTATCTATACATATAAAAAGATTTGCTCTGACCGTCTGTATATATTATCAGAATCACCTCTACGTAATCACTTCCCGAATGGGAACAAGTTTTTTGGGTTCATGTCTGCCAAAATCATGGCAACAAAAGAGCTAAATGTGAAACTATATTTGATGTCTGAGGGCCTACCATGAAATGTTTTCCGAAATTTCGGAGCCAAACGAAACAGAAATTTGATGTTAAAATTACATAATACATGCCGTTTGGAAATATTAAAAATGTTAAAATATTGTTCCTTTGGACTTGTACGATAGGATGTATGACGAACGAAATGTTAAACTCCATTTATTGGTCCGATTTTGGTATAAACAAAAACACGAAATTGAGTCCGAAAGTTCGGCATTTCATTTCATGGTAGACCCGCTGATCTTGTTCAATTAGGTCACTGTTTACTTATAAAAGTTATTGCAAGACCTTAATATTGTTACAAGACTTAAAACGTGAAAATAATAAAACGGACGAGGCATAGATGCCGATGTTGGATTAGTTAATAACTAACAAACAGTTTGATATATAATTAAAAATATATTTTTCCAAAAACTGTATACATATTATGTATGTAAAATAAAACTTACGAGTCGCACGCCAGCAACAGTCGTAACAGTCTCAAACGAGCGTTCTGTACACTTGTCGGCAGCTCGAATGGTGAATAAAATCTCACTACATTATGAATGGGACATCTGTATACCAAATGCAATAACAATATTGCTCGTTTCAAAGCACAGGCATCGATTGACATAATATCACAAAACATTATTACGCAGTTTGTAGCGATTGCAAATAGTGAGGGCTCGTTTGCACTCATAGATGTCGCGTTCCACCTTAGTTCGGTTAAAAAAATCATTCCCCTAGTAGATATAATGCTACCAAATTATATTACGATGCAAGCCATTAAAAAAATATTATCTTTTAAGATGTTTATACTGGCGCCTCGCACACTACGCCGTTGTAACCGACCCGGGTAGGGTTGCCACTAATATATAAATTACAATTTATTTTTTTAACAAAACCTAACCACCAATAATACTTTATTTCGTTGGCTGAATGGATATTATCCAAAGCCGGTAGAATTATTAAATTAAAATTAAATTTTATTTCGACACATGTATCAAACATCAATATATTTGCACAATTAAGAACTGGCAACCCTCAGTTACGGGAAAAGAGTTACACGAACGCTTGCAGCGGAGTGTGCGAGTGAATATTTAATATAGATACCGAAACAGTGTGTTCCGGCGATTAGAATCAAACTGTAGGTCAAACCACGGTCTACTGAGCTGATTGTCTACATGTCATACGAGCTATTTCCCATCTGGAATGCGATTTTACAAACATGGAAAAGATAGAGCTACTATCAAAGCAAGACTCACTGAAATACACTTAATATATATATTTATATATAAAATTATACTTTTTTTTTTTGTAACATAATTGAAACAGTTTGTCCATCGAATAATTAGTGTTTAAAGTAACTATAACGACCTAAACTGAGACACGTAAATCTAATTTTAAATAACTATGCATTATTTATATGAACTAAATAAGAAATTGTTCAACCCTACACATTTCAATACAATAATGTATGTCGGATAATTGTCTATTACTTTAGTACATGTAGATATTATGTTTCTAAATTGAATATTGTATTTTATATGATTAAAAATGTTACAAGAGTTAAAAATATATATATATAAAAAAATTATATATTACAATATAGATAGAAACTAAAAATTTAAGGTACATATTAATTAAAATACTGAAATGTGTACACACAGGCCAAACAATGTGAAGGAGGGTGAAATACAAATTATACTAGGAGCTTGTGAATAAATGACGATTAAGGAAGCGATGAAACCCCGTCAGTGTTCGCGAAATATACCACTCGTTATTTCGATGTGTAAATTGAACCTTGCGCACAATGTAATACAGTTTATTGTTACTAACGGCAATTTGAATGAGTCCAGCTCCAATACAACGACCGGCTATTAAGGAAATGGGCAGCAGCGATACATAAAAAGATTTCATTCCGCGAGCGATTGTCGTGGACTAAAAATAAAATTATTTAGACCTAATGGCGTCGACATTAGGGTTCTATTTTTAAATATTAGTTTTTTTTTCTCTAATAAAATTTGAACTAGGCTGCATATGGTGGTTTCTTAGGCCAATTTTATGTTTCAGTCCACGGGAATCACGTTTGGGAACGCATTCACAACTTCATTCTAGATACAATTTACAACGATCGACACGTTTGTTACTTTAGTACTCGCAACCTGCACTAAATGTGTTATAAAAATTAAAAAAAAAAATAAAGTGATTATGAACGCGAATGTAAATGCACCTTCACCATAATTTTGATAGTAATGAAGCTTAGGCTTCTATGTGAAATACAAAACATACTTTAGTTGGACAAATTGAGTTTTTTTTTTTTTAAACTACCTTTTTTATATAAATTTACTTATTTTACTTCCCGCGTACGTAAGAAGAAATATAAACGAACATAAATTCGATTATATCGTATGGTGTAATTCATATTTAATAATTTCCAAGGTCCGCGAGCGACGCTACCAGCTCATCCAACTATAGCATCCACGGTATAACATATATATCAATATTGTAACGACACAATACGGCTAGGACCGATTCTGGTTAAGTAACCCTTAAACTACGCGGGAACAGTGCAACCGACTGCCTATAACATGATACAAACGAAATTAAATATATCTTTATTACATCTCATTAGAATTACAAATAGGTTAAATCTATGTATCATTTTATATTTAGCTTTTGTATAATATAATAACGCGGCCGCCGCCGCCGCACTGCCGCCCGGCACGACCCCCGCCAGGCGCACGGCACGCGGCCACCGACTAGAACACGACCTCGCACGTCCGCAATTGCTCTACGGACGCTTTTATAAGTAAACCTTAACGGGCACGCGACGTGGCGTTTACACAAATTATCTGTGAATTTCTAAGAACAAATGACAATCTTTCAATATTTACGAATGATTACTTGATGTGTTCTGATAGCGAACTAATACATTAATTATAGAATGAATTAAATATTTTGCACCTACTTCATAATTTACTTCGGAATTATTCAAATACCAAAATCATTTTTTTTTTTTAGCTTTTAAACATCTCATTGCACGTTTAACATTTTAGTTCGCCATGAGAGCAATTCCTAAGTAATTAATCAGAAATAACAATATTAATTCAATCGTTTATAAAATTCGACAGATAATTAAAACATCGGTGTACTTCGGTACAGGTCCCGTTGAAAGTCGTGCTCGAGTCACGGGCCGGTGTCTACGTTCGAGAATGTAATATTACAGTTCACGCGTGACAAAAACATAGGTGTGTGTGTGTGTTCAGCTAGAAGGTGTGAGTGTTACGTGCACGTTAGGCCTCCTAGCTGTCTCGGCGTGTGCGTGGGCCGGGGGGAGGGGAAGGGGCGGCGGCGGCGGCAGCGCTGCGTGTTTCAACCCCCGCTTGCGCCCTCACCTGCTAGCGAACTTATCTGGAACAAATAAGTATAATTTTTTACATAAAAGAAAAGAGAGACGCACTGATTTTTTTTAAAAAGGTTTAAAGGTTTTTAAAAACCAGAGGGAGACTTTTTACAAAAGTCGATTGCTTGGGTACCTCTGTCTCATTTGTGTTTCAACCGTGAAGCAGTTGTGTTTGCATGGCTGTGTTTCGGTTTGAAGGGTGGTATATGGCGTGAATTTACAGGGTACAGAGGAATAACACCTGAGTCCTCAGGAATGGCAACGCATGGGGGTATCATGGGCGAAACAGTATACTCTGTTATGTCCACGGTACTGCTCATGTGTATAAGCGACGGTTACCACTTTCCATCAGGTGGACCGTCAGCTTGTTTGCCATTCTAAGTTGTATAAAAAAAAATAGATTTATTAGTGGCGGTGTAGGGTACCTACGTGGGGGGGAGGAAAGGCATTGTTAGTAATGGAGACTGAGAATCCCATTGCTAGCAATATACCCAACCAGGTCGACCTCCCCGCGGTTCCCCCTGGAAACTATCATGGCTAATTCCTGATGAATTCATCATGATGGGCTAACTGGCCTGTTTTCATTCTCATCGATCACCCACCACTGGTGAGCGCAGGCGGGGTGAGCATACACTTCCGGCCACGACGACGTGCGTGGTTACCTGCGCGCGGCCGTATCACTTGCAGCAGGAGGAGGCGCGCGGCGCGTCGCCGTCGTTGAGCCGCCGCGCGCCCGCGCCCGCGCCGCCGCCGCCGCCGCCGCCGCCGCTCTCGCTCTTTGGTAACTTGTTCGCTGCGCACCGACACCGCAATCATTTTCATTACAACATTCCAAATTCACAAAAAAAAAATCAATCACATTTCTTTCCATCGGTCTCAGCTCAAATGGCTTCCCATTCATCGACGCAGAAACGGTAGAACTCTTTGTACCCTCTACACTCTTCTTCGAAACCCCCAGTCTCCCTTACTACTTAAGCAGCAAATTCCAGTACCGTTTTGAAACTCACGAACATAACCTTCGTTCCAGTAGTACACTCCAACTATCTATCCCCTCTCACCGTACTGGTTTCGCTTCAAATTCTTTTCTCCTACATTCTTCACGACTCTGGAACGCGCTTCCTGATACCATTACAAGACTACCGACTAAACCGTCTTTCAACCGATATATCTACCCGTGTACCAAATTTCATTCAAATCCGTTTAGTAGTATTTACGTGAAATAATAACAAACGTCTATTTGTTTATTACATATGTATACATCTCGCATTAATTATATTAATACACCGCAGTGATACCTTGTTATATTTCATTACAGAGGATGTTTGGCCTTTAAAAAAGGAGCGATCCTCTTAGACATGTCATTCAGTCTCACACGCACTCGGGTGGGCATTGGACAATTCTAGAGTGGGCATCCCCCCCCCCCCCCCAAGACAAATATGCCTATGTGTAACAGCACCATAGACAATACGAATACTCTGCGACGCTACTGGCACCAATCATGGGAACTTTTAAATTGTCCAAAAAAAAGAAGGAAGACCAGGTGTGGTGCAATGCGTGCCGACTCACCGATAGCTAAGAATATATCGTTGACGTTCATGGCGGTCTTGGCGCTGGTCTCCATGAAGAGCAGCCCGTTCTCGTCCGCGTACGCCTGCGCCTCCTCGAACTCGACCATGCGCTTGGCGGCCAGGTCGCTCTTGTTGCCCGCCAGCGCGATCACGATCGACGGCGACGCCTGCCGCTGCAGCTCCTTCACCCAGTTCTTGGCGCGTCCGAATGTGTCCTGCAATAAATGCATGGGTCGCATATTAATATTGAATGCCACATTGAGAAATATATAAAAAAAACTGTTTTGGATAACATATTACAGATATATATATAATGGAATGATAACACCGCCTATGCTATCGGTATACACTGGCGGGGCACCAGTGAGGGATGACTGGTGAAGATGAAAAGGCAGGTCAGTTAGCCCATTGTGACGAATTCAACGATAAATTAGACACGATGGTTTCCAGGGAGAATTAAAACAGGGCAGTTAGCCCATCATGATGAATTCATCAGGAATTAACCATGATAGTTTCCAGGGAGAACCGCGAGGTGGTACACCTGGATATATTGCTAGCAATGGGAACTAACCTCCTCATTACTAACAATCCCTTCCCCCCACGCTAGTAGGGTAGGTTACGTCTTTTTATTATTACTTCAGTCCACTGCTGGACATAAGCCTCCCCATGGGAAGTGTTGTCAGTAGTCACGCTTGGCAGGCGGATTGGCTACCGCGGTTAAGTTTTTAGAGATGTTTTAAGAGGGACGCTGCTGCCCATCCCTCGCCCTCTCTTAGTCGATTAGTTCATTAATATAATTTCATTTAATTATACATGTGTTACTATACCGATGCTTTTCTGGGTGAATGTAAAGCTCTGTAAAGCTCACTCAGTTGATAAAATAAATAAATAAATAGTAAGCAGAATGCGGCTCCCCCAGCCACATAGCTAGCTCTATTACGTTACATACGCATTGATAATGAGTTATCAATGTCGGTCTGTCTGCGTGTCGACGAACTGTGCCCTTGAACTCCAAGTCCTGCTAGTTAATACCGTGGGCTGTTTGCGAAACTAGCTAGGGTAGAAACGTATCGATTTTATTTTTTGTATAGCAAATTGTGTGGTGTGTATGTGAATGCTGGGTGGTCCCGGTATAGAATGGGCCACAACTTTGCCTTTTAAAAAGCCTGTGTGTATTATTTATATGTAATTATTTATTCAGTATGTTTGCGTAGATATTGTATACATTTGTATTATACAATATCTACGCAAACACAGCTGCTTCACGGTGGAAACGCGAATGGAACAGAGGTGCCTAAGCAAATCACTTTTGTACAGTCTCCCTCTGATAGTATGTACAGAGCGTACACCAAATGCTTGGGAACTCAAATCCAAAACATAGCACAAAAAAAAAAAAATAATAATAAAATAAAAAAAAAGTATGTACAGATAAATAGAGAATAATCCTTTTTGTCGCTCAACACATATTGTCGCGATAAATCTACTATAAACATAATTCATACAAAGAGTTCAATAAGATAAGTATGATAACGAGGCGTTGTTAATTTAAATATCGCACTGCGGCTTTAAACTATCGTGAAAACATTACTCAGCATTCCGAGCTTGTTTTTGTTTTTTTTTTTCTACAATGTTTTTTTTTCTTTACCAAGAGACTACAGCATACTTCAAAAAATAGGATAGAGATTTCTTCAGGGTCGACAACGCTCGCGTAATACCCCTGGTATTGTAGGCGTTCATAACTACGGTAATAGCTTACCATCAGACAAGCCTTATGCTTGTTTGCCACCTCAGTGGTATAAAAAAAATATTAAATGGCAATAATAATGGTATTCCCAATTTGAAAGAAAGTGACAAAACAATATAATAGTTAAAGTAGATTTGTAATGACTCGACCGATTTTTATGAATTTTTATATATATTTGATAGGTATTCGTAAGTATATTTCGCACTGCTACGTGATTAGGGTGTCGCTACCCACATTTATGTGGCACAACAACGTCTGACGGCTTACAGTTTAATTATATTAATAAGATTGGATACTACTGTAGTACTGAAGATTTTTAAAAACATTGTTAACATGTATCACATGTCCATATTTAGAACTAGCAGAATTTTTCATCGTGCCTCCAACCAAATTGTTTATAATTACTCCTCTCCATCCAAAGGTTGCCTGGAAGAGATCGCTCTTAGCGATAAGGTCGCCCATTGTTTTCTCATTGTGATTATTTCTTGTAATTGTTTATTTCTAACTAGCAGCCCATCCCGACTTCGCATGAGTGGACATTTTTACATATCAAAAATCATGGCCATCAAGGCTGCACACGCAGCGGAAGTTTAAAAATGGAGTAACTTCTCCCGTTTTCCCAACATTTCCCTTCACTGCTCTGCTCCTATTGATCGTAACGTGATGAAAAGTATACTATAACCTGCCCAGGAGTATGAAGAATAATTGTACCAAGACACAAAACATATAGACAGACAAAAATTTTACTGATTGCAATTTTGGCATCAGTATCGATCACTAATCACCGCCTGATAGTTATTTTGGAAATATATTTCATGTACAGAATTTACCTCTCTACAGATTTATTATAAGTATAAATAGATAAATTTAATACTGTAATCTTTTGGAGGAAACAATAAAGAGTATCTAGCTATCTATTTTTCTAATCGGATTCTAGTGGTGTAATGACCGCGAAGCAGTACTAAACGGGCAAACAAATACGACCTCTGCAGCGCTGGCCACGCGACCCTGCCGCCTGGAGCCTTGGGTCGCTTTCCGTGACCGTAAGTCGTGTAAATTGTGCCTGTTAGCCAGTGGGCTGTGACGTCACATCGTGAATATTGCACGACGGAATTATTTTCATAACATATTATAAATATACCTAGTAAAACAATGTGGAAGTTTATAATAATGTAAACGTTTGTGTACACCAAAAAGTTGAGCTAATTTTAAATCTAGACCGATTCCAACCGAATTGAAAGGTAGTTGAAACCGCGAGATACAGCTAGTAATATTTTATAATCAAGTAGATATTGTGATTTTGTTTCTAATGTGAAACTATTTCTACCGTGAAGCAGTTGTGTTTGCATGGCTGTGTTTCGGTTTGAAGGGTGGGATATGGCGTGAATTTACTGGGTACGGAGGAATAACACCTGAGTCCTCAGGAATGGCAACGCATGGGGGGTATCATGGGCGAAACAGTATACTTTGTTATGTCCATGGTACTGCTCATGTCTATAGTCATATGTTTAATGACCCCTCCATTATAGAAACCGCTTTAAAACAGAAGCCTCGAATAATAAATCGAAATTTCGACCGGGATGAAAGTAGACTATGTCCTTATCTATGCTATTTCATACGTGTATACCTAAATTCCTATTAGATCCTGGCATAGAATAGGCCCTTCCGTTCCCGTGGGTGTTGTTATAGGCGACTAAGGGAGGGCGAGGGATGGATGGCAACGTCTCTCTAACACAAACTGCTGTTGCCAATCCGCCTGCCAAGCGTGACAGCTACTGGCAAAACCCCCCAAGGCCTCCCCCTTATCGGTATCCTCTCCCCCTATCCTCATATTTAGTAGATTTCATATTTCATAGTAATTAATTAAGCCATTAACATAGCCCTATAACATAATAAAAAAGACTCACTTTCACATTTATAACACGAGTATTAGTAAGGATTATCTTATTCATAAAAATTTAAATCCTCTTTTAACTGGAAACCATCATAGTTCGTCACGATGGGCTAACTGGCCTGCTTCATCCTCACCTATTATCCCTCACTGGTGCCCCGCCAGTGTATACCGATAGCGCAGGCAAGGCAGAGAGACTATTTCATTGTCCCATAAACCCATTAAAAAAAAACACTGTGTGAATGAAACAAAACAGTACGTACTCGATTTTTTTTTTATTGAATGATAATGGAATGGCAACCCCGCCCGCGCTAACAGTATACCCTGGCGGGGCACCAGCGAGGGATGATAGGTGAGAATGAAAAGACAGGTCAGTTAGCCCATCCTGACGAATATATCTGAGATTCAGCACGATGGTTTCCAGGGGGGACCACGTGGAGGTCTGACAGGGTATATTGTTAGCGTACGTACCTGATTAGTGATGTCGTAGACGACGATGGCGGCCTGAGCGCCCCTATAGTACATCGGCGCTAAGCTGTGATACCTGGAACAACATGAGTGTATTAATTAACCAATTTTTTTTTTATAGCACTGAGGTGGCATACAAAAATATGGCCCACCTAATGGTAAGCGGTTACTGTAACCTATGAACGCTTGCAATAGCAAGAGAATTACGCGCACGTTACCGACCCTGAGAAGACCACTTTACCTCTTGAAGAACCCCATGGTGTAGTGTCTTGGAAAAACTTCGACAGAAAGCTCATTCCATAACCTGAGCGTTCGTGGGAGTAAACATCTTTCAAACCGCGCTGTACGCGACTATCCAGGCTCTAAGGTATGGGGATGAACTCCTTGTCGATGGTAGGCTGTACGATGGTAGAAAGTGACCGTGGGCATCATGTAAAACAATTCCTCTAGGCACAATCCATTGTAAGTATAAAAATTAAAAAAGTGAAGGTACATTTAACGTATTAAGGAAGGAAAGAAAGAAAGAATTTATTAAAAGAATCATGCGACTTGTGAGTCACATAATTCTGTGTGCAGTAGAGCATTGAAAAACAAGAACAAAACAAACAAACAAAAAAAAAAATTATACAAATAAAAAGCGTCTATCGTTTTCTGCTCAATTGAAGTCTAAATTAAAAAATAAATATGGGTCGGTAAGTCTTGTCTCTAGACAAGTGGCAAGCGAAATTGTTGATGGAATCGACATCGCTAGCGAGCCCGTGAGTTGGAATGAGTCATCCGGTGTTGCTATCTCTTATCTATTATGTTACTTGCTGATAACGTAGCTTTTTACAGGTGAAAGTTTTTTTTTTAAATCTGTTGATTAATTTTTAAACTTACCCATTACATATAAACAATCAAATTTTCCCTTTTTATAATATTAGTATATACCAGAGGGAGACTTTGTACAAAAATCGTTTGCTTGGGTACCTCTGTCCCATTCGTGTTTCAACCGTAAAGTAGTTGTGTTTGCATGGCTGTGTTTCGGTTTGTAGGATGGGATATGGCGTGAATTTACAGGGTACAGAGGAATAACATCTGAGTCCTCAGGAATGGCAACGCACGGGGGGTATCATGGGTGGAACAGTACACTCTGTTATGTCTATGGTACTGCTCATGTCAAAAGGTGACGGTTACCACTTTACATCAGGTGGGCTGTCAGCTTGTTTGCCATTCTAATTTGTATATAAAAAAAAAGATAAAGTATGTCAACAAGAACCAAAAAGAAAAATATGACATTTCAAGAAGACTCATATAAAATTAAAAATAAAGATTGTACAATTAAACGAAATACACTTTCCGTTTTAAATCAAACAAATAACACACAGTTCTGCCATTTCCCATAAACGACAAAGTTTTCATGGAATTCATATGGAGCGCCATACATGAGTCATGTGCATTACTTGGGAGTGACGTCACGCGCACGTCACGAGTTCATTCAGTAGCGAGGTGAAGCCCGCACAGTGCAAAAATCATTGCGACTCAGTCATGTGTAAACAACTTCTAACTAATATACTGTAATAATATATAGGTATATCTCTAAATTGTATAGAACAAAGTCGCTGTCGGTATCTGTTTCTTTTACTTTTACTACGACATTTAAAGGATTTCGATATGGGTATTTGCTAGCAAAATGGCAAGCCAGCCTTTTTTATATATATATTCTTTTTATACAACTTAGAATGGCAAACAAGCTGACGGTCCACCTGATGAAAAGTGGTAACCGTCGCCTATAGACATGAGCAGTACCATGGACATAACAGAGTATACTGATTCGCCCATGATACCCTCCATGCTTTGCCATTCCTGAGGACTCAGGTGTTATTCCTCCGTACCCAGTAAATTCACGCCATATACCACCCTTCAAACCGAAACACAGCCATGCAAACACAACTGTTTCACGGTTGAAACACGAATGGGCCAGAGGTACCCAAGCAATCGACTTTTGTACAAAGTCTCCCTCTGGTAAATGGTTTTATATTCTATTCAACCATAGATTAAGAATAGTACTGCGAATGTTCTGACATTATGACATATGTTTTTCTGCACAATTTAATATATTATTCTTAATCTATAGTTGCCAAGACTTGCACAGGCTTAAACTTTTAAATAGATAAGTGCATCCGTGCGAAACCGGGATAGATTGCTAGTTCACGTACAAATATAACCATGAGCATTGCTACAGGAGAAGGGATGGGGGAAAATTTCCATGTTTATAGGATTACCAGGCCACCATTTCCCTTCACATGATGAAATGTTTAAATAATTATTTACTACTAACTGAAAGAATTGTGGTCTCGCAAAATAGGTATCTATATTTAAAGATAAAAAAAAAAGCATAATAATGTTTGGATCACTGACCTCTCCTGTCCCGCTGTATCCCAAATCTCGAATTTAACAGTGATGTCGTCGAGGCACACCGTCTGCGTGAGGAAGGCAGCACCAATCGTACTCTCCTGGTACTCGTGGAACTGGCCTTTGACGAATCGCAGTACGAGCGACGATTTCCCCACCGCTGACTCCCCTAGTAACACCAGTTTGAATTGGCACACCTTCGTCTGCGGAGCGCCGTTCGGCCGCTGTGCCGCCCCGCTCCTGTTTGTAGCCATGTCCTGGGGACAAGAGCGTACTATTACTTACTATTAATTAGGAATATTCTAGATAATTTTATTTTTATTAAGGTTTCATTTCATCTGAAGGCTAGCATAGTCATATATTTCAAAGACTTCAAAGGCGATGGTATGTAAGGTTGGTCAAGTCAGTTAATGAGGGACAATTTTATCCGCAAATATAAATATTTACTAATGGAACTACTTTTTTTTTATAAAACTTAGCAAACAAGCTGACGGCCCACCTGATGGAAAGTGGTAACCATCGGCTATAAACATGATCAGTACTATGGACATAACAGAGTATACTGTTCCGCCCATGATACCCCCCATGCGTTGCCATTCCTGAGGACTCAGGTGTTATTCCTCTGTACCCTGTAAATTCACGCCATATTCCACCCTTCAAACCGAAACAGTCATGCAAACACAATTGCTTCACGGTAGAAACACGAATGGGACAGAGGTATCCGAGCAATTGGCTGTTTCAAGATTGCATTCATAGTCAAAGACATATCAACCAGAATTCTAAGGTTGTAATTCATTCGTATTTCTGTTTAGAAGCAGGTGTGCTCATGTCTATGTTTCAATTTGAATTGTAGTGAAATTACAAAATATGGAGGCATTACACCATAGTCCCAGTGTGCTTTATGATGTGCACGGTGCTGTTCATGTCTACAGGAGGCGATTGAAGTAGGCCCTTAGCTTGTTCAGCCATTCTATTTTAAAGAACAATCCTGCTTGCAACATACTAGAAAATGTAAAGTATCCTCTATTTTAAATATTTAATTTACTTAAGTTGAATTCAAAGTTTTGAGACTGAATCACATTTTCTATCTTGGATGGTGTAATAATTTAAAACACCATGAGGTAATGTATTACTTAAATTTTACCTACCTGATTATTCTAGGTTTAAGTCCCATACAATACAAAGACTTGTATTAGTGAGTATGTTTGTTTGTATTAATCTAGACGTTTTACATATATACATATCTGTCACACTTATCTCCCATTAGAGTAAGAAACAATGGAACACCAAATGCTTCTATTCAAACAAAGCACTTTTGCTTCCTGTTCTCTATCTATGATATGTATGTAATTAAAAAAAAAAACTAAGTAAGTCTCAATATCAAGCTCCACTAAATTAGATACCTTTATATAAATGTGTAGATAAGATATTAAACCTTATCTTCGTCTATTATTCGTATTTTAAAAAGTCCTAACAATAAAGGCATTACTTTCTTTTCATGATAAACTTTACATACACTCATATACTTTTATCTTTTGTTTGTGAAAGAAATATAAACTAACTATCTATGTTACATTATGCCTTTTAATTTACATCTTAATTTATAGTCTTATCAATGACAAATAACAAATGTTTGCACCATTTCCATTATCATAAATGTATTGTAAAAGGTGACTAAAGGAACTTAATGTTCAAGGGGAGGAAGCACCAGCCCTATTAAAACATCACCAAAACATGTGGTTGCCAGCCGCATACCAAGTGTGGCTGGAAACCATTTACATCACCATGTGCTAACTGACCTACTCCATCATCACATATCAGCACTCACTGGTGCTCCGCCAGTGAGATATGGGGATGATGCCTATTTAATTTGAAATATATTTTTACTTTAATCAACTTTCACATGGCTTTTCTATTAAAGATAAAGATAATGGAATGGCAACCTCATCTATGCTGCTGGTATACACTGGTAGAGCACTAGTGAATGATGATAGGTGAAGATATCAAGTCAGATGGCCAATGGTGACAAATTTCATAAGAATTAACATTTATGGCTTCCAAAAGGAATTCCCCCTCCCCCCTTTCACATGGTATGAAGTTGTAATGCCACATTCTTCAGGAAACACAATACATGAGGGATACCATGAGCATTACTAGTTATCATTATTTAGTTTTTTTTATGACATTGTTTATAAATCTATAAATAGGAATAATCTTTTCCCACAAGTTGGTTATAATATAGCAAACATGACAAACATTTAGTACCTATAATTGAAGTACAATAATGCTCACTTGAAGCTTAATAATGGAGTGGCAAATAAGTTGAATATCCTGATAGAAAATAGTAAGTAGTACAGGAAACTCTATGTATTACCATATCTAAGATGTAGATGTTACTTCTGAATACCCAATAATTTTGCTGCCATAAAATTTTAATAAAAAGTAAAATTAAATGGGTCTAATACTTAGAATTTAGAAATTACGCACATGACATGACTAATAATACTTTATATTTACCAAAATCAACTTAGTTTACAGTAAGGGTAAGATTTATATATCAAATATATATATATAAATATATCAAATAGGTAGGTAGGCAGATATTTTGCTATTTTTTTTTTTATATTGTAGTGTGAAATAAAGCATTTTATTTTATTTTGGTTTTGCCTTAAGTGTGGCTTAAACCATTACATATTTCGGAAGATAATCACTTATTGGACACAATGAGGTTACTACATTCAATTAGGATGTAACCCCTTTAAAAAAATTATGATTAATAACAAGTTTAATTGTCAATATATCTTTATTTACATATAGATATTGATTTTTGTATTTTAATTAATATTTCAAGACAAGTTCCTAGTTCCTCTTTTAAATTAAACACATTTCACATTTAATTTATGCAATTGGAAGTATCTCATTATAAATATTTATCAATTTCCTGCACATTGAATGAAGTAATGGACTATCACTTTGTTTCATTACACTATCACATATTCAAACATGGACTATTTAATAATAATTTAAGCTGCACAAAACTCAACCAAATTAACTTAGAATGCTTTCTGATAGATTAAACAATACAAAAGAATAAGACATTCTATTTTACTTCCTACTATGTTCATGAACTAGTTGAGTATCACTGCCTTTTAGTGTCAATATCTAATCAGGAAATAGGCTATTTATTTGAGATGACATTGCACCCTGTAACTAGGAACTAACCTGTCAGTCGACCAACAAAACACAGCCCAACACCATTTATTTCCATAGGATGATGAACAAAGAATTTCACAAATTTCATACATAGCAATAAACTCAATTAACTATATACAAATTGAAGTAAGTTTTTTTTAATGCCACTAAAATCCAAACCAGTGAGGCCTAAGAACAATGGGTTTGATAGAGGACTCGATATAAACGGTAAACAAGACCATGTTATCTTAACTTGCGTACCGTCGCAAAATCACAAAGAAACAAAAGGCATTATGATGACACTAATTCAGTATTCGGCGGACAACTCGCCTGACCTACAATCACAGATTTTGATTTATCAGTTTCGTAGACGCGTAACGTATCTGTTATGATGACTAACTGCGTCTGTACCTATCACATAGTTTCCTTGCAGTATGACCACTCAAAATCACTCATAAAACGCCCTCCTCCGAATCAGCTGGAGGTCATAAAAACCGTGCAGAAAGAACATTTATATGAACGGATACTTCGTTCTATTAGTTTAGAATTTAACATCAAGATTGACATTACCGTTTTTACTTCAAGTACAACAATAATAATTAAAATGACGCATTTACTAGATTAAATTGGATATGAAAGACGTACCCTCCCTGTTATTATATCGCCGATGTGCACCTTTCCTCGGGCGAGAAATCCTCACGAGGTCGCCGTGATGCCGACAATATCATTAATTACACACTTAAAATGTTATTAACACAAATTTTTACACGACAAACTAGAAAATCTAACACAGAAATGCGAAATTACCCCGAACAAACATGGAAGCAAGAGAGCGAGCGAGCGAGACGTTTCACAAAAAAAAAATTGGCTATGGTAAAGAGTATACGTCATTGAGAAAATCTTACACTATGGTTGAATATGCTCCGTCAGCAACTCGAGCTAGAACTAAAAAAGACAATCATCAACGGTTCAATATTTGATTTGCTAAGATGTGTTGTACTTGAAAGATACGAGACACTATTATGTCTGTGTAAAAAGATCACCATCTTCTAAGCAATATTGAATTAAAAATGAATTAATACAAGATCGTAGAGTACCTTACGTACTAATTGCTTGCTCTGTGGTTTCTACTTTTAAAATATTTTTCTTTAACAAAGATTTCCGAATATGTTCTTAAACCTTCATAGATTAAAAATAGTAGTATTCACAACTTCATTATATAGATCTATATAGCTTTCTAATCTCTGCTTCAGACATTGTCTAATCTGTGGATTTAATTTTCATTCAAAATATCAGATTGGAAAAAAGGCGGGAAACTCGAATAAGAACAAGCGGGTTTTTTAAATTTTTTTTATTAATTTATTAAAACTATCTCTATCAATTCTTATTATTGAATAAAATATTATATTTTCACTAAATTCAGCGACAGTAATATAATTAGCATTCATGGGGAAGCGCAGTTGTAGAAAAAGGAAAAAAAAAGATGACGATTCAGGTGATGTAGACCATGAACCTTGTAATGACAAGGATATATATTCGGAAGATACTTCTACTGACTCAGAATCTGAAATTGATAAGGCCGATAAGTATAAACCTTACTACGTCACAGATTATATTAGAAGATATCCCGAGGAATCCCCTGGGACAGAATTTGTTGTCTTTGTAGAATCCTCAGATAGTCAGAAAACCATTGGATCCAGAGACTTGCTCTCACTCTCCTCCTGTTTAAAACGATTTAATAAAGGGGTAACTTATCTTAGATCTATAAATAAATTCAAAATCGGAGTATACTTTCAAAAGCCAGACTTAGCCAATGCTTTTTTAAATAATAAAACTTTTATAAATGACTACCATTTTAAGGCCAGTATTCCTGCTTCTTCAACAGAAGTTACAGGCGTTATTAGAAATGTACCTACAAATATATCTAATAAAAAAATATATACTATGATATCGAGTTCTAAGAAAATTATTGCTATTAAAAGAATTTTAAGAAAAAATACCTTGACTCATGGATATGTGTTACAGCCAACTCTAACCGTGACAATTACTTTTGCTGCATCTGTATTACCTGAATATCTGGATATTGGAGGTTGGCGCCACAATGTCACTCCATATATACCACCAGTTAAACAATGCTACCGGTGCTTGAGGTATGGACATTTAGCTAAATTCTGTAAGAATTCTGAGCGTTGCAGCATCTGCAAAGGTGAGCATAATTATAAAACTTGTACAACTGGAATGGAAAACGCTATTTGTGTACACTGCAATGGAAATCACACAAGTGTATCACCGCAATGCCCTGTTAAACAAAAGAAAATTGCTGAAAATAGATCTAAATTCAGACCTGCTTCTTTTGGAGATATACTTAGCACTGAAATATTTCCTAAACTGGGTAACAAACCTAAAAAAAATGTAGACCTAATTTCAATTCTAAATTCTGATAACAAGAGTTTATCACTTTTAATAGAAAGCATAATCAAACTTATTTCACTACATAACACAAAGAACACATCTATTAACACTAAAAGTGTTTTGAATGTGTTATATGATACTTTTGGTAATAGACCTATTTCACAAAATTCAATCGAGACCAATTAACTATCATACAGTGGAACGCTCAGAGCCTACTGAGCAATCGACATATTTTTACACAATTTTTAAATGAACATCATATTCACATTGCTCTCATCTCAGAAACTTGGCTAAAACCACATTACAAATTAAAAATTAAAGATTATTGTATAGAACGAAATGATTGTGGTAATAACCACAATGGAGTAGCGATTATTATACATAATAGTATTAGATATAAAAAACTTCACTCTTTTTTCGACAATTCTTTGCAAACTATAGCTATTAGTATTGAAGTTAATAATTCTTGGTATTCAGTTGCCAGTATTTACTGTCCTACCAATAGTACACCTAGTTTTACTAAAGCCAAATTTAAGTTCTTTTTGGAGTCTCTTCCTAAACCCACTATCATATCTGGAGATTTAAATGCACATCATACTATGTGGGGTTGTACCTCCACTAATACAAGAGGTAAAGACATTCTTGATTGTTTAGATGAATGTAATTTGGTACTATTAAATGATAAGCAAGTTACTACTGTTGGCTCTCATATTTGGAGACCCAATGGCCTTGATTTAACTATGGTATCCCCATCCATATCATTAAAATGCGAGTGGTCGGTTCATGATGATCCGTTAGGAAGTTATCACCTGCCGACTTTTACTAAAATAAACACAAAGAACTCTTCATCAACTCCGTCAGGTGAACAACATGCTCCTATAGATGAAGTTAATAAACTTTTGTTAAATCGTATAAACCTACGTCTCGTTAATTGGGATCTTTATTCTGAAACTGTTAATCAATTACTTTTGGATTTCGAGTATGATGTCAATGAACCCTTAAACAATTACAATAGGTTCTGTAAAATTATTTTGACAGCTGTGGAACGTTCCGTTCCACGTAGGAACTTATCAAATAGCGGTGCAAATACTTCAAAGAGGCACAAACATATTGCAGTACCTTGGTGGAATAACAGGTGTGCGACAGCTGTCAATGATAGTAAAGCGGCTTACCTTAGGTTTAAACAAAATCCAACTCTCGATAATTACATAAATTTTAAAAGAGTTCAAGCTGTTAAAAAGTTAGTAATTAAGCAAGTAAGACAACAGGGGTGGCAGGAATTTTGTTCCAAATTTAATAGATTAACACCAATTTCCACTGTTTGGCAAAATATGAGAAAACTAAATTCAAAACATCGTCAAAATCATTTTAAAGATATATCATGGGTCAATGATTTTTTACGCAAATATACTCCTGATTTTGTACACTCACCTTTTGATGACAAACAGTTTAATTCTGTTAATTCATGCCCAAAATTTCTCACTGACCCATTCTCAATTGATGAAATATCCAGTGCAGTAAAATCTAGAAAAGATACAGCTAGTGGCCTTGATCGCTTAACATACAATATGTTTCGATTGCTGAATAAAATAAACCTTACTAAACTCTTACAAATTTTTAACGATTTATGGAAGGACTGTATTATCCCACCAGAATGGAAAATGGATTGTTTGATTCCAGTAATTAAACCCGGTAAAGATCCTACAAATTTCGACTCCTATAGACCTATAACATTGACGTCCTGTGCAGGCAAATTATTCGAACAATTAATTAAACAGCGTTTAGAGTTCTTTATTGAAAGTAATAGTATATTACCATCGAATCAATTTGGTTTTCGCCGTGGATATTCAGCGCGCGAAAGTTTAGCGAACTTCTATGTCGACCTTAGTACTGCTTTGAATAACGATGAATATGTTCTATCTGTTTTTTTAGATGTCGTAGGAGCTTTTAACAATGTAAATTTAACAGTTCTATCTTCGATTTTATCCTCATTTCTTCCAATGAAACTTATCGAATGGATTTATAATTTTCTTAGTAATAGAGAAGTGTATGTTAAAGTAAATAGTAAATTAATAGGACCTAGGTTAAGCTCTAAAGGAGTATGTCAAGGTGGTATTCTAAGCCCGCTACTATATATTTTATATATCTATAAACTTAATTCAATTTTAGGAAACAGTGTGAACAACTTGCAATTTGCCGATGATTTATTAATTTATATAAAAGGAAAGAATATTATTGATATGCAATTAGTGTTAAATGAGTCATTAAAAAGACTTGAGAAATATTTTTCTCTTCTTTCCCTCGATATTAGTTTAACCAAAAGTAAAGTAGTTGTTTTTCATCAAGTTCATAAATATGTTCCATTAATGAATATTATATATAATAATCAAACTCTTCCAACAGACTGTAGCGTTAAATAATAATGGGGGTAATTTTTCATCAAAATTTAAAATGGGATCTATACGTTGATTGCTTAGTAGATCGTGCTTTAAGAGCCACTAATATAATAAGATCTGTAATTGGTCGTAACTGGGGAGCTGATCCTAAAATTATCCTTTTACTTTACAAATCTCTTGTTAGAAGTAATTTTGATTACGCTTTCTTTTGTTATGCCTCAGAACATAAATTAGTAGAAAAACTCGAAAAAATTCAAAATATGAATTTAAGACTTATTTTAGGTGCTATGTATACTTCTCCAATTATTTCAATGCAAGTAGAATGTAATTTGCCTCCTATCCTTCTTCGTTTCGAATACCTAAAACTCAAATTTCTCTTCAAAGTTTTTTCAGTTTCCAATAACCCACTCATACTCAAATTATTAAATTGCCCCATTTCTATGTTTTTGAATAAAACTATTGTCAATGATTTGAATTTACGAGATGAATATAACATCTATAGTAGTAAGATACTTCCTTGTTATAATGGCCTTTATGAGAGTAAGTTCTGTAAGATCAAAATTGTTATACGTAAAGACATAAAAGAAAAGCACGATATGTATGAGACTTTATCAGAATTTATTGACTACAGGCAGATATATACAGATGGTTCCAAAAATGCACTTAGCACTTCAGTGGCTTTTTACGATTTGTCAAATAGATTTGGTCACGGTTATAAAATTTCAACTTTGGCTAGTATTTACACAGCAGAAGCAAAAGCTATATTTTTAGCATTAGAATACATAGAAAAACAGGTACTATATTCGAAATGGATTATAATTACAGATAGTATGAGTGTTCTTATGGCATTAAAAAATAACACATTCATTTCATCATCAAACTACTTAATTCAAGAAATTCGTAATAAATATTATCATCTCTGTACTATATATGGAAAAGATATTATCTTCATCTGGACCCCTTCACATATTGGAGTGTTTGGGAATGAACAAGTAGACACTTTGGCTAAAATTATTAATTCAAGTGCTGCTCGTGTTCAAGATTTACCCCTTTGTTATTCAGATTGTAGTATTGGAATACATAAAATCGTTACAACTAAATGGGAGGAGCATTGGACTCAAATATTACAGACTAAAGGCAAATGGTACCGCAAAATTAATTGGCGTATTGGAAAACCGTGGTTCTGCAAAGGAAAGGACACAAACAGAAAATTTTACACCAATATTTGTAGATTACGAATCGGCCACGGACATTTCAACGAACACCTGCACCGAATGGGCATGATCGCTTCCCCATCATGCACATGGTGTAACTCAAATACAGCCCAATCTCTACATCACCTTTTTTTGATTGCTCTGAATTTGTCATTCAAAGACACATTATGTTTGACGAACTTAGGATTATCTTCAAAAAACCCGAAAATATCCCGCACTCAATCCCGCTTCTCTTAAGATTTCCTTCTTGTTTCAAAGCTATTTTCACTTATATTACTACAACATTCAAGGAGCTATAAGAATACTTTTATTGAATTGCAAGACAATGATTTTTTATAATTATTTATTTTTAATTTGATAAATCCACTGGTTTAAGAAAACTCAAGAAAAGATATTTATGAAAATGTACTTACCGGATTTGACAAATGAAATATTGAAGATTATGACAATAATTGAAGCGACATTAGAAAAATAAAATTCCAGACAATTTATCTTTTTGAAGACTAGGCAGCATGGTCTCCGACCTTAGCCTGTTCCAAACGGAACAAACGTACTAAAAAAAAAAAAAAATCAAAATATCAATTCTTCATTTATATTTTAACATTTCAATTTGATATTATAAAATCTTAATTATTATCACAGTTATTACAGGTTTGTACAAATTTAATTATAATCCAGAATGAAGATAACAAGGTACAAAAAAGTTCAAAGATACATGAAATTCTATTACAACAATTTTGGTTTCCACCAGCCTTACCAGATTTTGGTGGACGGCACATTTTGTTTTACTGCTTTCAAAGTGAGTCTGAGTTGTAATGTAGAGAATACATAGTTTTGATTACTGCTCCTAAATATTCATATAGTCACTAGAAATATTTCTAGGTTAAAAATAATAATTCGTGGTCTTATTGACATTCGCATACAGAATGGACAGCAAATTCTGTCGCATTGGTCGGCTAATCGATATAGTTGACGAGGAGTGGCGCGCGGAGCAGTTACCTTACGAGGATATCCAGGTGCCTCTGGAGGAGCTGCCCGACCCTGAAGCGGACAGCGTCGACTCGCACCTCACCCTCAAAGAGCAAAGCATGCGCTGGCAGGAGAACTTCCCTGAGCCAGCAAGCAGTAATCAGAACTAGGTATTCTTAACTGTTTATTCAATTTCTTTTTTAGCAATTAGAAAAAAATTATTGAATTTTTTCCATATAATTTAACATTTTGTACAACATTTTGCAAAACTTTGATTAAAAACTAAACCACTGAACACCTATTATTTTCATAAAATTTCTATGACACCAATCTAAAAGTATATTCTTTTAGATAAAGAATATTTAAATAAAAAAAAAAATTGATAAATCTGAAAAAATTACAGCTGAACTAAGAGCCTTTTTCTTTTTTTTATGTTAATTGAAAATATTCCATTATTATATACTGCATGACTTGATAGCATATTAGCAAAAATGAGAGGTGAAAAATTTTGCTGGGCTGCTGATTGATCCCATATGTATATTTGTAATACATATATTGTTGTAAAAGGGTTTTTTATTTATTAAGTATAACAAATAAATCACTGTTTGTTCAGAATGTTGAAATAGTTAGCTCTACCCATATATTATTATAACTAACATTATTTGCAGCACTAAGTCATTTTAAATGTTCTTTATATAAACCAGTTTTGTATACAAAATACAAAAATCTGTTAATGGTATCTATATTTTAACAACTTACAATTCTTAATCATTTCAGGAACAAATCAATATTAGAGAACAAATACCAAAATATCTCAATAGTCAAGTAAAGTTACTTACGACTAGATGTATTATTATTGAAACTGAAAAAATTGCCAAGAAAACACATGGAGCTCTAACAATATTAAAGCAGTATGGTATTCATGAATGTGGCCATACAGAGCCTGTCAGTGGTGCAAAATGCATTTTGTCTATGATCGGTAAGACCAATGAGAGACACTACATATTAGCATCTCAGGACAGAGATTTACAAGAAAAACTTCGAGCACGAGCTGGTGTTCCACTCCTTTATTTCCACAACAAGTCACCAACACTTGATAAACCCTCGCGAGCAAGCTACGACAATGCTGGCCAATCATTAGAGACGCAAAACATATTTATCAGTGAAACACAAAATGAGACATTGAAATGTATGAAAAAAGCACTAGGGGTTGAAGAAAAAGTGGAAGAAACTAAAATTCCAGTGAAAAAGAGAAAAGCTCATAACCCCAATCCCTTATCCTGTAAAAAGAAGAAGAAAAAGCCAGGGCAACATGTAGGTGTCAAGAAAGACAGCGACACTGGTAGTGGTAAAGTTAGAAAAAGAAACAAGAAGAAGTTACCTAAGCATATAAAGGAGCATTTAAAAATGTCAGCTTCATGTTAAGGATTTCTTGCAAATAAATTTTTTATTAAATACTATTAAAAGGTCTTTGATTCATAGAGAGTATCCGTGGAGTAAGCTGAAATCAGTACATATAAAGAAGACTTATAGACTTAACATTAACCTGAAATAGGAAATATTACTAAAAAACATGAGTTTGAAAGTGGATGGAGGGATACAGTTGAAGAGGACCTAAGATGAGATGGATGGACTGTGTGAAAGAAAATATGAATTATTATGAGCACAATTAAAATTAAACCTTAGGTAAATAACAGGACATATTTATCTTTTATTAGTTTCTACCTGCGATTTTGTCTGCTTAACTATATCTTTCTCCATCACATAGAGAATGTGTTTGCCAACTTTCATAATGATTAGTTAAGCTGTTAAAACAATATAAGGTAACAAATAATTACATTTATAATATTAATAAGTATTAACCTTGTAAAGTCTTCCGAAATACTTGTATGCTGTTTTCCTGACTGAAAAGTGAGATATGACAATAAAAGAATTGCAATGTATAAAAGATATCATGGAAGTGACTATATTATTTGACAACCATGGTGTTATGGTATGCCATCAGCTTGTTTGCCATTCCAAGTTGCATGAATTTATTAATTAATACATGTTGTTAAAGTATTTAAAGTATATTGTACATTGTTGTATTCAGCAAGTCTATGGTTCTACCTATGAGGCCTACAATACCTTGTGTATCCAATTTAATAATAATGTTAGGGTGCTGTTGTGGCTTTTTTTTTATGGGTGAAATTGCAATGGCAATCCTGCCTGCGCTAACGGTGTACGCTAGCAGGGCACCAGTGATTCTTAGTCTCCATTACTAACAATCCCTTTCTCCCCACTGTTGCGGCTTCCCAACTTCTGTTGCGCCTCAGCGATGTTTGTCGAAGCTCGTACTGATGGTTTTGACGCGGTCTGGCGTAAAAAGACAGCTTCGTTCTTATACAGAATACGCAGGAGTGGCAACAGTATCCTGAACATGTTTGTAAACAAGTAGTTGTGAGAATGCTCGCCGAGAGGACTAGTAGAGCATTATTAATAATTTAAGATACTTTTTAAGTACACTTACTAACAAAATAGACCCAAGTTGTCTAAAATAAATGAATAAAAATAAAATTATGAATTGAGGGTTACGTTGCTTAGAACAGGTAATATGTTGGAAATATCTGGCATTACAAGTATTTTTTTTTTTTTTTTTTTTTATTTATTTATTTATTTTCTCCACAAATCTTACAGAATGTTACATAAAAAAAAATACAACTATATATGTATGTATAATTAAAGTGGTCTGTAAAACTTGTGGGAGACTGGACCCTAAACTAGATCAGAGATCTGTATCTCAGGAATCCAGGCCCCCAACTCGGACACCATGTACAGCTTGCATTAAGCTAAAATTAAAATTTGTGAAAACGACTAGTAGACTAGTAGAGCATTATTAATAATTTAAGATACTTTTTAAGTACACTTACTAACAAAATAGACCCAAGTTGTCTAAAATAAATGAATAAAAATAAAATTATGAATTGAGGGTTACGTTGCTTAGAACAGGTAATATGTTGGAAATATCTGGCATTACAAGTATTAATTAGGTAATGGCCGCATACAATCGGGCGGGCCTTATAATTAAAAACACACTAACATAATAATAATTAATATTTAATTTTATTTTACGTAAAGTAATTCAGTTTATTTTCGGTTTATAAGGCCAAGTTATCTTCAGTCTGTATGCACCAAATGTCAGTATATGTATCAGCGGCAAATTGGACAGATATATTGTGTGGAAATGTGTTAAAATATCGTAGCATTCATCTGGCTCAAATACTTCTTGTCCATCAGGAGGGTCCTGAATAGAATAAGTGTTAATTCAACCTATTTATCTCTACCTTATATATGAATAAGAGAAACTTAAACTATTTGAATTTATATTTAGAAATTCGAATAGCAAATCAGTCAACCAAATCATAATTACTAAGTAGTTAGACTACTCACTACTTATAGTAGAAGATTTATGTATTTATGTACACTTTATTGCACCATTTATAAAATAGTAAACACATTTAACTGTAATAAGAAATGATACAAAAGGCCGGCCTTATCGCTAAGCAATCTCTTCCAGACAACCTTTGCGTAGAGAACATTGAGAAAAGAAAGAAAAACAAAGGGTAGGTGGCGCACTATTATATATAAACAAAGATATATACATATATATGTATATACATAAACAAATACATAAACATACACAAACTTTAAAGTACACATACAACAGGAGAGAGTGACACTGGAAGATGAAGATAGAACATGGGAAAAAATAGTTACTTAAAGGGAGAGATAATGGGCTTTAACAGGAGGTTTTTAAGATTGTAACTGTATAGACCGGTGTTTCCCAACATGGGGCCTTCGTCCCACAGGTGGGCAATTTAATAGTTAGGGGGGTCTCTCTCTTGCTCCGAGCCATTTAAATGCAATGCTACGAGTAGATATCGGTGCCAAATTTAACAAAAAAGTCAATAAAAAGAAATACTGTACATATTTATTAGGTATAATTTCGTTTGACGTTACCAAAATATCAACTGAACGATTGGAGTCGTCAAGTAAAACTTGTCGGTAAAAATTATGTATCAAGTGCATGGCACAAAAAAAATTGGAAATCACTGGCATAGAGAAGTGTGGGATACTATTTAGGACCTAACATAATATATGAGATTTACAAACAAGCAAATCTACATGCTTTGCAGGTTGACAATTGTTTATTTAATAGACATGTATAAAAGCTTGATATTTTATCCGGACGCGAAGTACCATTTATCGTAACGGTTCAATGTGACCAAGCACAAATAGTAACTGATTATTTAATTAGATCGACACCTAAATGTGTTGCAGAACGTGCGTGGTCGAAATGACAGTCGGAGGTTGATGGCTAATATGGAAGGTTGTAGAACTACTAATAATAATAGTAGTCAATCTTCAAGTGTAGTTGCACCCATACAAATGGTAGCCGAATTCAAATTAATCATATAACTAGTGATTTGGACTTCCGCAAAATGAAACCTAGTCGAGTAAAATATTTGCAAATAGTGATTGCCGATAGACTTGCTTTCCTCACCTCAACAGTATGTCGTATCATGGTTTCTTTGAAGTAGTCCCACAGAGCTATCGGCGGTAGCCAGTAATAGCTTTTGAAGTACAAATGTGTCTTGATGTAAATAGAAATTAGACATGCAAGTTTGGATACGTTGAAGTCATGCTGCGCGGCGTAGTCTATTGTCTCCATTAGAAAGCTTATCAGAAAGTTGGTTTCAGATATATTATAATTGGGTACTATGTTCTTTTTAACTAAAAAAGTACCTAAAATATAAATTCCCTTTTATAGATTGGCTCAATACTTAAAAGTAAAGTCTATCTACCTAACTTTTTTTTAGTTGGGGGAGGGGGGAGTATTGTTAGTAATGCGGACTACAAGTCGCATTTGCTAGCAACGTACCCTGTCAGTTCGACCTCCACGTGGTCTTTCCGGGAAACCATCGTGCTGAATTCCAAGTGTTTTCATCACGATGGGCTAACTGGCCTGTCTTTTAGGGGGAAAAGGATTGTTAGTAATGGGGTCTAATAACCCCATTATTAGCAATATACCCTCTCAGGTCGTCCTCCATGTGGTTCCCCCTGGAGACCATCATGATTCATTCTTGTCAAATTCATCATGGTGGGCCAACTGACTTGCATTCATTCTTACCTATCATCTTCCACTGGTGCCTCGTCGGTGTATACCGATAGCGCGGGCGGGGTTGCCATTCCATTTTCACCCATTAAAAAAAAGACCTGTCTTTTAATCCTCAGTGCCCCACCAGCGAATTCCGTTAACGCAGGCGGGGCCATTTCATTATCATCCATAAAAAAAAACAGTATTTTTGTAGGCATATAAATATTAAATAAAATATTCTTACGACTGTATTATTAAATGGAGTAATCGGAGGCATTTGTAAACTGCTGCCGTTGTGGTGGAAGTACCTAACACTCAAACTCGGGGGGAAAGGGATTGTTAATAATGAAGACTGAGAATCCCATTGCTAGCAATATACCCAACCAGGTCGTCCTCCTCGCGGTTCTCCCTGGAAACTATCATGGTCAATTCCTGATGAATTCATCATGATGAGCTAACTGGCCTGTTGTCATTCTCACCTATCAACCTTCACTGGTGCTCCGCCAGCGTATCCCGTTAGCGCAGGCGGGGTTACCATACCATTTTCACCCATTAAAAAAAAAACACTCAGACTTGACATACCACGTTACAAGTAAGTAGGTATATTAAAATTTTACGTGGCAAAGATAAAATCTACTGTTTTTATTCAGATTAATTTGTTTTATTATAAGTATCATTGTTTATAATCATCAGAACATTTAAAACACATAAATTTTTAATGTCGAACGTGTATACTAACGAAAAGTAACCTAAAATAATGAAAAACTAGTACAACCTAGATATTTCTGCAGTCCTTTATATCTGTCCGCGTCGGCGGCGCTAATCATCTCGACAGCTTCGACCTCGCTCATCACGGTACCTATTAACAACTTGGGTCTAAGTTCCTGTTCTGGTTTCACAAATGGTGGTGCATCATTCTCCTTCAAAGAATGGAAATACGAAGGTGCCGATATTTGGGGCTTTACCGGTACCTCTTCATGTTTCAAATGAACTATCGGTGCTGATGCAGCTTTTATTGCTGTATTCGAACCTTTACTACCTTTTGTATTTGTTTTGGAGTCTAATATTGTTTGCATGTTTAGTTTTAATAACCTACTGCTCAAGGTAGATACTTATTAATAGTAGATTTGACATTAGTAGGTACTTATGACAATTTATCTAAGCCAGAGAGTCTAAACATGTCATTATATTGAGTAGGTACCTACAAAGGATTGTAAAGCACAAGCAGTTTTTGAAATATGTACCTATTTTTTTTAATGGGTGATAATGGAATGGTAACCCCATCTGCGCTATCGGTATACGCTGGTGGGGCACCAGTGAGTGATGATAGATGAGGATGAAAGCAACTCAGTTAGCCCATCGTGACGAATTCCACTAGAATTAACCACGATGGTTTCCAGGGGGAACCGCGTGGAGGTCGACCTGATAGGTGTATATTACTAGCAATGGGTTTATTAGACCCCATTATTAACAATCCCTTCCCCCCTGAAATATGTATTATCGGGCTATAGATATAGGACAAAAAGCAGCTTGAAAGATTAAGTTAGTATATTTCACAAAGTACAATGTATGTATGAAGTTTTATTGATTGGAACACATAGTATTATATTATCTATGACAATACCTACAGTAAATATTCGGGTTGGTCTATAAAGATTAATACCTACAACTCCGTCTATTGCCCGATCATTTTTCCACCTTAAAGAATAAAGCATGTACTTTTAAGTCTTGCAATATAATGAGAGAACTATATTACTTGATTCGCTTAACATCAGTACATCGTAATCGTTGCATTATGACACAATAAAGCTGTATTCGTACATACGAGTATATCCTCGCTTGTAAAGCTGCTTATTTACAAAGATATGAAAGTTCTATAAATAAAAACTCTATAATATTTTTTTTAAGTATACTTTAATTCTTGCAGTCATCAGATATATGTAAAGTATACAAGATTATGAACTATTTACAGTGGTAGGTAAAGTTCTTTCTGGTAGGATACTACGCTTTCATTTCTGTTCCTGATTCCCAATAACGTTGACTAACATCTCTTGGTTTGTCTTTTCTTGATCTCCATGAATCATCATTGTCCCAGTATCTCCTTCTCTGGTCTCGATCCTCTTCTTTATTTATTCGTTTATCTTTATTACGCTTTCTTCTATCTCCATATGATTCAGTATCTGAATCACTTCTGTCTACTTCTTTGTTTGCTGAAAGGTCAGTAACATCTTTACTCTTTTCTTTACTTGAATATACACTCTCTTCTGTTTCACTACTATCTCTATTCCGTCTTCTGTCTTCCCTTTTATCTTTTTTGCTCTCCTTTTCTAATTTCCTATAAGCATCCTCTTTATCTGACTGATATCTATTTCTTTCCTTGTCTGTATGATCTTTATTTTTATCATCTTGTCTTCTGCTTCCTTTTTCTCGTTTCCTATCATCATTCTCATCATTTTCTTTTCTTTTTGAATGACTTTTTGATCTTGACTCTTCATCACTGTTTCTTCTATCTCTGTCATTATAGTCATGTGTACTTCTATGTTTATTATCCTCCTTCTCACGACGCCTGTCATCTTGCTGTTCACGAGTTTTCTCTTTGGCTCTTCTTCAGTCTGTCGCTTATCACTCCTTTCCCTTTCTGAATATCTTCGTGAATTGGAGTCGTCAATGTGTTCCCGACTGCGATCTCTGTATCGCTCATCATCTCTGCTTCTAGATCCATCTTGTCTACTACTATCTTTGTCTTTCCATCTATCATCTCTTTCATCACGATTCCTCCTTGAATCTTCTCTGTTATTTCTTTCATCTCTCTTTTTATATTTGTCTACATTTCTGTGTTCATAACTTCTTTCTCTATATCTTTCTTCATTTCGTCGAGCCACATCCCGAGGTCTTATAAAATTAGCATCATCTTTATCAGTAACTTCTGGCCTGTTCTCTTTTCTACGCGCATCTTTTCCATAGGTATCATAGAACCCATCGTGTCCCCATCTATCATTGTTTCTATTTTTATCAGATTCGTCATCATCAGGGGTTTTCGGCGATTTGCTTTTTTTCTTGTTTTTGCTTTTTTTCTTTTCTACGACCTCTTCTTCTGAATCTGAAAATTAACAGTTATCATTAAAAATTTTAGAAATTAAAACCATAAACTAGCGCCAACCGCAACTTAATTAGCCATATCCTATATTGAAATATAAAAAGATCATCAAACCCTTGTAAATTTTATATTTTTATAGATTAATGAAATTAAATTTGGTGCACTATGGATTTTATCCTATACTAACACCAGATATTTTAAAGTGTAAGTTATAAAACTCACCACTATCACTTGATGATGAATCTGAACTACTGCTGCTAGAACTTGAACTGGAATCTGAACTGGAATCCTCACTACCCAGGTTGATTTCTGTTATTGGAGCAGGCACGTTCTGCAATAAATGGTAAAGGATTTTATTAGTATGGTACAGCATAATCTTGAAATGTCACAAGATTTCAAACCTCTTATCAGGCAGGCTGTACACTGATAAAATAGTATAAAAGTTAATCTACAGATTGTCCCTTAAGTTTGTTAATATTTTTATTTATTATATAAAAAAAATATTTCTCAACAAAACTACAATCACTAATTTCCTTTGCTTAATACTTAAAAAAAGCTTAAAAATTCGGAATGTAACTATTTACCTTTGGCATTTGCTTCAAGTGTTCTCTCAACTCATCAGTTAAACCTCCCAAACCAATGGATGTGAAGAAATTAATAGAAAACCTTGTGTTCTTTGGATTGTCCCTCGGAAATATGCTTGAAAATGCGGTCTGCAAAGTCCTGAAAACAAAAAACAACAACATTAATTTCAAGATTTATAACAAAGTAATGAATGAAACAAAAAACAGAACTCACGGATCTTTGAGACGGTCATTTAACTTCTTCAATCCCATGTACTCGGCTAATTCTTGGAATAAAATCTTGATATAGATACGACTAGAGCTGGTTGTGTCCTCCTCATTAAGTTTTACACATTCTAAAACCTCCCAACTGATTGAATCCGTGAAAAGAAGGTGAGCAAAGAATTTGCTCACATTTCTCAATCTATTTGTGTCCAATCTGTGTGCAGTTGCATAGGAATCCTTGAATATCTCTTCAAATGGACCAATGTACATCCTGTTGATATTGCAGAACCTCTGTGCCAGCAGTCCATAGAATTTCTCATAGGTCCTCTGTTCAGCACAACAGTCCAGGAACATGTGACACAGCTCCACTTCTTGACCTGGCTTCAGCTCCATTTTAAGAAGTTTGTGGGCACATTCCTCAAAGTCTAAACTAGAATTTATGGTCAAATAAATTGTTCGTCTCAATGCCACAAGGTTGGTTTCCGTATTGTCTATAATGGTGACTCCTTTCTGTTCGCCTTCTGGCTGCTCCTCTTCCTCTGATTCTTCGCTGCCACTCTCCTCAGAGCCATCTTCTTCGCCGGATTCAGCATCAGAGCCCAAAATTTCCTTGCTCAATGTTTTGTACTTCTGTTCATTTTCTTCATATTTATCATCAAATTTGAATACATCTGTAATTTTAACATAATAATTGTACATACTGACAAAGATATATAGATAGATACTCTTTATTGTTTCTTCGTTGTGAATTAGTAAGTAGTATTGTTTAGTTATAATTATAATAGTAGATAACTTGTTTAGATTTTATGGGATTGACATGTTAAAAAACAAGAACCCAAATTAAACATAGATTAAAAAAAAAAGATTGCAATAGGAAACTTATTCAAAATGAAATACAAACAATTACAAGTAAAGATTACACTGAGAAAACAATGAGTAACCTTATTGCTAAGAGTGATCTTTATCAGGCAACCTTTTCATGGAGAAGAGTTAAATATAAATAATTTGACCAGCTAGATAGAGACAAATAGATTATTTTCATGATTTCAGCAGTTATCTGTCCACTACTGAACATAGGCCTCCTTCACAGACTGCCACCATCATAACTCACCAGGACCATAGAACATGTCATTTCATTAAAGCAGTTTACTATTGGGAAATTTTGCCAGTAGTTACCAGGCTTGGCAGGCAAATTAACATCACAATTTGGTTTTAGGTGATATTTTAAATTTGCTGCTGGTTTTTGCTCAACCATTAAGTTCCCTTAGTTGCTAACATGCAACACCCATGAGAAAGAAAGAGGTGGCACATTCTATACCGACACCACACAGCAATTTTTGTTTTTACTGTTATTTTATATAATGAAATCTTTTTATATGCTGCTTGTTATTTGTTAATAAAAAATAAAATGAAAAAGGTTTGTACATAAATTGTAACAAATATATTAGCCATTTTTTTAATTAATATCTGATGATGATTAATAACAGATAATAATTATCTGAAAATAAATAAGCAAGTTCATCCAAAAACTGGTGTATGATATATCTAGTTTGTTTAAACATGAGTTAATTATGAGAAATATAAATTTAAACACATATATTAGGATACCATATCTACTAATCCAGGACATGATGTATCTATGTACAAAATTTCATTTAAATCTCTGTAATATTTTCTGCATGATTGGATAACAAAGAACTAAATATCATTATAAAAACACATTCATAAACACATTTATAATATTAGTAGTGAGTACAATAATTCATGTAAATAGTTTATAACTTACTCAAAATATCCTGCGAGTCTGTAGCCTCGTCTAACATCAAGAGATGTGTGAACTGCTCTTCTTCTGGCACCAATTCCAGCTCCTCAATTAGAGCTGGATGATCTTTGAACCCATCTTTCCACACTTGAAACATCACTTCTATCATGTACTGAACCCTCTTATCCAACTGACCCTCATGTAAAATGTTTCTCAACATCTCAAATATAGCGCTGACACCTTTTGATGACACTTCAGTGAGTTTCTGACCACACTCCTTCAAAAATGCTATAGCAACCTCTACAGAGTCATCAGTGGGTGTCTCCACCAGCAAAGTCAGCAGTTCCAATGCAAGAATCTCATGTGCCACTCTCTGATTCACAAGGTGAGCTATAAATGAGGCAGATGATATACATGTAGGTTTGTCATTTCTCTTAAAACCTCTTTTGAATTGTATAACTAACCGTTTGAGCAAAAGTTCCCCAATATTGGGAAAGCGAGAGTTGACAGCCGCAACTAAAGCAGCATACACATTAGTGAAAGTCGGTGAAGCAGCTTGTGCCTGTATAACCGACCGACACAGCAGACCTCGACCACGCACAATATTCTCTTTCAGTAACTCTTTTATAATTATACCAATGTTTCCTACGTTGATTTTGTTAATGTGACCGTGTATGGACTTTTTGAGTGCCTCCCAAGCAAGTCTCTGGTACGCTACCGACGATTTATCAGTGATTTGAGCTTGCATCATGCGTAGCCGGGCTGGTGGTATGTAGGCGCCTCCAGTACGGGTGTTAAGCATGTCCGTCTCCTTCGCTTTTCTGGCAGGTGGCTCTTTTTGAGGTTCGTTTGGCACGTCATTTCCCTGCTTCTCCTGTTTGACTGGTCGCTCTTGTGATCTTGATTTAGATCTTCTGCGTTTCCGATTATCTTTCTCACGCTTTTCAGGTGGCGACCGCGATCTAGTGCGTGTTCTTTTTGATTTGCGTTCCCTCCGATATTCGTCATCGTATCTTCCATCTGGTTTTTTGTGTTTTTTACGATCCATATCTTTTTCATTCTCCATTTTAACAATTAAATAGTAAAGTTATAATTCACAAGATTATTACTTAAGACAGTTATCAGTTTCTTTAATAAAAATAAGAAGGAAATAAAAACTATATCGTTAAAAACAGATATTGTGACCATTAGCGGCCATTTTAGTATTGTAGTTTGGAATTTTGACGTTGACAACACAATGACAGTTGACAATTTTTTCTTTTTTATAGAAGTAACATAGTGGTGTACCAATTATCTGTAGTATTACAGTGAATTCGTAGATGGTCAAGAGTATTTTTAAATCAATATTTTTTTTAAACGCGTACTATATTTGCCGTGATCATTACATAATTAAATAGAACTACAATGTCAGTATAAATGTATTTTAGAAGATAAAGCGGTTGGGCCGTGGCCACCACCAGAACTATCTCGTGCCCATCACAAGGATGTGAACGGATCTTTCATGTCTATGAGTACATAATGTGTCTTTTAAGGAGCCAGGTCTCCCTAGAAAATATGTAGGATATGAGGATAAACTCCTTATCGATAGCGAGCCGTACGATAGTAGAAAGTAACCATGGGCATCATCTTGAACAATTCCTTTGAGCACAATCTTTTTTACAAGCGGTAGAAAGCGCAGATTGAGGCAAAATATCTCCTATGACTCAATACTGCTTGTAAGTTGTAATATTCCATGTTGGGAAGGGGGAAGGGATTGTTATGGGAACTACCAGTCTCATTGCTAGCAATATACTTTAAGAAGTCGACCTCCACGTGGTCACCCCTGGAAACCATCATGCTGAATTCGAGGTGTATTTATCACGATGGGCTAACTGACCTGCTCTTTCATTTTTATTTATCATCCCTCACTGGTGTATACCGATAGCGCGGGCAGGGTCAGGCCATTCCATTATCATCTATTAAAAAAAAATACTTCATGTGGGGCCGGATTTGCGATTTATAGAGCATTAATCGCTGATACGGCGCGTAGTAATGCTTTGCTCTATTCAGCACACCGAGTTTTTTCGATGCCAGCTTCACCTTATCTTCGAGGTGGCCACGGAACTGTACGTCACTAGAGATAACGGCACCAAGGATCCTAATAGTTTTAGAGATGTTAAGAGACGTGCCCTGGAACTGTGGAGCCATAGCAAATGGGGTTTTTTCGCGATGAATGAGCAAGTTTGTGTCTTAGCGGTTGTCTTAATATGTATTCAAAAATATCTTTCATGGTGTGTCCTTAAATATACGCGATATTTACTGTTACCTAATAAAATATTAATTTTGATATGATTAATATTAGTTTCATTGGTTAATAAATGACCGATGGTGCTGCCTTTCCTGAGCGATTTAAGAACTAAAATATAGTTATGAATTATGTTATTATTATCAAACATTTTAGAGAATTTTTACAACTTACCACTCACAAATGTTACTGTTTATTACGATTATATATACGATTTTCAACAATTAGCAATCGTTCGCGCGAAGTTAGTTGTTGTAGTGATTAAAGCGGCCGTCTATATATTTCAATAATTGAGGTCTATAAAATCAAAAACAGCTAAATCCAAGTCTGTCAAATGTTCAGGAAATTACAAAAACACAAAAACTAATATTTGTCATGGATATGGAACGAAATTCTATATTTTTAACCAAATTGAATTTTGATTATGTGCATTTTGTGTTTATTTTATGATTATAATTAATAAGTTACATCATGTAATGTAAGTTTTTTATGTTGTGTAGAATTATAGATACTTGTATCTCTATTTTAAATGTTTGAAGGAGTGTATATTACTCGCCAAACGATTTATGGCTGAGTGTAAATTCTAGGCTTACGTACACTGGAATTTATTATATTTGTAATCACTTATGATAAATAAAGAACTTTTGAAAACAAAAAACTACCAGATTGAAAAAAATTAGAATATTAGTAATAATTTGAATTTTAATTAATAGAACTGCCTCTATATTAGAATACAGAGTGAAAACGAAATCGATTTTATGGTGTTTAGCTACCTTTGATTTTATTAATGTAACTTTTTTTATAAAACCAGAATGGTAAACTGTAACTGGTAACTGGTAAGTGAAAACTGTAATGTTCATGTGTTGCTATTTCTAAGGATTATGGTATTATGCTTCCTGTAATTTCATAGCCACCCTTCAAAGACGGCTACCATGCATGCACAGCTGTTTAACGGTAAAAACACTGGTGAGACAGAGTTACCTACGAAGAGAATTTCTGTAGTCTTCTTGTAGTATGAATGAAAATTAAAAGGTAATCTGGCCTGTGCTAATTGTTTCCACTGGGGAGAAAGGGATTGTTAGTAATGGAGACTAAGAATCCCATTGCTAGCAATATACCCAACCAGGTCGACCTCCTCGCGGTTCTCCCAGTAAACTATCATGGTTAATTCCTGATAAATTTATCATGATGGACTAACTGGCCTGTTTTCATTCTCATCTATCACCCTTCACTGGTGCTCCGCCAGTGTATCCCGTTAGCGCAGGCGGGGTTACCATACCATTATCACCCATAAAAAAAAAAATGTTTCCACTGACAGGGTTTCAATGACGATGAATTTTGGTTAATTTTTTTACAATGGTATCAAATTCACTAGGAATTAACTAGATCAGTGTTTTTCAACGTGTGGGTTGCAATCCTCTGGGATCGCGAAAACTACCTTAGTAAAAAAAATTAAAGATAGATTTATTAAGAATAATGATAATTAAAACATTTGTATGTTTTAATTATCATTATTACCAAACAAACAAAACAAATTACCAAAAAAAAAAAAAAAAAAAAACTAACTCTTCCATGAACAGAAAAAAAAAAATAATTTAACCCAAGAAAGTTGTAAGGATTGAAGTGTTCAGTCTCAGTGCTGTTTCTACATCTTTACATTATAAAATACATGAAAAAAAAAGCCAAGAGTAGTGGTTCACGAAATATTTTTTCATACTGAGGGGTTCATGTCATGAAAAAGGTTAAAAAATCTTGAACTAGATGGTTTCCAAAGTGGACCGTAATGGAGTCTATATAACGTTGATTCACACGTGGTTTCCCCTGCAAAGCATTGTTGTTAATCCTTGTGGAATTTATCACGACGGGCCAACTGGATATGCTTCCATTCTCAGGTGCCAGGGTATACCGTTAGAGCAGGAAGGACATTTTTTTTTGACGGGTGAAAATGGTATGGTAACCCCGTCTGCGCTAACGGGATACGCTGGCGGAGCACCAGTGAAGGGTGATAGATGAGAATGAAAACAGGTCAGTTAGCCCATCATGATGAATTCATCAGGAATTAACCATGATAGTTTCCAGGGGGAACTGCGAGGAGGTCGGCCTGGTTGGGTATATTGCTAGCAATAGGATTCTCAGTCTCCATTACTAACAATCCCTTTCCCCCCGGAAGGACATATTCCATTTTCAGCCATAAAATATCCTTTTTACCACTAGTATACTATATTAACTGTGTGTACATTAATATAGTCGATTTTGGACTTAGTTTAAATACTTTCCAACTACTAGGAGTTACTGGGTACAATAAAAATACACAATTTAGTATTTATGACTTTATTCGTTACGACAATGAAACTACAAAAGTTGCCTGCACTTCAAACAGCAATTTTCATATACCTCACAAACTAAAGCACATTAATAATAATCATATAAAATATAAAATAAACGGTAATAACACTATAAGAGACAAGGAGAGTGACTAACGTTAGGTACGCACAACTTATATGTAAAACGAGGACAGTCAATAATCATAAAATATAATTACAATATGTAAGCTAAAACTTGCACCGCCATACATGATTTGTCTCGATTGTGAGATTCTATAAGGCTACACAATACCCAAGGCAAATTGGTCAGAGGTTTTCACGTCTTCACCGAGAAACAAGCTAGTAACTTACACCTAGTTCCCTTAGTCATATTATATAGCGTTAGTTAGAGAAGCAGGCAAGCAGCTCGCCCCGCCGCGCTCCGTCGCCCGCTACCTACTGCTCCACGCGCCAAGCGTCTCTTAATATTATATACAATTATTATCTTTGACGTTAAAACAGTTCGCTAAATGAATGGCAAAAATATACTATTAAATACATACAGGAATACTCTCACTTAACGCACGCGACTCGCGTGTCCACGCCCTTTGTGCCGGATGTATATCAGAAGAAATAACCCAACCTAACATAACAACAATACTCTTAAGGTTGAAATATGCAATTGTAAACCATTTAACCGGTGAATTCTGTTTAGTTTATAATACCTAATGAATCAAATGTGTAATGCACGATTATACTTAATATGGCGGCATTGTCATATTTAGTATAATACACACACAGTCACAGAGTTTGATCGACCTGAAGTTGTTTAAATTAGGTTCGACTGCGACTGGAGTGACTCTTGCGCCGTACAAAAGCTGACAACTTCAAGTGAATCATATATTTGATAATACATTCATTGTATGTTATAAACTTAACAACGAAATCAACAATTGGATGTAATGAAATTATTTCGACTTAAAGTGATTTGTAATTAGGTGAATTAAATTTGTCTTCTGAGACGCAACATTTGTGCATTGGCGGACGTGACGCGTCGCGTTACATATACATATCACTAGAGCAAAAACATCACAGAAGCGGTTTGTGTCCAACACACCATACCAGCGGCCCGGCGCCCGCCCACTACGTTTAAAAAAATATAAAACCCTATGAAAGGCAGTTTTATATGTTACTTATTTATTGATATTATTCAAGATCCGATATACGAATTATACTGAGGCACTTCCGATGTTGACTATCCTCCGACTATACTGTACCATTTGAGATCATTACGGGAAGATTACTACTAATACGGACGCCTTTAGTTTAAACGTGTAGACTAGACGATGCGGCGTGTGGCGTGACGCGTGACGCGTGACGCGTGTCGCAACACGCGACGCAACACGCCGTCGCCGAGCGCAACCACTTCACGATCCAGCGAACCCGCGACACGGCATCCCTCCTAAATAATCGACGACGTAACTCATAAAACATTATATTACAATGGACAGTCATAGCGAACGGCGATTTAATGAGACAAACTTAAATTTAGATTATACTTCCCTAAAATACTGTTACAGTTGCGTATGATAAACATTAAAAATAATGATATAAGTCTATAAACTAGCGACGGGGTCTGGTGCCTGGTCCCCGTCGGGCCTCCCCCCTCCCCCTCCCCCTCCCCTCCACACCCACCCGCTCGCGACCCGCCCGGCGCCCGTTCGTGCGTCACTACATTCATTTGCCGAGGGTTCCGTACCACATTTTTACTTAGCCTCCGCGACAACAACACTCGATTTACTGTAAACATTTAATATCCAGGCGAATGATTAGTCGTCTAACAGGTACCGAACCCTAAACTGGCCAACTTTTAGTAAACCAACCGTGACGCGATATATCTAAGGAACAAAATGTGGCCGGAATACTAAAAGTCGGTTCTCGTTGAGATCATCCCAAAAACATATACTTACATCAATAATATAGGCCTTTCATTTTAAAACGGCGACAATGTACCGGTGAAAATAAAGGTTGATAGTCGTAAGCATGATCACGTGGGGAATATTTGGTGGCGTGGTGTAAGCGCGTCCGGGTGTAACACAAGTATTGCGAGAATGCTGTCGTGCACAGAGGGTATGTATATCACAATAACCAACGTTACAACACCGACGCATCGGGTGGTAATAGTGCCTCCGCGCCTCGCGCACACAACAACGAAATGGACCGGCCAAGCTCAATACTGCGCTTAGATATGATACAATAAAGACAGATAACTTGTAAACAAGACATAACAGATCAGATAGTGGGGCCGATTATGAGGAGTCATTTCTCTAAACCTATGTTTGAAATTAGAATATGATATAGCAACAAAATCTTTATTCTAAGAATCTAGATTTGAACTAATTTTCAAAATTATTATAATTTTAGTTATTAATGGTATATAAAACAGGATTTTTGCGAAATAATCAAATTAAAATATTAGGTTTAGATAAATTGCGTTTCAGAATCGGTCCCAGTATATAACAATCTTAAAAGTGTTTCATGAAGCCAAACATCCAAGTAACATGGATAGAAATAGGACATTTTTTTCTCTTTTCCTTAGCCTGATTTAGTAAAATAACCTTCAAAATATAATCCTATATTGACCCATATTGCTGGATAAAAGATCAGATCCACGGAAATGTTTAAAATGTTTACAGGATGTTGGACATTACTATTTTATTTTCTGTTACACCTGTGTATATATCCACTGTGTAATACTATTAATACGTAATTTTATTCCATTAACAAATCACACAGGTCAATTTATTTGTCTTTTATGTATCATAGTGTAAATTAATTTAGAATAATTTATGACCCCAAATATAAGCATGCCAGTAATTTTTATATTATCCACTTATAGACTGTGAAGTGTATCATGTTGCAAATGTAAATGAGCCCGCTCTGAATATTTTTAAGTCTGTTATTGGCCATTTTTCCTCTTAATTTAGCCATAACTAGGGTTACCATTTGTTTGGAATATGTTTTATATTAGACTTAAATTACTCGCTCGTTTTCATTGTAAAAGATACGCTGCGTGTGGGACGTATTATTTTAGCACTATTGTCAGTTTGTTTTACTGTTTTTTTTTTTAAATTCGACATGTTGGCTGGAATTTTTTAGTTCCATAATGGTAACCCTAGCCGTAGTGCACAACGATAATTGTTATTCGAAGCCGCCATACGCAGCGTGCAATATATTTATTAGTACTGGAAAGGTCCGCACTTCACGTGTCACAGTAACTCTGTAATAACAAGTTTATAATGATTCGTGTAATTTCATAATTGATACAATCATGCCAACATCGTGCTTATGAACACGAAAAATGACGTTGCATTTATTATAAAGCATACTATAGTTTGAACGGCTATATTATACCGTTACGATAGCATTTTTTTAAGGATTTCTAACATCATTTTTTTTTTCGAAATTATTGACAGTTTATGGTGTGATTAAAAAAAAGTTAGTGTGGCACGTGTGGAGGGACTAGTCCAGCGTTACAATATTAAGTTTGGTTGAGTACGGAGTGTGAGTGTGTGTATGAGCGTGCAGAGTGCACCGGGCAGGCGGCGCGGCTGCGAGTGCGCGGAGGCGCGGCGTGCGCGGCCGCCTAGCCGGAGGACGCGGCGGCGGCGGCAGCAGCGCCGGGGACGGCGGTCCCCACGGTCTCGCTCTCGGCGCGCGCGCTCTTGTTCTGCCGCACCAGCTCCGCGCGTCGCTCCTGTCGATAGAAAATCAATTTATTACATCACATCCACGAACAAGAATAACATCTCTGTGGCTGTCTTTTTAAACTGTCATAGTACAGCATCGGCGATGTTCGCAACTAATTATTGTTGATACCTCCTTATTTTTTTTTTGTACAAGTGTAAAGTTATCGTTTAAATCTCACAAGAAAAATAAACTTCAATTGTGACAAAACCAATTATTTCGATCTAACACTAAAGTTCTAAATCGATTTTGATAAAATTTCTTCAGCACCAATCTGTAAGTATGTCTTTTCAAATAAAGAGTTTTCCAAATCGGTTAACAACTGACGGAGTTATGAAGTTACAAATATAAATCACCTTATTTTGGAAGTCGATTACTTATTATGTTTACAGATTAATTTCATTTAAAAAATATATACATATATATATATATATATATATATATATATATATATATATATATATATATATATATATATATATAAAACATGCAAAAGGTGATAAAATATTATTGCTATTATGTATGTATTATTATGATGAGATTATTTTTATATTTTTTTTATAATAAAATTTAATAAAACGCCTACAGTGTAACAAAATAAGATTGAACTAATTTCCTTCTTATGTTACACCTACTCTTATAAAAATATACCTTATTTGAGCAAATAAATAAATTCTAATGCATGTATATGCGACACAGACATCGCAGACTGAACACTGACCCCCTTACAAAAAAAAACCTATAAACCTATTAACTAATTAATTGTCTTATCCTTTTTCTTGCACTAATTTCTCAATTTGAATGACAGGGACAAAGCACTCTATTAATTTATTTATATTTCTACCACTTTCTACCATCGTACGGCTCGCCATCGACAGGGAGTTTATCCTCATGTCCTACAGCCTCAATGGTCGCGTACTGCGCGGTTTCAGAACCCACGAACACTCAGGTTGTGGAATGAGCTCCCTGCCGAGGTTTTCCCAAGAGACTACAGCATAGTGGGCCGTATGCTTGTTTGCCACCTTAGTGATATTATATATATATATATATATATATATATATATATATATATATATATATATATATATATATATATATATATATATATATATATATATATATATATATCTATAGTATATCAACAGATGACAAACGAAACTTTTACCAATAGTATAAATTATAGTTGTACTCAACATTCACAGAGGTGAAACAGAATAGGTTGATTTTTAATACAAAATTGAATGAATGATAAAATTTACATACAAAATAAGGATCAAAAACAAAACTACCAAATCATGCTTATAAACTATTAAGGGTTGAATAATGAAGTAGGTTCGTAGATCATTTTAGTTCTTATGAACGCTGCGTAACACTACCAACCTCCTTCTTAACAAAATCAAGTTTCTTCTGCATCTCTTTCTCCCTATTCTGTTCGGCGGCCGTCAGTTTGGTCTCGATGTCCTTCGTGATCTCCTCCATTTTGGCGGTGATTACCGAGCGCACTTCGGCGAGCTTATTGTTCTGTGTGTCGTGGATCGAACAAACAAAAAAAAAGGTGATAAAAACAAAAATATGATGCATGAGTTACAAATAAACCAACGTACAGAGAGCGATATTAAGAAGCACTTCGCTGGTGAACATAATTTCATTATTGATAATTGTATTTTTTTTTTATACAACTTAGAATGGCAAACAAGCTGACGGTCCACCTGATGGAAAGTGGTAACCGTCGCGTATAGACACGAGCAGTACCATGGACATAACAGAGTATACTGTTTCGCCCATGATACCCCCCCATGCGTTGCCATTCCTGAGGACTCAGGTGTTATTCCTCTGTACCCAGTAAATTCACACCATATCCCACCCTTCAAATCGAAACACAGCCATGCAAACACAACTGCTTCACGGTTGAAACACGAATGGGACAGAGGTACCCAAGCAATCGACTTTAAAAGTAAATTGGAAGAAAGACTATTTGCTTGTTATCTATACTTATAATAAATCTGTAGGGAGGTCAATTTTGTACATGAAATATATTTCCAAAATAACTATCAGGCGGTGATTAGTGATCGATACTGATGCCATAAATGCAATCAGTACAATTTTTGTCTGTCTGTGTGTATGTTCGTTATAGAAACAAAAACTACTCGACGTATTTTAACGAAACTTGGTACAATTATTCTTCATACTCTTGGGCTGGTTATAGTATACTTTTCATCACGCTACGATCAATAGGAGCAGAGCAGTGAAGGGAAATGTGTCTGTTACATCAAAACCACTGAACTGTGAGGAAGGACATAGGCTACTTATTTTACGAAAAACGACGAAAACGCGGACGAAGTCACGGGCAACAGCTAGTTTTTTAATATAAATTTATATACCATTCATGCGTTATGTTTCAAACACAAATGTTTTTTCTTATACCACGAAGGTGGCAAATAAAAATAGGTTCGTCTGATGGTAAATGGTATTTCTATAATATAAACTAATCAGGAGGGAAGGGATTGTTAGTAATGGGGAGATTAGTCCCCATTGCTATCAATATACCCTATCAGGTCGACCTCCACGCGGTTCACCTGGAAACTATCGTGACTAATTCAGAAAAAATATACTAATTATGAATATATAATAATTTATATAAATTTCAATATAAAAACGATTCTGACGTATTTTTTATTATATTAAATTTTATATCTTAATATTTTTACATATTTTATTATTTAATTTAAAACCAGCGAAGCGTTTTGTATTCACGTTTATTTATTTATATATTAAAAAAAAAAATAAGATGACCATGCGATGAGACATTATGAATGTTTTATATAATTGTAGCCATGACATTGTCGTTACGTATTACTATGACAAATGATTATGGAATATTTGGATGTAATATGTAAATGAAACGACAACGATGTGGGATGGGATGATTTACACACACACATAAGCACACTAACCTAGCGGATAGAGAGAGTGAACCCAACTAACAACAATGAATTACATAGAAGGAATGATAAAATAAAACTTGTCAATCAATTGTCAATAACAAATTTTACATTACTACATTATATACTCGACACGGTTTATACAGAAAGTATGCAAGCAGGTTGTATCTGAATTCGGTAGGGTTATACGGCCGTATAACATTTTCTATACACTAGCCTGCTATGAATTGACAAAAGTAGCAACTGATAATGTATCTTTTGTCCTCTTTTTACTAATCATATTTGCATAAGAAGAAAAGAAGGAACCATACGATTTACAGTTTTTATTATATCATTCCTTCTACGTAATTCCTTGTTCTTAGGAGCCCAACTACCGTGTACAATATCCAGTCGTGAATGACGGCTGGACGCGTTCTATAGTATGTTCCAGCTTCGTGTGACGCCAGCGTTATCTGTCCTGTGTGTATGGTGGTGGATACTCACGTGGTTGCGTAGTTTCTCCTTCTGCTCGGCCTCCAGCATGAGGCGGCGGTCGGCGGCCTGCTGCAGCTTGTCCTGGATAGCGCTCTCCAGCTGCTGGAACCGCTCCTGGTTGCCGGCGCGTACCTTGCGCACTTGCTCCTCCTATTCACAGTTTATATGGTTAACTAGGTTTTACCCGTTACTTCGTTCGCGTGGCTGCGATATGTTTACTAATAGGTATAAATGTAGTCTATATACTTTCTCCATTCCATATGGTATGTGTATACCAAATTTCTTATCGATTTGTTTAACCGTTAAAACGCTATAAGCTAACAAACAAGCTGCCTTGCCAGCGTATACCGTTAACGCAGGCAGGGTTACCATTCCATTATCATCCATTAAACAAAAAAATGTACTAACATGTTCGCGGAGGCGTTCCAGCATCTTCTTAATGTTCTCGTCGCGCTTGTCCGCGGCCGTTGCCATCTTGTCCTCGATCGCCTTGTACACCTCGGCCGTCTGCTGCTCCAGGGTCAGTCTGATGGCAGGCGATGCACAAAGTTACAAGAAAGAAAGAAGAAGGAAATATTAATTATTATTTGATATTATTTACATATATTTTAGCCAAAAGGTGCAAATTGCCAGTAGGCGCATTAACAGAATATCAAATTAACTGACGGATTACATGAAAACTGCAAGCGATAACCGTCGCGTATAAATATTTAAAAGTATTTCTCGTTTGTCACTATTCCTGAAGACTATGGTGTTATTTTCTTGAGTGGAGAAGAACGATGCACAAATCCGAACTAGTGTTTCTTCGTCTATCACCGATAGCTTATTTTGGATGTAAGACAACATCTCGTCGATCACATGTTACATTTCACAACCTCCATCATTGTTTTAGCGACACGAATTTAGCGCCTCGTTACTTTACAAACAACACACCCGCACGGAGGGATGCGCACGCGCGGCTGTTACGTCTTAGTACTCCAGTAATTTCACTGTAATCTTCTATGCCTCTCTTTAAACGTCACCAAAGCCTAACTGCGATCGCCAAGCGTGGCAACTACTGGTAAAAGGGGAGTTAACGGCTGATATGGTAGATTAAGAAACGCTCGAGGTAAGGCGCAAATGCAATTTAATTATGCACTATTATTGGTTGTTCAACGGCGGAATAGACAATCCTGCAACTCTCAGCCGTTGTTCTCTGTACGCGCCCCAACGCTGCATGCGATTGCGCGCGTGTCGACTACTATCGGCACCGCCGGTTCGCACCTGTACTGCTCAGTTCGCTCCCGCTTATCAGGCTATTTCTCTGCTCAATTCTCTGATTGCTCAGCAGCCAGATATTGACATATTTAATGATAAAATAGATATATTTTTAAAATGTTATTTAAAATATTTAAGTTTGTAAAATAAACCTATGGCTCACTACACGTTTTGGGATACTGTAAGTGTGGTGAGTAATTTATAAATAAATATTTATTTATTTATTAGAAACCAACGGCGTTACAGTTAATATTTACAGACTAGTATTTAAAATATTAAGGCTAATAACAGGTTTCTTATTTTTATAAAAGTACAAAATTGGTTTGCGCAAAAAAAGAAAAGTACAATACAGACATTCAATCACAATACACACAAATACAAATATTAAATACATGCATGTTACAGTGTATTCAGTACTACTATATTTATATTATACATAAATACAACAGATTTTGCATGAATACACTACCTTCTGTTACCATTATGACACATTAAAGCACACACACACTCACACCATGCAAATATGAGTCTACTCTTTAAATCCAAACGTAATATGTCTAGTATCTCTCCAGTCAAATGTTTTTTTTACAACTGTCGCCTATAGACATGAGCAGTACCATGGACATAACAGAGTATACTGTTTCGCCCATGACACCCCCCATGCGTTGCCATTCCTGAGGACTCAGGTGTTATTCCTCTGCACCCAGTAAATTCACGCCATATCCCACCCTTCAAACCGAAACACAGCCATGCAAACACAACTGCTTCACGGTTGAAACACGAATGGGACAGAGGTACCCAAGCAATTGACTTTTGTACAAAGTCTCCCTCTGGTAAATTTTGTTATGAAAATGTTATTTTCGGCGCTATTCTAAAAATATACGAAACTATTATGCATACGGTGATTGTTTGAATAATGTATATTTGTTATGACATGCTCTCATGTATATATGCAGGCAAATTATCTGTTGCGAACCAAAACTGTGAATTGTAGAATTTCCCATTAGGTGGGCCGTCAGATAGTTTGCCAATCTAAATTGCATAAAAAAAAAAAAACATTTTTGTTGATATATAATAATTCTATCAATATTTTTTACAGATTCAGTTATAGTTATTAGGTTATAACAAAAATGTACACAGGCGAACTTATCCCTTAAAGGGATTTATATCTTAACTTTATTGAGTATATCAATTAAATTGTAAAACTTGTATGCTTGTATATGGGCTGTATACATTGAACGCTTGCAATATTATGTGATACTGTATTTAGCAAATAAATGATTAGATATGATTTACACATTTACACACACACACACGCACGCTCGCATGCACGCACACACGCAAACATACACAAACAACATCGATGATTTTATTCTTGTTAATTTTCTTTTATGTTATTGTCATTAACATTTTGTATCCCATGTTATAGAGCGGGCGTTAATAGCTGCAACACAGGGGGGGAAAGGAATTGTTAGCAATGGAGTTTGACAGCCCCATTGCTAGTAATGTGCGTTATTAGGTCGACCTCCATGTGGTCCCCCCTGGAAACCATCGTGAACAATTCTTGTTGAATTCGTCACGATGTAGCCCATCTGACCTACCTATTGACCTATATACTGACCTACTTCATCCTCAGCTATCATCCTTTACTGGTGCCCCGCCGGTGTATACCGATAGCGCGGGTGGGGTTACCATTTCATTATCATCCATAAAAAAAAATAACTGCAACACAGTCTCTTTGTCATTAATGTAGTTATTCTCAATCCTAAAAAGAAAACTGTAAATTAAGCTAAGGTTCGCTAATAAACATTGTTTCATTTTATTTGCCCACCTGGTCTTCTCGACGCCCTCAAGGTGGTCCTTGAGCCGGGCGCGCAGCTCGTTGATGTACGCCTCGCGTTTCTCCTCGTGGTTCTCCATCTTGGCGTCGAGCGCCTCCTTCGTGGTCGAGATGAAGTTGTTGGTCTGCTCGCTGCGGATGCGCGACGCCTCCTCGATCTTGGCCATCTTTGACGCGATCGCCGCCATCTTGCTCGCCTCCAGGCTCTGTAAAGTTCCAGCATATGAAATGCTTTCAGTTACCTATTCCAATATTTTTATTGTAATAGATATTGCCGTGTTATTCTGGCATAGAATTGGCCACCCCTTCCTTTCCCGTGGCGGTTGTATGAGGCGGCTATATATTGCTAGCAATATACCCTGTCAGGGAGGAAAGAGATTGTTAGTAATGGGGTCCAACTGATCCATTGCCAGCAATACACCCTATCAGGTCGACCTCCACGTGGTCCCGCCTGGAACCATCATGTTGAATTCCAGGTGTATTCATAACGACGGGTTAACTGACCTGCCTTTTCATTCTCACCTATAATCCCTCACTGGTGCCCCGATTGCGTATGCCGTTAGTGCAGGCGGGGTTACCGTTCCATTATCATCCTTGAAAAAGACATGGTACATTAATATTGTTAATAATGGTGTCGCCAGATTCCGTTACTATCGATCCTCTTCCCCACACTATAATACTTCAACTATAAACAACTTACACGTCTCCTTTCCTCAGCCGCCTTCAGTTTCTCTTGAATCTCCTCGACAGAGGGCGTCTTCTCTGTTGGCGAGTCGGCGCGGCGCGGCACCGGCACGCCGATTGGCTCCGCGAGGATCACCTCGTACGCCAGCCCGCCCTTGGACATCTCTTGGCAACGGATTTCGGTAGCTGTGAACAAATATCAGCAATGATTTATTTGCGTATACATTATAGCAAAAACAGAGAGTAGGAGAGAGAAAGTAGAGAATGGGAGAGAGAAAGTGGAAAGTAGGAGAAAGACACTACTATAGCTGGAAAGAGTAAGACAGTACTCATAAATACAATCCTATTTAAAGAAAATTATATATATAATAATGAGTAGGCATAATATTTATATTATTATATGTATCACATCTCCCGTATTTAGAACTAACAGAATTTTTCATCGTGCCTCTCACCAAATTGTTTATAACTACTCCTCTCCACTCAAAGGTTGGCTGGAAGAGATCGCTCTTAGCAATAAGGTCGCCAAATATTTTCTCATTGTGATTATTTCTTGTAATTGTTTATATTTATAATAAGTTTACTATTGTAATCTTCTGGAGGAAACAATAAAGAGTATCTATCTATCTATTTAATTACACACGATATCAGAAAATTGTGTGGATTTTCACATTGAGACAAGTACATCCTAGATATACAATCAGAGATGGAGAAACAGCACTGAAAATAGAGCGTATTTAACCAAATTGTTCCTTTTACTTCTTTTAACCCTAAAACATTTATAGTCAAACGTGCAGCAATATTCTTAAAAAAAATTTTAATTAGCATTTAAGTACTTAGAGTGTTAAAACAAGAAGTTTCTAATTTATCATTAAGTAATTATTTCCACTCATGTTTTGTACTATGATAGGTATTTAGAATAAAATGTATTGAAGTGAAATTAAATTTTTAATGTAACATTATATGAGACTGTGAATCTTGAGGTCTTTTTTATATCAATGATGTTTTCGTTAACATTTTGCATTTTGCCATCAAGCATACGACCCGTTTGATAGTAAGCAGACATAGCCATGTAGGCCGGTGGTGCCTGCTTACCTGTGCCTCTGTGACTAACATTCACTATTATCTCCCCTAGAAACCATGGTGCTAAATCCCAAGTGTATTCATCACGATGGGCTAACTGACCTGCCTTTTCATTCTCACCTGTCACCCCTCCCTCAGCCCGCCAGTGTATACCGTTAGCGCAAGCGGGGTTACCATTCCATTATCATCCATTGAATATTCACCATTAGCGGTAACTAATCAAACGTAGACTTCTTTATACCCCCCGCATTCCCTACGGCGCTATCGTAATTACGCGTAAAGTCGTAAATTTGGCTACCTAATTATAATTCCTGGCGTATAATCAACTGCTTACAGCCGCTCAGACTACGTGTCGCAAACAATAATTAACACCCCGGTTATGGGTTCAGTTAAACGCTGTTTAATTAACCCCCAGTCATCGGCGTCGGAATTTTAAAAATGCAACGGGGCCCATTTTTCGCTCAAGGTCGGGGGCGTTAAACTCGCGGAAAGACGGGAGGAATTCACCATTGTTTATTAGGGAGTCGGGAGGGGGAGGCAACCCTCCCGGTGGATGAGTCACAAGGAAATCGTACAGTTACTGCGCATCAGGTTGTGATCGTCTCTGACTCGTCGTGACTAAGCCTGTATAGATAGATAGATAGATACTCTTTAGATTATAATAGTAAACTTATTATAAATACAAACAATTACAAGAAAATATTACATTGAGAAAACAGCGGACGACCTTATCGCTAAGAGCGATCTCTTCCAAGCCACCTTTGGATGGAAAAGAGTAATTATAAACAGTTCGACTGGAGGCACGAAACTCTGTTCATTTTTTAAATACAATACATATAGAGATATATATGTGATAAACAAACTATCGTTTCGCTCCGACTTAGCACGAGTAAATAGATTAAAAATTAAATTAGTATTTTACAATGGCTGTAGGCAAGTTTTTTTTTTTAATACATTATGGGTTATATTATTGTAATTTTCGTAGAAATGTCTTAAAGTTTTTGAAAATAATATATAACATATATTGCTCGCTGATAATTTAGCTTTCTATAGGTGGCAAATTTTTTAAAATCGAATAAGTACTTTTTTAAGTTTATCCATTACAAACACACGAAAAAATCAAAGTTTTCTTTTATATAATAGTATACATAGATGTGAAAGGAATTCGTTTATTAATTTGTCACTTCTTGACGCTTGAAGTTTCGCAGTCAAGCGGACGATAGCGCAGAAACTGCTAGCAATACAAAAGGACTGTAATAAAATAAACCAACAAGTGTTGGTTGAGAATAAAATAAGCCTGAAAGAGTACTGTAACGCGGAGACGTCTGTGAGTTACGACGCTCTTAATTAATAAATTTTTATTTTAATAAGCGAGAACATTTATCAGAGCAATTTTTATTTTTCTTTCACGTTTCTGTTGTTCGTATTCATGAACAATAAAATAAACCATACTGCGCATCTGTGTGTATATTTTTAAACCGATATTGCTGTATTCAATTGGACAATAAAAATTGTTATTGGATACTAGAAAAGTTTAAAATCATTAGCGTACTTTAAAGTATATTGTAGGAATGTGCACGCATTCCTACAATATACTTTAAAGTACGCTAATAAAAGTTTCCTTCAAAGATTGTTGTTATTTCTTTGAAGAAATTCTAAATCCGAATTGAAAAACGACAAATACTGATTCTCCCATACTAACCACTACGCGATCAGTTGTCGAGTAATTTAAATTCACCTTTGCTTATATTATTACTTATTGTTATTAATACTGTATGTTTTAGTGCAATAAAAATATAAAAAGGTGATTCTAAATTTGTTAGTCGTTTTTCAATCAAGTTTAATTTTTTTCTGGGAAAAAAATTCACTTGCATTTACTATTACACCCTGTAAATATAACATCAGCTAACATTGTATATATAAAAATGAATTCACGAGAAATGTATAAAGAAATAGCATCATTATATCGGTGCAGTGGGAAGCAGAAAACTTGAGTTTTTATGAAGACAGCTATTTCCTCACCATTCCTAACCTAGCGTCGAGGCCTCTTAACCTGTTTTTCGACACAATACCTAGAGGCTACAAAACATAAACCAGATGAGATTAAGAGCCGCAAATGCTGCAATGTATCTTTAGAAAATGGGTTAACAGGGACAAAACATTCACAGAACAATAAAGATAACATAAGTAGATATTTGCAGTATTTAGAATTTGAATGAAGGATGCAGTAAAAATGGACTTGAGATACTGTCTTCTTGGCATTACATACTTGCAGCTCAGGTAACACTAATACCGTCATCTTATGTGCTTTGCTGAGCAACATTATTTTTTGAGCATCTCGTAGATATGAACGAAAATGCGTTAGATCTTGAATTATTCCACCTTGGATGTATATTAGCTGTCATGGGCGACCTTCGAAAAGTGTCTTAATTAAGGCATTTAGTTCGTTGCTGGCGTTGGGTGGTTGGGAATTTGTTGTATCAAGTACTAGGCGACCCACTACGGCTTCGCACGGTTTTTTTTTTTTAACGAAATATAGTTCATGTTATTTGCAGATAATGTAGTTTTTCTATAGATAATGTAATTTGTTAATTATTTTTTAGTTTATCCATTACAAATGAAAAATTTAAATCTTTCCTCTTTATATCAGTTTAGATTAATTTAGAAAGCTATGTATTATGTTTATAAATTTTATATGAATGACCATTTTCTCATTTGTCTAGTGTTATTTAATCGACTTTTTACCAGCCTTATAGCTTTAAGAGGAAAAGTGGACCCTGGCAAACATTGCTTTCAGGATTTCTTTTAAATAAATTAAAAAGAAATAATCTATAAATACATGTACATACAATAATGCAAGTGCACGATTACAAAGATTGTTTAAATACAATTCAGTTGTTGCTATCGCATTTCTCTATTGTAAAACCTCTACAAGAAACAAATGGCTACGTTGACAATTCATAACGTACTTAACTATAAATTAACACTACTGTTTAGAGCCCAACTTACTTATGAATTTGACTTTCTTGGGTTGCTTAGTCCTAGGTTTGCCGACTGGTTTCTTGACTGGCGCCGACCGCCGGTGAGCTAAACAGAAACGGGACGTCAGCGGAGTCCGAAGTGACGGATGCCACCGCTGCCCGTTCGGAAGTATAACCTTTATTCCATCGTGTTGCCTTGATAAGGTATTTAAAAAGTAAATATGATATTTTAATTTACCACATACTACCAGGTACTAATACGTTTTTCTCCACAAAACAACGATTTCAAACGTGTATACAAAAACAGTGATGATCGACGAGAAGTTTGTTAGACGTTTCACTTCAGATTGTAAATAAGTCGATTTGGCTCAGAAACAAGCAGTGTTTTGCTCAAAAAAAAAAAAGGGAAATTATCAAAAAAAAAAAATAAACACGGGAAGCTACAACAATAGAAAGAACCCCCCATTAATTGAAAAAAAGAATTGAGAAAATTAAATCAGAATTAACGACAATATCGAATAACATTTTTAGTTATATAGACAAAAAAATATATGCAAGTTCAGAACGTGCTACCATTTGAATCCGTTTAAAAAAAGAACTAAATAGTAAACAAATGTACCCGTATTTTTTTTTTTGTAAAACGAAAACTTAAATGGTTATAACCAATACTAACGAAAGTAGTCAATATCAGAAATCGAAAAACGATTACGGGGGGTCACTTCGACCGGGCCCCACTAATGTTTATTTGAAGAGCGCGCCGAGTTACCTAATGAATCAACAGCAATCGATGACCGATGCTCGCGTGACCACCTGAATCGTTTGGAATCGATTTCGAATGATACTTTTGTTACCATGTTACTGGTACATATATATACGCCTGGCAATTGACGACAGAACTAACTGCTATAGAAAGTTGTTAATTACTTCTACATAAATTGTGTGGGGCGAAAAGTTAGTAAGTCGATAAAAGTTTTTTCGAGAAAATTAGCCAGACTGGATAGAAATAACCTACAGAATACAAATCAGTCATTTTTAGAATTCACATCTGTAGTCGGACTATAACGTTATAATGAGAAAAAAGCTGAAAAGGTCATGGAATGATAAAGAGATTGCTATTAGTTA